ACGCTTGTACTATGGGTACTAGATAACAGATAAACATACTTAAACATACTTTCCTTTTGTAAATAAATACATAGTATACATATATAAACACCAAAACACTGGAAAAACACTATGTTCATCACACAATATTTTTCCCACAGTGGGGATCGAACACACCCTTTAATGCAGGAGGCAGGTACACTACCCACTACGCCATTCAGGCCGTCAAATGAGTTGCCAAAAGGATGGTTAACTAAGTAAAAGTTGGCCAGCACGATCAGAATGATTAATTCAAAGAGGTTTTTGTTAAACGTGGCAACCCTACGGGTGTTCCACATGTCGATGGACGGTTATCATGAGCCGCCAGCTAGTTCGCCACTTTCTCACATAAAAAAAATTCTGCGAGGCCGTGGTACTTACCGGACAAGCCTGTCCATTGCTATCCACAGCAGAATGCTGCCGCTTGGCCCTACCTAGTTGGGTGGTAGAGCCACGTAGCTCAAAGTCAAGAGCATTAATATTTCTACTCCACTCCCGTCTTACACAGGGAGGCTTTTCTAAGTGTATCCATTTTTTTAAATTAAATTTAAGACATAAATATTGTTATGTAAAAAATGATAAATATTCAAAATCACTCGTAATTAATTAATTACATTCATTTGAACTTATCTGAGAAAGTGCGTGATTTATGGGCAACTCATTTATTTTACGCGCGATCTTTCATAACTAACACGTACACAAGCTCGTTTCAAAAGTAATACGACGCATTTATGAATGACTTCCGCATTGTCAACAAGTTCTATTTTTAGGGAATAGAATGGCCAATTTTTTGAAAAAAAAAAGGTTCTTTTTATTTCAATAAACGATTATACTACCGAGTTTGAACATTCTGTGTGAATTTGGGCACCTTTAAAAAAGCCACCTTGTATAACATCCGAGACCAGGTCGAACGAAGTGTAAATACTTCAATTCGACGAAAATCCACAGTCACTAACAAACTAGAGGTACACTCGTGCACGAGCACTTAATGCAAACTAAGCCAACAGCCTACAATTATGTCTAACAGCTGGGCCTATTCTGTATGGTATTATCTTAACTATGAACAATAGTTCATAGTTAAGATAATACCGCGTAATACCATAAGACCATAAGATAATATACGTCCATCACGCGACTGACGGACTCACTACAGATTGACGGACTTCACATATCTTCGGACTTCACATATCATTTTCATTTTGTTATTATTTTGAAATTATATAGGCCTTCTCACGATGTTTGGTCTCTTCGCCTCTGAATACGTACGGGACACATGATAAGTCAGCGCTTAAAATTAACATCTTCATCTTCATTAGTGCTAGCACCGGGTTTGAACTATCTTAACGTGGTAGGGTAGGGTAGGTATCCGTAACAATGGTAGGGCCATGCAACACTGTTGCACAAATGGGCAGGTCCGTCCGGGTAAGTACCACGACCTCACAGAAGACCGACGTGAAGTGGGAGTATAATACTTTCGCGTTTCGTCTGGTGAGTGAGGAAGCCGGCGCCCACTTTATCTAAAGGTGGCGACGCATTTGCAACTCTACCGGTGTTGCAAATGACCATGGGCTGCGGTTATCATTTAACATCAGGTGTACCGCCAGCTCGTTTGCCACTTTCTCCCAAAAAAAAATCTTGAATTAGAAGCGAGCGCCCGGACACTTAGCTATCACGGCACATTGAGTCAAGTCGGGAAGCTCTGATTTGACTCAATCGCTTGACCTGCATCACCGTCTGACGACCTTTGCCGCATCATAAACTAGGCTGGCGTGCATAAGCGAATACCAGCACTAGGTCGTGTCACGACCTCCGGCATTAGCAGCGAAGTGCGCACGGTATAAAATGACCGAGAGATTACCGGTTCACGGGTGCTATGTATTCGATTGTTCATGTGTTCTCATATTCGATTCCCTCACGGGACAAGTGCTTGTGCGATCCAAGGATAAATACTCCGTATACGAGTGTCCTTATAAAGCTAGCCATGTCGTTAAATACCAGTAACAACATAATTCAAGCGTTGTGCCGACCCCAAAAATGGTGGGATTAGGGCAAGAAAAAGATTACCTATAAAATGGCAGAATATATACTTATTGTGTTTATTTTTGGCTGGATTATCTCAGCGCTTGCTTTTAATTAAGTATATTCAAGCATCTTGAACTTGTTGACAAGGCGGTAGTCATTCATAAATACCTAAATTTTACTGTTCACGCACACAAACGAACTTGTGTGATAAATGAGTTGCTTATAAATCCCACACATTTGAAATAAGTTCAATTGAATGTAATTAATTTAATTACTAACGAGTTATTTAAAATATTTATCATTTTTATATAACATCATTTCTGTATTGAATTTAATTAAAAAAATGGATATACTTAGAAAAGCCTCCCTGTATATTATAGCACATAGCTCCTACGCCAGCCGTGATGGCTCTGTAAGCCGTGATAGCTCAGTCTCCGGGCGGTCGCCTTTATTTCAATATACTCGAGCAACCTGAGTTCGATTCCCGGTGCCGGCACCAATGAAATTGTTAATTTTAAGTGCTGACTCATCACGTGCACGGTGGTGAAGGAAAACATCGTGATGAAATCTCCATATTTAATAATTATAACAAAAAAAATATTTCGAAGATGTGAAGTCTAATCCGCAGTTTAGCCACGTGGTGGTCTATGCTATCACGCCCTCTGTTCGGTGGAGGCCTTTGCCCAGCAGTGGAACATGTATACGCTATATACATGTATACTTTACTTTACTTTTTTTTAAAAACATTGCCCTCACTTTAGGACATCATCCTGTGTTGTAAGGACGTTTTACAAACGTAAATTGCACGAGGACAAACACAACAACTATGCGAAACAACTATCTGTGGGTCGCACAAATAGTTCTCCTGTGTGGGAATCGAGCCCACGACCCCCGACGCCGAAGCCAACACCTTGGCAACTGCCGCGGAGTCGTCACAGCTCTACATTACTGGATATCTACCGACGGTGAACTGGATATCTACATAGTCTCCGACTACCGCAGTCACCGCAGACGTGACCGACCCAAGCCGGGGTCGTTGCACCACGTTAGGGAAGTGACGCGGGTCGATATCGTCCGAGCGGGCGCATCTTGGCACCGCCTCCATCCACCCACACCGACCTCCGTACTCACAGACACCGAATAACACTTGGCTAAAAAAAACAAAAAACCTGCCAAGCGCGAGTCGGACTCGCGCACGAAGGGTTTCCGTAACACAATCTATAATAACGGCAAAAAATCATTTAATAAAAAAAATCAATAATTCCGTTTTTTAGTATTCTTTATTTTTTATTTTTAGTTTCAGTTACCAAAGATATTGAAGACTTTTTTTTATATTACTTTTATTTGATGTATCTTTTTGACATTACCGCTTCTTTTTAGACGAAGACCTGGTTTCGAAACCGGACGGATGTGTACAATTCTTTCCTAATTCAGTTGCACGTCTGACATTTGCGACGAATTTTTCAGTAGTACCCAGCAATCTGCTCATTTAAAAGTCTGACGCCCGGTTTTTGAAAAACTGATCATTGTAGATGTTAACTAATCAGCTGTCAAAATAAATAAATAATAAATATTTTAGGACACATTTTTACACAACATGCTCTAGTCCCAAATTAAGCAACGCTTGTACTATGGAGTACTAGAAAACTGATAGACATACTTAAACATACTTTTTTTTTTGTACATAAATACAAATTATATATATATAAACACCCAGACACTAGAAAAACACTATGCTCATTACACAATATTTTTCCAGTAGTGGGGATCGAACCCACACCCTCTGGCGCAGAAGGCAGGTACACTACCGACTACGCCATTCGGGTCGTCAAATTTTTTCAAATTACATTCAAAGGTTTTCAAATTACGTTTTAGTTACAGAAAGGATGGTGAAACTCTCCGCATAGACCAGAATAAAATAATTCTTAATGATTAGAATGATCAATTCAAAGAGTTTAACCATCCTTTTGGCCACTCAAATGACATTTAAAAAGCCATTTGACAGCTGGTTAGTTAACATCTACGATGATCAGTGTTTCAGGAGCCGAGCGTGAGAGTCGGCCGAAATCGTAACGGCCGAAAAAAAACCTAAGCAGAACATGTCTAGCTGAAACGGTACTTGTATTATAATCGATCTGCATTCGTCTACACTTATACAACACAACCGTCCCCATCTCGTCATATTTCTATATTTATCAATAATCTTTTCGTTACGTGATTTGGAAGCCATTGAAAGGTCCGGCTGGACGGTTAATGTTCATAATTTAAAATCTGTTTGGTTGCATAGAAGTAAAAAAAACGAAAGTATTTCAATAGACGAGTACATAGTCCACCACGCGATCCCACTGCGGAATGGCAGACTTCACATACTTTCGGCTATTTCTCCACGTGCCGTTTCTCCAAAGAAATCCATTATACATTATAACGGATTTCTTTTAAATGTTGCCACTGTTCAACGCGTTCCCTATTTAATTCGTTAAATCCTATTCTTTTGCTTCCGGTGCCCTCGATTTTGTTCCGGGTTCAAAGCGCAGACGAAGCGATGACTATCGATCACACAAACATTCGTACCGTCGCGTCGTGAACCCACGGCTCGCTGCGCAGTTCGACATCATTGGGTCGCTAATTACACGAACCTTTTACTACTTACCGTCCATTCGTACCTTCCTTCCTTATTTACAAGAGTCATAAATAAAAATAACAAACACATATGACTAAATAATACGAAAACAACATTTGGTATAATCTAGTCACGGCTGATTAAGCCTTCAATTATATTTTGTTTTCATATATTATCAGTAAAAAACCCTCTCATGGAACTAATTTTGAAATCACCTTTATCATTATAATGGCCATACGCTACGGTGTACATATAAATTCGATTCAAAACAATTTCTTACAGAGTGTACAAAACAGAAAGAACTGTGTATATATGTGCTCTTTTGTATATATGTACTCACCTTTTTGAATATGAACTCGCGCGGCAGAGACATGGCGGTATGTCCGGGGGCGCTGGCAGAGTTACCGGGATCTGACCACTAAAGTTGTCGGATTCCGTCGATTCAAGCCTGACACTTCTGGTGCAAACGGCATGCGCCGCTAAATACATTGGTTTTGATACCGTGTACACTCGCGCTGAAGCCGTTTTAGTGGGTTCCCTTCGACTTCACGGGTAGGAGGATCGGGTAAAAGAAGGCCAGGAACTTTCCCGAACGCGACCACGTCCAATTACGGCGCGACTGTGCACGGCATCTTTGGTGTGAAAAAATATGACGAATGATCCCCCTCTGTTTTATGGATGTCAAAATTAGCGCGTATTATATGTTTTTCTTTAATCGGTTGCGGCGAATGTGACACGGCACCGCTCGACGATAATTCCCGATAGCGATTAACGCACGTTAGGCGGTCGACGCGCATGCGTTAAGACCAATCGATAAAATATGTACGGAAATACGGATTTTCTGCGCTGGCAGCACTCGCTAAAGCTGTCTAATGTGACATCTCGCTTTCGCATCAGGCTTCTGTGTGCTACTATTTCCTTCTAAAGGTGAATCATCATATATTTATGTATTAGTCACATAGAATCTCTATGAGGAACTATGTTCTACACAAATTTCTGTAACCTCATAGCAGTACATACAAAGTTTTAAAACATTAAAACAGTAGTCCAATACTACTTTTTAAGAAACTTATTTGAGATCGTCTTCGTCGGATCTAAGGAATAGTATCTCATTTTAACTGAAAATGTTTCCACGAAAGAATTTTATAGTAAGGGTTCAATAAAGTTTCATTTGGTTTACCCCAATAATGTTTTACAGTAGAGATATGATGTTAACGCGCCAGAATTGAGGCCACAGAAACGTCCTAATTGGGACGTTTGTCTTTAGTTCACGTTAAACCGGGTAGCAATTAAGACGCGGTGTGAAAAATTTTACAACAGTAACAACGTCGTCGTATGTCTTTGAAAGATGAACCAACTACGACTCTAAAGTTACCAAAATTCAAGGGATCTCATATCATATGAACTCTACTGTACCTTCGTTTATTAGTATATTTCAATTGTTTTCAATAGACTTTAATTTTTGGAGGTAAGAAAACAAAGAAAGAGACGGCAAATAAATCTAATACGGGGACGAGAAAGACGGATACATCTGCGGATATAGATTATATACGAATGTCGTAGGCAGTAACAGTAAAGTCAACATTACTCCACACACTCCACAGTTTTCAGTTTTCCTTTTTTCTGTCTATTAATTAAAAATGCGTTTTATGTATTATATTACACTAAAACGCAGCGAGTTCTAATCTGATTATTTATTAATTTCTTTCTTATTCATTTAAGATTTCTTACCAATGAGGTTCTACTTCAAGAGTGGATTGCGATCGTACGTAATCAAAGGAATGAGCCTGGTCGAAGACAATAAAATGCCGCATCTTGATAACTTTTTAAATTCCAAACCTTACCCAACAATTCGTCTATATTCAATAAAAATAATCCCGAAAATAAAATAAAACTCTGTAAGTGACAGAAAAAAAATAAGTTTATTTTCTCCGAAGGTGTGTGATGTTTTTTATTTTTTCTTTTGCATAGTAATTTGTTTGTTACTCTAAAGATAGGTCCTTTTATACCATTCCATTTTATATAAGTTCACAAATGAATGGCCCACTATCAGTTCGGCTTCGCCTTGCCCCTTCTGTTTCAAGAATTGGTTGTCTTGGCATATATTGTTATCCTTACTAATATTATAAAGGCGAAAGTGGGTGAAAATTTGTATGTATGAATGGATGTTTATTACTCTTTCGCGCAAAAACGACTGAATAGATTTTAATGAAATTTTACAATAACATATATTATACATCAGAATAACACATATGCTATAATTTATAAAGATACTATGTGAATTGTCCAAAATATAGGTAATGATAAGTGTCAACTAAGCGGGAAAAAATTCAGCGGCTGCGCAAGCAAAGCCGCGGTTAACAGCTAGTATCCAATGAAGCATACAAACAATTTCGAATATCGTTTTTACGATAATTCGAACGAGAGATGTCGCCATTGCCTTATGAAATTAAGATTTTATAGTGCCCATCTTTGACACTATAAAATGAATTGAAAATGAATTTATGATGAAAAAAACCGGCGAGGTGCAAGTTGGAATCACGCACAAAGGGTTCTTTAACATTATCTATGAAAACGGCAAAGATCTTGTCTGCTTTATGGGAGCCCCACTTAAATATTTGTTTATTAGTATTTGTTGTTGTTGTAGCGGCAACAGAAATACCTGTAAAAATTTCAACTATCACGGTTCATGAGATACAGCCTGGTGACAGACGAACGTACAGAAAGACAGACAGCGAAGTCTTAATGATAGGGGTCCCCTGGGTACGGAACCCTACAAATTAAAATTTGTAGAAAAAAGGATGAGGTCTTTCGCCCGTATGTGACGAGGATATCCGCTCCGTATTTGCAAGAAGGATAAAATTTTCCTTTAAACGAGCAATTCCTGTGTGTGTATATATATAGCGTGTCGTTACCATCGCGACAATAAATGAACACACATATAGGGGATAACTTTTTAAAGTTGTATTAAACATTTAAATTCTTTAAACATCAATATTTACAGAATTATTAAATTTTCCAAAACAAAGAATTTTAGAACACCCTTACCTACAAAAGCGTAACGTAAAGTTCATTTGTAAAGGTCACAAAGCATATGAATGGGTTGAATGAATTTAAAAGAAACAAAACATACTGTTAGAAGGAGAGGCTTGTAATGCGACGCTGTGGCGCGAGTTGTATAGGATGTTACAAATTTTGTTTCTTTTTTACTTAATTAGTTTGTTTGAAAAAATTTTTTTTTTAATTATGGATTTTGTTTAACGTTAATATTTTTTTATGATTATTGATTAATTTACCATCGCGACAATAAATGAACACACGTCTAACGCTAATTGCCAATAATTATAAAAAATATTAACGTTAAAAATATCTATAATTAAAAAACAATATTTTTCAAACAAACTAATTAAGTAAAAAAGAAACAAAATGTGTAACACCTATACAACTACATCTGACTGATTCATACATTCAGAGACTTTCATTTGTTGCCACAACGCCGCATTTGAAGCCTCTCCTTCTATCAGTATGTTTTGTCTCTTTTAAATTCATACAACCCATTCATATGCTTAGTGACCTTTTTAAATGAACTTTACATTAAAGTTTTATACTGTTCTAAAATTCTTTGTTTTGGAAAATTTGATAACTCGTTAAATATTGATGTTTAAAGAATGGTAAATCTTTAATAAAATTTTAAAAAGTTATCCTCTATATGAGTGTTCATTTAATGTCGCGATGCTAAAGACACGCTGTAATTATATATAATCGGAATCTCGGAAAGGGCTCCAGCGATTTTCATGAAATTTTGTATGTGCGTAGATTCGGGGGCTCGATCGGAAAATCGATCTAGCTAGGTTTCATTTTTAGAAAATGTACTTTTATCCCTGTTTTCAGGGAATGAAATATATCATTCGAATATGAGTAAATTTCGCCGCAAAAAAAAAACGATAGCTCAGAAGGTAATCGGGCGGCCCCAAAACAGACGCGGTTCCTATCACGATCACTTACACACTTATTTTTTTTTACTTTTTTTTTTCTATACCAGATCATTTTCTTTATTTTTTTTATTTCCAAAATACATGATTTTGGAACCAGGCACTATGACTTACCTGATATTTACGTGCTCAAGTTTACATTTACCTGATGCACGGTGAAAAGATTGTCGATACGAGATATTATAAAATAAATATTAGTAATAAATATAAAAATTCACAAAACACATTTATATTAATTTATTTTCTACAATTTACAGTATAAATCATAGTATTTTCTTGTTTTTGTTTGTTCTCTTTTTCGATACTGAACAGTTGACAGGGTCATGATATCAAAATTAAGTATTTCCAAAAAAAAAACAACAGTAAGAAAACAAATCAATCAAAAAAAGTTTAACAATATTATAAAAATAATTAAAAACGGATCTTAGAAAACTTTGTAAAAGCACCGCATTACTAAAGAAAATATTTGATAAAACAGCAACACAAAGCACACGGTCCCCATTTATTTCCCAAACACAGGCGCCTATTAAATATATTATATATATTCAATAGGCTAATTTTGATAATTATTTAATTGAGAAAACCTTTGTTATTTCTTTAAATTACTGAGAAATAGGTAAATCGTAGTCTGTTTTTCTTATCTAATTTCATAATCTCTCAGTAATTGATTAATGAATAACAATATTGTACTATACAGAGACGTTTGAAATATACACATTAAAAAGGAATGAAATACACATTAGACAAGCACACAGACATTTAACGATTATTTATTTGTTCAGTATTCAGGTAGTAGCTTAGCATCCATCGCAATAGCTTGTAAACTTAACATTATTAACCTAAATTTATTTATTATTAACCTGGAAAAAAATTGTGTCTCAATATGATATACTTTAAACTAATTTATTAATATATACCACAGTGTCTAAAAGATTCGTCCCCCACTAATTAATTAATACCAAGAAGAGGTGCTATCGATTCTTTGTTTTTTCTGTTAACATAACATACCATTGAAATTAGTAAATTATTTACAATCCTCAGTGACTAAACTAATTGTAATAACAATCATTTAATAGCAACTATCACCCACACTTAGACGTGTTTGAAAGCTTTAACAGTTTCAGACAAGTTGTAAAGAGTTTTATTGTAGTAATCCTGGGTCTGGATTGATCACAATTGGACATACAAAGGATAGTTTGGAAATTAATCATTTGGAACCATATGCAGGTTATTCCAGATTTTAGCAGGTCACGGACATGCTGTATGATTTTTGTTGATCAGTCATCGCACAGTACACAGTTTATAGGTATCGGATGGGACACTGCGTATACGAGGAAGGAGGCTATTGCTCTCTCGTTCACACTGCAGTCAAAATCGCTGTGCTCCGCACCAAATCAACATTGCGTGTAACATTATTATTTAGTTTTGTGAATATAAATACTAGAATAGAATAAACTGTGATAGTTCAAGTGTTTGAGTACTCGCTTTTAAATCAATTAACTCGAGGATCATCTTTCGATCTAATCTCGGTGTTGGCACCAATGAAATTGTTAGTTGTCAATTTTAAGTGCTGACTTATCACTTGCTCAACGGGAAAGGAAACTTGAATATTATCGAAATATAAAAAAAAATATTTCTTAGATATGTAGTCAGTGGTGTCGCGTGGCGGCAAACTCTGACTACATATCTAAGAAATATTTATTACTATTACCCTCTGTACAGAGGAGGTCTACGCTCAGCAGTGAGAGATGTTACTTTACTAAATTCTAGTTTACTATATGAACACGATTTTCTCAGTCGGCAAACTGAGCAAGCTTAACTTGGGCCTTTGAGTTAATTTGACAGCGGTCAACTTTAAAACCAACATCATAAGGGGTCTTCGTCCAGGAGCTCCTCGAAACTGGTCTGGGTCTCCGCTGAGGAGAAGCCTAGCAGCGCGTCGATTTTCGTGCCGAAGCCCGCGGTCTGGGTCTCCGTGGAGGTCAGGCTTAATACGGGACTAGATGACACGCTGTCGAAGAGGCGGGCCCCGAACTTGGGCGACTCGTACATGCAGCAGCAGGTTTGGGTCTCTTTTATGCTCAGGTCCGGCGACTGGGTCTGCGACGTGATGGTCTCCTTGTTAGATCGGGCCAGCCCGAACTCTACTGGGAACGTTTGCGTCTGGATGTCCGCTAGAGGGACGGCCTCCTGGAAGTAGGAGTCCTCGTCGCTGCCCTGGGACCTTAGTTCTAGAGCGGTCTGGGTGGATATCTCGTCGGTCTTCGCCTCTTCGGGCCACGAGGGGAGCGCCACGTCGTTCCTGATCCCCTCGAGGGCCAGGGTCTGCGTCGCCGAGGTCCTCTTAGGGCTGTCGCAGATGTAGTCGAGCTCCGTCCGCGCCCCGGCCCGCTTGGACCTCCTCTCGGCCCTGCGCTCCATTTTGTAGCGCTGGTGGAGAAGCGGGTGCCTCCTCATCAGGTGAACGAGCAGCCGCTCGTTGGTCTTGAACTGGCGGTCGCATACGTTGCACTCGTATGTGATGTTGCACGTGTCCAGGTGCCTCGTAAACGCACCGCCGGTGGGGAACCTCAGCTGGCAGTGCTCGCAGGTCCTGGCTTCAGCGCCGTGGACCTTGCTCAGGTGCTGGTTGAGGAACTTCCTGCCGGAGAAGCGTTTGCCGCCCGTGTCGGGGTGGTAGGAGCAGTTAGCAACTGGGCAGCAGTATTCCAACTCCACGGCGAAGTCTTTGGGAGCATCGTGTTTCCTCAGCATGTGAGTGAGCAGTTCCGGCTTCTTGGCGAACGTTTCTGCGCAGCGGAAGGGACAGGGGAGCGCTATCTTCGCGCTTGTGTCCGGTGCGGTTATCGTCACGACCAGCCTTTTGTCGTAGAGCATGGTTGAAACGCTGTTCTCTTGTTTCTCGACACCTATCGACTCTCCGGTCACGCCATGACCGCTATTTTGTGTAGCGGATTTGTTCTGAAACAAAGTTTTTGAAAGGTAATTTTAGGACCACTGTAATGTGATAAAGAATTAGCAAACAAGTTGTCATTATACAGCATGTCCTTAAAGTCAATGTTACACTTTTAGCTTTAATAATAATTACAACCTTAACCTTTAAAGCTATATTTAAACTAAAACTATTCGACAAAAGCATATAAATTTACAATATGGAACAAATTTAAATATTTTATATGCGTTTGCTTAGTGAAAACTGCACTAGGTTAGAACTCGAAGGGGTCAATACTCTCGATTAGCCAGTCTTGGACAATTAAAATTAGGTAACAGAATTAAATCGGATAAAATTACGTTAAACACTGAAACGTATTTTCACGATCAAATTTGAATCAAACTCAGCACATTCATCAAAGACCCGTGACAATGCAATAGTTTAAATAGTTTTTCCCATTATCCTGATCAGGATCTTCAGGATTAGATATATTCCAAATCCAATACCCGGTAGTGTCCTTGTGCCAACCGATTTCCATTTTTTTTGTTTCAGAAAAGCGTGGGATTGTTTTTTATGATTTTTCCATTATGACTCTACTTTTACCAGTATACTGTATATACTGTCATTAAAATATTATAACAACTTTGTATTATTTTTATTTATATTATTTTGACTCCAAGCATCCTGCGCTTTTCTACAATAAAAATTTATTTATGTTAAATTTATTGAAAATTATATTCTACTTTTCAGTTCGGTTACCTACAAAAGCATATTGTTTAGTTTTTTTTTAACTTTTGTATTTGAAATTTATAATATACCTTATTGTGTTAAATAATGGTAGGGTATCGCTTTGTTTGATGGCTAAATCTGGGCGCGTTTTAAGTGCATAGCTTTACTATCTGTTTTATCCAACCTCAAGAAGAAGAAGGAAGAGTCATCAAGTTATTCAAAATTGTAAATTTGAATAGAAGAACAAAATTGTTATTGGAATAGGAGTCTGGCACTTAAAAAATTAAATTTATTATAATAGTGTTCCTTTTGAACAAACCGATATTTTTTTTTTGTATTTATATAACTGATGTTACGCTTTCAGTCCTAAGACTATTAAAGCTTCATCGAACCCAGAACCGGTGCCAGAACCCACGTGTTTGAGGCCCTCCTCAGTGGTTAGGGCCGCGCATGTACTCGTGTGTTCGTTAATCATGGAATGTCGCTTACGGGTCATCGAGGTACGGCGCGGACCGTGACGCCGATAGTCATTGACTGTGAGTGAGGCTATCGGCGTCACAGTTATTCTTGTCTAGCTATCTGACATAGCTCTTGTATTTTACATAATGATTATGTTTCGTCAAAAATAAGTTCAAAATGTTTAAGTTGAAATAAACAGTTTTCTCATCAATCCTTAAGTGTCTTTTTTCTTTACCATTCAAGAGTTCTTTAGTTTTATGACCCCAAGTTTTTAGACAATATAGTATATTATTAAACATTAAGTGAACTAATTGTGAGTTATTTAATAAGTCCTTATAATGTAAATAAAAAACTATATGCATAAATGTATTACCAGTGTAGCATTGCTCTTGAGTATGGAGTCGGACTGTTGACATTGGGCGCGAAACCTCCGGCACTCCAGGAGAGTGTCTTCGCAAGATGCGCAGAGTAATTCAGAGAGTCTGTTTTGATCACTGGCCTGGAAACGCGAGTGAGAATTGAAGTTGGATTATTCAAATTACTTATTATTCCAAACTAACTCAAGACGTAAAGGACATTTGAAACCATGGATTACTCCTGGCATAATAAAATGTATCCGTAATAGGGACAGAATGCATGCAGCGGTCAATAATAATCCAGGAAATGAAATATTAAAATTTTCGTATATTAGGTATAGAACGTATTGCAGCAATCTGTTAAAAATATCAAAGAACTGTTACGAAAAAAGTGAGATTGAAAAAGTGTCCAAGGATCCTAAGAAGACTTGGAAAGTAATTAAACTAATAATGAGTCAAATGTTCTTTTAAAACTACAAGACAGTCCACAAAAGTCCTTGGACGCAGTCAATGACTTTTTCGCTAGTATTGGCTACCACCTGGCTGAAAAAATCAAACTAACAATAACCAACCCTACTGTGAATATCATAACTTCACTCCATGGCATTCTTACCAACTGACGATTTGGAAGTGATGTCAATAATAAACAACATGAAGAGTGACGCTTCCCCTGGATGGGATAATATACCAGCTAAATTATTAAAACAGACCAAGAATACAATCACTCCCATTCTAACGAAAAAGGCACTTTTCTAAACGCTTTTAAAATCTCAGTTATAAGCCCCATTTATAAAGGAGGTGACAAAGACAATATAAGTAATTACCGTCCAATATCTGTTCTACCTTTAATGTCAAAAATTTTTGAAAAAATTATAAATAAACGTCTCATTAGCTTTTTAGAACATAATAATATTTTTTCTGACTCACAATTTGGATTTAGAAGAGGTAGATCAACAGAAGATGCTGTGAATGAACTATCTAACTATGTTGCCAGAAAGCTAAATAACAAACTTAAGTGTATTGGAATCTTCTTAGACCTCACGAAAGCTTTTGACACAGTTTCGACCACTATATTAATTAAAAAATTATATCATGTTGGTGTCCGTGGCAAAACTCTGGATCTCTTTTCAAGCTACCTTACTGATAGGAAGCAAAAAGTAAAAATAGGGAATCATGTAAGCTCTGAAACTACTGTCACATGTGGTGTTCCCCAGGGCAGTGTGCTGGGTCCAAGTCTTTTCCTCATTTATATTAATGAGCTCTGCAACCTCAATTTATATAACGGAAAAATCTTCGCATTTGCTGATGACACGGCTATTGTGTTTCATGGCGAAACTTGGGAAGAGGTATTTAAGATAGCGGAATATGAGCTTATTAAAGTTATAATATGGCTCAGGCAAAATTTGCTAACACTCAATTTAGAGAAAACAAAATTTCTTCCTTTTTCCATCCGACATGATAAAACCTTGGATAGATATGATTACATAAGAGCTCATGATTGCTGTGTTAATGAAATCCAAACACGAAACATTGATTGCTCATGCCCTCGCGTGGAAAAGGTGATGGTTTTGAAATATTTGGGAGTATATCTCGATATGAACTTAAACTGGCAATATCACATTAATATGCTATCAGGCCGAGTACGTAAGCTAATATGGGTATTTAAAAGACTGCGTAATATAGCTGACCAGTTCCTCCTCAAGACAGTGTACTACTCCTTATGTCAATCGTTGATCACCTATTGCATCTCTGCTTGGGGAGGTGCAACTAAAACAGCTCTAATTCCATTAGAGCGGGCTTAAAGATCTGTACTCAAGGTAATAAATGAAGAAACCATTTCTATATCCCACGGTTCAATTGTATTCTGACTGCCAATTACTCTCAGTGCGAAAGTTATTCATATTACATTGCATCCTCAGATATCACAGGTGCTTTTAGTACGACCCAAGACTCTATAAAACAAAAAGAAGATATCGAAATATTTGTCCTAGCGTAAAATTCAACACCGTTTTTTGTCATCGCTTTTATTGCTTTCTGTCACCATATCTGTACAATGAACTTCACAAGAGACTCGATATATTCCATTTGAACCAATTTGCCTGTAAAAAAAAGTTAGACGAATACTTATTACAATTGGATTACCAGCAGACAGAAGACTTACTTAGGTTAGCAAAATGACTCCACCACGCACACTAACAAAACAATATCAATATATTATACATAATAATACACTTATATACATAATAATACACCTATATTCTAAATATATATAAAAAACACATACTTCTTCCAACTTTTAATTAATTAAATAATGATGTGAAACTAATGTTATAATCCTAATTAGCTAATCGACAATTTGATCCCTGCGAGACAGGTTGCTACCTAGTGCAGGGTTCAGTATGCAAATGTGAACACGATTTATAAACGTACTTACTGTGCTTAATACTGTAAATGATTTTTTGTTCTGTACTATTTGTTTAAATAAAGCTAGTTTTTTGTTTGAAAAAACCAAAAAACCAAATATTTCCTCTTTATAATATTAATTAAGATCAAGGATGAGCAACGCGTGGCCCGCGGGCCGCTTGCGGCCCCTTAAACATGTTTATGTGTCCCGCCAAGCATTTCTAAAATTGAATTTATTTTATCGAATTTCTCCCATCAACATATTGTTATAAAATTAATTATAATAAAATGGTAGTACATACTGAACCAAACTATTTTTTGTTTGTTATCTTGTTTGTTTTTACCTTGCATTAAAGTTTGTATATGAAATCTTTACTTTTTTTTATTCTATATTTTTTTATTCTAATATTTATTATAGATAATCATGTGACTGCAGGAAACATTGAAATAGTCCCTTGAGACAAAGCATTAGTTATATCTGTGTATCATGTTTTATGTTAGATCTAAGAGAGAGCTTATTTTTTTATCAAAAAAAATCAATAAATTAAATGTAATAGCAAGTACTCTCGTTTTTAATTTATTTGAGAATACAATGAATATGAATTATAATGGTTTAAGTATCCTTAAACCATTATAATTCATAAATTAAATTCACCATTTTACATCACTTAATTTGTTTATTTAATTTAAAGATTTAATTTCTGTCTCAGAATCAGTAATTAATTATTGTTTTGGTTGGTTCTCAATGGATTATTATTATTTCTGTAATTTGTAGAAAATTAAAGAAATAAAGTAGCTTTTTTTACCATCACATCAATCAAACACATTATCTGCTATATATAATGATAAATAAATCACTTTAAATAAATTTGGTACACAAAGTAACGGTAGATTTCCTTAGACTAAATTTCAAGAATTATTTATTATTATTATTCATAATCTGAACTATTCTGATAAGTTTTGTCATTATTATTTCGGTACACAACTTTATTGTTTAAATATATTTAAAAAAAAGTAAAGCAAAGTAACAGCCTATAAATGTCCCACTGTTGGGCAAAGGCCTCCTCTGTACCGAGAGGGTATCAGGGCATAGTCCACCACGCGGCCCCACTGCGGATTGGCGGACTTCACATATCTTCGAAATATTTCTTTTCTGTTATTATTCCGAAAATATGCAGGTTTCTTCACGATGTTTTCCTTCACCGCTGAGCACGTGATAAGTCAGCACTTAAAATTAATAATTTCATTGGTGCTGGCACCGGTGATCGAACTCAGGTTGCTCGAGTAAATTGAATTGAAGGCGAGCGGCCGGACACTGAGATATAAGTATCACGGCTCAAAATATATTTATGACTGAATAAGTAATGTATCCCTTTTCTAGAATTTTACCGTATTAAAGAAGCTTTTAATAATTTCGGAATATTATTTTTAAACCACAATGTACCTCAATATCGCCAAATTTATAAAAGTCTTCCAAAAGGCCGTGTTCAACCATATTTTTCATGGCCCCATATTCCATGAGACACCCACGACAGAAAACAGATGTATCCATGTTTAGTTCACTAATGGACTCAGCCATTTTGTTTTGAATTAATTTAACTGAGATCCTGAAATATAACTTATTCTTAGAATGTTATATGTTTCCCTATCATGGGATAGATATCATAACATTACATTTTAAATACCAACAACCAAATAGGTAATGTAGTAAATCAAAACTGACAGTTAGCAATTGACAAGAGAATTAGCGATGTGCGACTCGAGTTATTTGACTCGAGTAACTCGAGTCAAACCTTAAACGAGTCAACTCGAGTTCAGTTTTAAGCAACTCGAATCAACTCGGTCGTCCGAACGCAAGCCGGACGTTATACGCGGCGGCCTCACGAGTTGTTCCGAATTACACACGCGGCTCGCGCGCGCGGTTCGTTAGGCGTTGCAACTCGCATCAACTCGAGTTCAGTGAAATGTAAAGTTACGATAAACGCGCGCGCGCCGTTCGTAAGTTGTTGCAACTCGCATCAACTCGAGTTGAGTGAATTCAAAAGTTACGTTACACACGCGCGCGCTGTTCGTAAGGTGTTGCATCTTACTCGCATCAACTCGAATAGAACTCGGGTTTTGAATTCAGAATTGCGCAAATGAAAAACCGCTTTAAAAGTTTATTTTCTTTTTTGATTGACATTTTGTTATTTGTTTTTATTAGTTGGCCGTTGGCGATCCGCGTGCGAACTAATATTTTTGATTTGTTAGTGAACTGTTTTGTTTTGTTTGTAACGACGTCAAATAACAGAAGTGTGGCGTCGGAATTTGTTATAAAAACAGAAACTTTTTTTAACATTATTTTCGATAAGCAATCGACTATGTACATTTTAGCCTCGAGTCGAGCTGACTCGTGCTCTCCGAATTGGCCGAGTCGTCGTCGAGGTGTATAGAAAAAGGAGAGGATTAATTCAGACCACATACAAAGTTGCGAATCGACTCCCCCCCCCCCCCCCCCCCCCCCCTACCGGAGACTTCGATGCGAGTCAACTCGAGTTGCGATTCGAGTCAGTAGCCAAATCAACTCGAGTAACTCGAGTCAAAAAAAAATCCAACTCGTCACATCACTGAAGAGAATTCCATTTCAGAAGAAAATTATGAAAAAAAGAAAATTGTACAATATATTGCGTGTTTTGCTAGTATAACGATTAAATATACAGACCCACATTTAAAACTTTAAGATTATTATGTAATATTCATTTGATGTAATATATGAGAGAAAATTATAATTTATATAAAAACAAAATTCGAAACGTCTTTCAAATAAACGTTCAACATTCAGAATTCAGATTTAATTTTGCTTTGTGAATATTTCCTGATGATTAGAATATATATTTTATTTAAAAAGTTTAAAAAAAAGGCTGTAATTACATGTTTCAGAGAGATGGAAAACACGAAATACAAGTTAAATAAATATTAAATTAATTTTCGTAAATGCACCTAGAAAGCTTATAAAAAATTTAAAAATAGAAATCTGATCCGAAAGTCATTGTGACATTCATTTTGGCCTGTCTAAATTAACAAGAGTATGTTTTCTTTCCTAACGAGAAAATTTTCATCGTTTTAATCCATCACCGAAATAAATAAACCGTTTTTTATCATCACAAAAAAGCCGGCATACTAACCGCTACGAAGTTGTTTACGGTTGTCGAGTCAGTATCGGACAAACATCAGGTCGGTCGCCATTTGCGCCACGAAGGCTAGCGAATCGGTTTTGTGCGCGGTGAAATTATAGGTTATAGTGTTAATTTATCAGTTATCAGTGCAACAAAATTGCAACAATCCCAACACTAAACACCCACGGACCGTTCAACAGTTACGAGAAACGTGAACTGTGTCAAATGAGTAAGTAATCCGCCCATTTTTACTTAATACGTTGTATCCGACACGTGCCTTAAGTTTAATTTTTATTTAGTTAAATTGCAATAGTGCTGTTGGCCCGCGTTGTGTGTGTGCCGCGTCGACTTTGTACCGTGGCGACTGTAATTTTCTATTGAAAGATTGCTGCCTCGCAATAAGTGTGTCGCGTTTGTAGTACGGCACTGGTGTCTATTTTGAGCTCGACTATTTGTTTCCACTAATATCGACATATTTATATACTTGTTTTGCCCGCGATATGTGGCATATAACGCGAACCGTCTCACGTCGCACTTACGTGGTGCTTCGGTTGTGTACGCGGCGGAGAAAGTTGAATATTTTAATATGACCGTGCCACCTTTCATTGTTGACAATCTATTTCATAACATCACCCGAGTTGGCTCACATTTGTTTTGTCCATTTCCTATGAATAACACTCGCATCGTCTGGCCTTATTTATTAATCGTAACCGGATTGTCGCTTATTTTCGTGCCAGTAATCTTCACAATTCCGATGACCCTGAAAATCTTTTTTTTTCTGTTTCTTTTAAAACCCGTTAACCAACAAAACTGCAATGTGATTTTAGACTGGCATTAAAATAAATGAAGTTAATTTCGTCATGTTTTGATTCATTGCTAGGTGTGAACATACTTTTTACGACATCATTAATTCGGGCTTTTTAATAGTAATCGCTTGTATATTTAGCTTGCTTATGGTAAAGCGTATATGAAAAAATAAAGGCTTCCAAATATCTCTATAACAATGTAATGGGCTAAGTCCTTTCAACTGTTGCCTGATGTAATACATATGCATTAAGAGTGAATATAGCTGTAAAGTTGGGGTATCCAAATTTCACTGAACTGTCTCATCTATATAAGGAAAGTCATATCTATCTAAGAAAATTATAATCACCAAAAGTAGAAAAGAATAGTAAATTTTTCATAATTAACAATGAACTTATATAAAAGACAAATATCTCATGGCACAGTTATACAATTTCTGTTACGTGTTGATATAGCTAGTGAGTTATTTTTTGTCAAGTTATTAAACATTTATTAAACTTTTTATAATACCCCATAAATCTATGACACACATCTCTCTTTCCTCCTTACACAGACATCATTCTTCACACAGTCCATCTAAATCTTTAATGATTTTCATCGCATCACATAATGTGCCCATACCATGTTAAGCTAAAATGAATTTCACACATACATATTTAATAAATATGCCCACAAATACATATGTGAACAAACAACATTAATAGTTATCTCTTGAGTAAAATTTCAACATTTCTTATTTATAATATTCAAGTTAAACAGTATAGTATTTATACAATTTAATCATATTTTGCTTTCATTTTATTACTACTGATACGGTTTGTTTATTATGTTGGTAGCAAATGTATTTTGTTACACTTTATCTATAGAACTCACAAACATACAAAACCCTAAACATTGCATCAAATTTAGGATGAATCTAACAGCCGATTGCTGAAAAATTTGCCAAGTAACGTTCGTAAATGTTATCTAGAAAATATGAAAATGGTATATGAATGCCACATATACCATTTTTCTGTTGTCTGCCATCAAGTCTGTGTGGCAAACTATGCCCTAATACTATATGTAGCACCAGTGGATGCTTTTGCTAGCCAATATATAGGCTGATAATATACCTTTTTTATTTCAGCTGTCCAGATCTCCAGCTATGAAGTTTGAAGATATTCAAGCAAGAATCATTATTGCCATACTTTCCAGAACTGTATCTGAACAATCAGCAAACTGTGCGGAGTAAATCCCACTTTATTGACTATAAATTGAACTAGCGTGTAATAAGAGGCACTGAATCGTGAATTTTCGCTCAGTATATGGACAGTGGGAAAAAATTGGAGCTGTTGCAAGAATGAAAATTCCAGAGACCTCTGCAAATATCGGTGCTTATTATGGCAATGACGAGAATGGTCAGTGGCAGGTATGCGGCTGTAGTGCATATTTATTTATTTCTAAAATGATTAGCTAACAGCAAATATAGTCTGATGGCTCGTGCAGTTGCCAAAGTACTGGCTTTGGCGTCTGGGGTCGTGGGTTCGATTCTTACGCAGGGCAACTATTTGTGTGACCCCCATTTTTCGCATCTGGGTGTTTGTCCGCGGGAAATTTATGTTTGTAAAAACGTCCTTACAGCACATGATAATGCTATCCTAAAGTAACGGTAATATTTTAAAAACTTGTTAAACTGTAAAGAAATTATTCAATCTTCTAACATGAAACCAACAAGTTCTCAAATCTTTTTACTTCAATGTGGTAGTGCTAATGTGTTTCTATTTTGACCAAGACTACTTATTGTCAAATGTATTATAAATTAATTAAATTAAATAATGTATTATAAATGTATAGTAGTGATATTGCCATATCTGCTTGGACCACGTGCTAAATCAATATTTGAAATTGGTTTTAATTTACATTTTTGTAAAGTTCTAATTTGTTCCTTCATTACAACCTCATCTTTGATAATGGGCAAAAATATTATAAAGTCGCTTAATGTATTTTCAAATGTATCAACATTAAGACAAAGTTTGAAAGTAAGTAAAAGCTTATCTCCTAATGGACTTGAAGATTAAATGGATCTGTTCCTTTCTTCTACACATATTGTACTACGAAGCTGACAACTTGGTTTAAGCTCACAAACAAGGATTATAAAAGTATGGGGAGTCTCTTCTAGATGTGTGATTATTGTAATGGAGTGAATAAATCATCTCCAGAATACATTGTCTGAAATGCATCCTGTATATAACTGAGCAGCTACTACTGGGCGGCTTCTTTGCGCCTGTTCTGAGAATGACGATAGCACAACTTAAAATCAGCCAAGGGGCATACAGAATAGTTCTTATTTATGCTAATACAAATTTATTTGTCGCTGGGCCTCGCAGGAGCTTCTGCTGTTTTTCGAATAGGTAGGCTCTACTAGGGAAGTATCACTCACCTCATAGAGGGCCTGCATAAAATTGAAGTATTATGTAGGGTCACCGAAGCCAGGTATTTTAAGGTTGGCAACAACATCGGCGGTTATCACTTAGTATCAGGTACACCGCCGTTTTGAAGTGAAAAATTGCCAAGCTAGTAGGCAATTTTTCACTTCTAATAATAAAATAATATATAAAGTGTATAAATGGCTAAAAGACTATAGAACTTTTCAATATTGATTTTTAATCTTGTTACATAATTCCAACAGCACATAGAATAGGAAGTTGATTAAAAATATTTAATTGATAGTAAATAAAATATATTCAGCACATACTCACATGTAACTTCAAACTTATGTATCTATTCTTAGAACTTAAGATAAATATATCATTTTGTTTGCGGATGACAACTCACTATTGTTTAGAGTTAAAAGGAAAGATGATACTCTAGAACAACTATATGAAATACTAGATATTGTGTCAAGCTGGTTTGCTATCAATAATAATTTACTTGGAATTCCACTAAAACAAAATGTATTAGATTTACTCTATCAAAGTTGTGTCACAAATCAGGAATCTCTATTGATGATAAAATCCTACCCCTTGATGATTCAACAGCATTTCTTTGAATAAGCGTTGACTCCAAGTTGCAATGGGGATTTCATGTAGAAAGTTAGCTAAGAAATTGAGTGATGCCGTCTTTGCCATATGAAAGATCAGGCAGCTAACTAACGAGGAAACAGCCTAAGTAGTTTATTATCCTTATTTTCACAGCATAGTGTCTTAATTTGGACGGAACCCCATCACGGTTAGATAGTAACGTCCGGTTTAGACAGTATTTGTATTACAAAAGCAGGCTATACGGGCTGTCTATGGCTTGGGTCCACGTGAGTCACTACGTCATCTATTTATGCGAAAAATGCTCCCATCGCTTCTCATAAAAAAATAAAAACAAAAAATTTTATATAAGAAATAAAAAAAAAAAGATTAGGAGTGGACCATCCTTAACATTTAGGGGGATGAAAAATAGATGTTGTCCGATTCTCCACGCTGGCTGATATGCACGCTAAGATTCACGAAAATCGGTCGAGCCGTTTCGGAGGAGTTCAATTACAAACACCGTGACACGAGATTTTTATATATTAGATACAAGACCCCAGATTTTTATATATTAGATACAAGACCCCAGAGTTTCTTACCGGTTCTGGACAGGTCTGGTTTAGTGAACCGGTGGTAGTTTTTTACTGTTCAATAAGGGCATGAAATAAGCCTATATTTAATGAAGAAATGTTGACTTTATTGTTCATTAAATATAGACTTATTTCATGTAGAAATGGCTTGTGTTGAGCTTGAGCATCTTATTGTTGTTAGTGTTTACAAACCGCCCTGTGCCTTGTATGAACGTTTTGAAAAAATCATGGAGGAAGTTTTACATAAACTTCATAAACAGAATAAATCTGTCGTCATATGCGGAGACTTTAATATTAATCACCTAGAAGCTTCTTCCATGAGGATAAGATTCTGCTCATTGTTAAAATCATTTAATCTTTTCAACTTGTTTTTTGAGCCTACAAGAATAACAGAGTCAAGTGCAACATGTATAGATAACATTTTTACAGATGTCAAACCATTGCACAGACTAATAATACATAAATTAAGTTCTGACCATTCAGGGCAGTTTGTCACATTGCCTCTGCACTGTAAAATCCAAGATACTAGGAAAGCTGTGTTTGTTTCGATAAATAAATATCGCAAGGAGAAGTTTAGAAGTAATTTAATAAAAAAACTACCTATGCTGCCCTACTATGACAATGCTAAGGCCTTGTATAGTTCATTATTTAATTTCATACAAATCGAATACAATGCCGTTTTTTACTTCTAAAACATTCTCTTTGAACAGTCGCAAGACTTTTAATGAATGGGCAACAGCAGGAATTCACCGCAGTAGACGAAGATTGTATGAACTTTACAGTGAAAGGTCATACAATCATTCTGAGACATTTAAAGATTATGTTAAAAATTACTCAAAAAATATTTAAAAAAGTGTGTCTTGCCGCCAAGTCATTACATTTGAGAAATAAAATTAAAAATGCCTCTAATAAAGTAAAAATGACTTGGAACATTATAAATAGTGAAACAGGAAAAACCAAATCACGTAGGTCTGACTACCAGCTCAACATTGATAATAAATTTATAACGACTAATCAGGAGGTAGCTGAAGTATTTGAAAAATTCTTTAGTGAGATTCCTACTTTAACTACATTGTCGCTGAATTCTTCTCCTGCTGTTGCCGAGACATTACTCAAGGAAAATGTAAGTGCTTGCACCACAATCTTTAAATTTCAGGCTGTATATGCAAAAGATATTATAAAAATGTTTAAGACCATTGAACTTAAGAAAACGGCAGATCTATGGGGAATGTCCGTTGAAGTGACTGCCTCAATAATATATTCAATCGCGCCTTATTTGTCAATAATTTTTAACAATAGTGTAGATTCTGGCGTATTCCCTGATCTCATGAAACACAGTAAAGTCATACCTGTATTTAAATCCGGTAGTACTTCGGACCCCACTAATTTTAGTCTATTGGTTTAATACTAACAATTTACTATTAAATGGTAATAAAAATAAATGTATGAAATTTTCAACACCTAATGTTAAACATTTGGGTGCTACCAATGTACTTATAAATGGGGGGGGGAGTTAGGCCTTGTGGATACGACTGTCTTTCTTGGAATAACTCTCGATGCAAAGCTTCATTGGGGTCCCCATATATCCAAACTTGCGAATAGACTAAGTTCTGCAGCATATGCTATAAGGAAAATAAGATGTCTAACTGATGTAAAAACGGCTAGAATTGTGTATTTAAGTTACTTCCATAGCATAATGTCATATGGTATTTTGCTATGGGGGCACGCGCCCCTATATATAGAAACAATTTTTATTTTGCAAAAAAGGGCCATAAGAGCTATTTATAATCTAGATCTGAATGCATCTTTGAGAGAGAAGTTTAAAGAAATAAATATATTAACCTTAGCCTCTCAATATATATATGAAAATGTTATGTATGTGCGTAGAAATATTAATAATTTTGATAAGAATACTGATATACATAATGTGAACACTAGGAACAAACACAAACTTGTAATGACAGTTACTAGACTCCATAGAGTAAGTAACTCGTTCATAGGGCGGTGTATACGCTTTTACAACAAAATCCCAGTAAATGCGCAAAACCTGCCTATTAACAGGTTTAAGAAATTTATTAAAGAAAAACTTTATAAAAAGGGTTATTATAAAACAAATGAATACATTAATGACAATAACCCCTAGGAATGAGTTGATCGCTCCCAAGCTATTTCTAAAAGGAAAAAAATCAGTTGTATAATTTTTGAATTTTTTGTTAAGAAAAAAAATAATTACAAAAAAGAGTATACCTACGGAGTTTCTTTCGCCTGTTTCTTCTCCGCTAGAGGAACCTCATTACGACACGGTGGTAGATTTAAAAAAAAAATATGACTATTGATAAATGAAATGTAAGTTTCTTATGTCGATGAATAAATGATTTTGATTTTGATTTGATTTTGAACAGTAAAAAACTACCACCGGGTGAATTGTCAAAGTACCTTTAATCAATATAGGCTTAACTTAAGCTCTTATTGAACGTCATGAAAAAATCTACCACCGGCTCACTAAACTAGATCCGAACAGAGAAGAACCGGCAAGAAACTGTGTTCTTGTTCTTTTTGTTGGTTTTTTTTGTGATGCAATTACTTTAAATAGATTTTAATATCATATATCATTTATTCCAGAAAACGTTCAAAATGCATCAATAGCTAAGTTTAAAAAAATAGTAAAAGAATGTTTGTGTGTTAAAGCCTACTATAATATTAATGATTATTTGAATGATAACACACTCTGGTAATGAACTGATCGCTCCAGGCTCTTTCAATCGGAGTTCTTATATTGTATTTTAACGAATTTATGTCAAACTGCTTATTTAAAAAAAAAAAAAAAAGCCCGCTGAGTTTCTTTCGCCGGTTCTTCTGAGTACAGTGGCTTTCTTTTCCGAACCGGTGGTAGTGTTTTGACTATCAATAAGTGAGTGTAATGCTCCTATGTTGAATAAATACATTTGATTTTGATTTTTGCTAATGTGAATATGTCTTTCTCGATTTCGCAGCCAAACGGTGTGATAATTGACAACGGTGTCGGCGGCGGCGTAGTGGGTAGCGGAGACGCGGGCGTCCACAGACCACCTGTCTACCCAGTCCATATTCCGAGGGGTCACCATATACCCGGTAGGTGGTGATATACCATTTCACTAGTGAACGGAAACAAACACGAAGCATTATTGTCGCTCCAGAATGACTTTACGAAAAACTATACCGTGACGCGCGTGATAAACGCGCCCGAGAATGCAATATAGCATTAAGCTCGCCTTTGTACAATTTTCTGTGCAATAAAGATTAAATAAATAAATAAATAAACCGTACCGCCATGTAGACCAGGTAGACTTAGTTAAACTAAGGTATTTTTTTTTTCTTTGTTATATTTTTATTCTTATTGTAATGATTAATTTATATCGTATTTTTATTTGTATTAATAATTAGCAATTTCAATTTAATTCTTAATCTGTAATGCTGTTGATGATTTGTATGTTGTTTGTACCTATAATTGGAGTAGCACCAATCTTGTGTTTTGGTTTCTTTTTTTTTTTAACTTGTGATGGTGTCTACTCTGTTGGTGCAACTAATAAATAAAGTAGGAAATAAGTTCGTTTTTGTTTGATTACGCTTGATAACTATCAGCGAGAGTGGTGGTGCTATTTATTAACAGTCAACATGTTTTATAATGTATATAATTATGTGATATATATGCGAGTCAATTGCCATTCAATATATCTCATTGTCTGGACTTGCCGCTTTCAATTCAAAAACACTTGAACCACCCAAGTTCAAGAGCCGTGATAGCTCATTGACCGGCCCCTCGCTGATAATTTAATATACTTGAGCAACCTGACTTCATTCTGCAGTGCCGGAAAAGTACCAATGAAATTGTTAAATTTTTTTTTAGTGCTGACTTGTGTGAACTATGCCTTAATACGCTGCACAGTTCAGGCCTTTGCCCAACAGTAGGTCACATAGAGGGTTTAATTAAAAATGAGTACTGAATAGAACAAATTTCAAATTTATTCTATCAGAGTACGTAAAAGTCCATTTGAAAAGCAAAGCTAGTAATCCTTATTGGATTACAAGAATTTATGTATTTGCAAGTTCAGACAATGCTTTTAAAGTCCACTTTCACTTTTTTAAAGTTGCCATCGCTTCTGCAAAACCTACTACCTATATATATATATATAGTGGCAACATTTACGTAGGTACCCTTCTCAGGTTAAAAAATTAATGAATTTCTGCGATTTTTGTAGAAAACAGATTTTGCGGACCTATACAATTTTTTATTCTAATGATCAAAAACAATTTTCTCTCTTTTAGGGTACGTTATGGCCGGTGCCTACTACCCACCAGCACCCTACCCCCCTGTACCCCCCGCTCCCCAGGACGATTTTGCTGACTACATGTGGATGGAGAACGAGGAAGAATTTGACAAACAAGTAAGCAGATATTTTGGAGTAAGGAGAAACAAAAAGCTATATAGCTATATAAGCTATATATACACTTCTAATGTTACTTGTTACGAATCATAAAAAAATATAAAAGTGAAAAAAAATCCGTAATTAAAAAAAATGATTTTCACACAAACTAATTCAATAAAAAATAAACTGTAGTTTGTAACACTGATTCGTTCATTCAGAGACGAAGTCTATCCTCCTATTGGTATCTTTTATCTCTTTTTCATTCAACCATTTCATTCATATGCTTGTGACTTTACAAATGAACTTTATGTTACAGTTTTATATGTAAGGGTGTTCTAAAATTATTTGTTTTGGAAAATTTAATAACTCATTAAATATGAGTGTTTAGAGAAAGTTAATATTAAAAAGTTATGTTTATTACAATTTTAAAAAGTTATCCTCTATATGTGTTGATTTATGGCCGCGGTAACAGCGCCACATTGTATATATAATTGAAATTTAAATAGTTTATAATGCTAATCTTTGCACTTAACTAACTTGGGCTAGAGCGTCAGGCAGCGAATGCCGAAGACGTGGGTTCGATTCCCACAGCGGTGACAATCTTTTCGCACTTTTTCTACATATTTTAATTTTTTAATATAATTCTTCTGTTTGTGTGTAGATGACTGAACTCATAAACAGTTGGTTATATTTTAATGAATTTTTTTGTGTGTTCAAGTGGATTTGAGAATGGTTCCACTACAAAATGTCCAATACAATTTTAATTAATTAATTTTTTGTTTATAAATTGTCAGATTTAAGATGTGTGTACAGGACAACGTCTGTTGGGTCCGCTAGTGTAATATATAATCAATCAATAAGTTGGAAATAAATCGCATCTGCCATTTACCTGCCCTTAAGGTTTAACGACAAATAAAAAACAAAAAGAATATTTATTCATTACACTAGGAACTCCATAGGTGTCCTCTTATTTTCTTAAAACATAAAACTATTATACTTGAACTGATTTTTTTCTTTTAGAAATAGCTTGGGGGCGATCAACTCATTCCCAGGGGTTATTGTCATTAATGTATTCTATATGGACATACTAGCCTAGGTGACTGTCATACATATTCTTGTTGCAGGTGATGCAACAGTTGGAGGAGGAAGCTCTGATGGAGCAGTGCATAGAGGCGATGTTGGAAGACGAGCAGCGAGAGAGGCACAGGCCGGTCTCCAACGGCCACAACCACCACTACCCCACGTGAGTACTCACTACCGTGTATTGTATTTGGGATTAGGTAGTGAATGCAAACGACTACCGCAACTTAAAACATTTATTGTACTCTCCCCTTCAATAACTTCCTGTTTTATAAGGATTGTTTTACACACATAAATTTCATGTGGACCAACAACCCCTTCCAAAACAATTGTCTGTATGTCACACAAATCGAACCCACAACCTGCGGCGCCGAACCTTGGCAACCGCGCCATTGAGTCATCTAACAACTATGTAACAACTGGACTGAACTAGAATATTATTTCAACTGCATATCTATACTGACATTGTAAAGAGAACATATTCAAAGGTAATTTAAGACAATTTAGACTACACATAAAAGCTTTGTAGGACGCTCCACTAGATGGAGTGACCTGTGCAAATGGTGGCTCAGGGTTGTACTTCGTGGGGGAGGCCTATGTTCAGCAGCGGCCTAGAACAGGCTGAAATGATGACGTTGAAAAGAACCTGAAGTTAATCCAAGTCATTAAACAGAATGGAATTTGTGGTTTATAGTCTGCATGCAGGGTGCGACATACAAGATAGTAAAGACTCCCATTCTTTCTATAGATCAATTACTTTTTAGTTGTTGTTTCTGCTGCCCGCGACTACGTCTGCGTAGAATAGGCTGAAGGCGTAACATTCAGATACATAAAAATATGTATATAAATTATAGCCTATGTCTTATTCTGATGTATAAGCTATATAATTGTAAAGTTTCGTTAAAATCCATTCAGTAGTGTTTGCGTGAAAGAGTAACAAACATCCATCAATACATACCAACTTTCGCCTTTATAATATTAGTAAGGATATATTTTTATATATTTCGTGGGCAGCTTTATTAAGTCTCGTTCCGTCCTGTGTATTATCAGTAATTGTCTAATTCCAGCACCAGCAACGGTCAGCCATCCCTGTCATTGGAGGAGGCAGTGTCAAGGTCCACTCTCAACCCTCTGGCGGCGGAGTTTGTGCCGACGCGAGCTAGACCACCGGCTACGGGTAAACTGTCTTCACTACATAGCATAAAACAAAAACGTCCCGCCGTCTGTTTGTCCCTATGTATGCTTAGATAATTAAAACTACGCAACGGATCTTGATGCGGTTTTTTTACTAGATAGAGTGATTCAAGAGGAAGGTTTATATTTATAATACATTGCACCCGAAGCCGGGGCGGGTCGCTAGTATTGTTTAAATTAAAGACGTTGCATTTCCTATGTATGTCATATTTCCATATTTTTTATTCGTAATATTTTATTAAACAGACCGCAATGAACACTTCTAAAATTAAGGAATACTTCCACTTAGGTTTAGGCTGAACTTAGTTACTACATTGCATTTTCAAAGGGCGTCATGTTTCTATATTTGTAATTCGTAATATTTCAATGAGACTAAGTATCACTTCTAATGTCAAGAAATATTTCCAGTTGTCTTGTCTTAACTTAGTTACACCAATAGATGCTGATACTAGAATTCATCAATTGAAGATGATATAATTTTTTATATTTATAATAAATCTATTTACCATGACAGATGAGGATAAACAGAGCACAGAAGATAAGGTACCAGAAGAGGCGCAAAGCGCGAAGCCAGAGGAAGTCGCAGCCAAGACAGAGGCGGAGGACAATAAAGAAGTTCCGGAGGAAAGCAAAATAGAAGGTGAGTATCTGTACCCCAACAGCCCATAAATTGTTCCCAGTTCCACTGTTGGAAGTGTGAGTAGTAAGGTTGTTGTCTTGATGTGTGTTCATTGAGAAACTTGGCTGCGGTAACGTCATTGAATTTATTGTAACAGCTGTTTACTAATATCAAAAAGTTTTGTAACGTCACAGCATTACCAGTAATTGCACTCGCTCTCATATGAGAAGTGCGCTATGACGTCGTAACCATTTGACATGGTTTTGTGCATGTAGTCTTCCATTCTAAAACATTGCACCTATGTACAATTTCAAGTGGACAAACACTCAGTTGTGAAACAATTGTCTTTGGGTCACATAAATGGTTGTCTCGTGCGGGAATCGAACCCGGCGGCGAAGCTAGTAATAATAATCATTTCCTAACTATAATACCCAGAAACTACTATAAATTTAAGATGAATTACAAAATAAGATACAGAAACAATAATATATGGATTATAGTGATGAATTCTGTCTTGAGTAATCAACCCTTCACCCCATACTGACAGATTTTTTTTTATGTGAGAAATTGGCAAACGAGCTTGCGGTACACTTGATGTTAAGTGATAACTGCTGCCCATGGACATTTGCAACACCCGTAGGGTTCCAAATGTTACCATCTATAAATAAAGTGGGCCCTGACCACCTACCTGACGAAAGGCAGAAGTGTAACTCTTCTACTTTACACCGGTCTTCTGAGAGGTCGTCGTGCTTACCTGGACGGACCTGACCACTGTGAAAGAGAGATCTTATAAAGAAGTGTGTGCCTTGGCAATTGTGCCACATAGTCATCAAAGCCCGCTTGCAATTTCAGAGACCCCTTCGGTGCCCAGCGAGACGCCAGAAGTGAGCGCGGCCGATGTGCAGCCGATCAGCGAGCGGAAACCACGCGAGCCAAAGCGCCAAGAGACCAAGAAACCCGTCAAGCAGACGGGACCCAAAGCCAAGCCGCTGCCAGCCAGGGCAGACCCTAAGCCGGCCCTCAAAAAGAAGGAGCAGAAGCCACCGAAGCCGGAGACGAGGGTGGAGGAAAAGCAAGAAGAGGCACCGCCCTCTGATCTTATCAAGGTCAGTTTTTTTTTCTTGACACATTTTTCACACAACATTCTGTAGTCCCAAAGTAAGTAACGCCTGTACTATGGGTACTAGGTAACTATAGACATACATCAACTTACTTTTCTTTTGTAAATAAATACATCACTACATAGTATAAAAAAAATCATCCTGCTGTCCTTTATAACTACGCAACAGATCTTGATGCTTTTTTTTACTAGATAGAATGATTCAGGAGGAAGGTTTATATGTATAATACATTGCAGCCGTGTAAAGCCGGGCCGGGTGCTAGTATCATACATATATTAATGAACCAGACACTGGAATAACAATGTTAATCACGCAATATTTTTCCAGTAGTGGGGATCCAACCCACACCCTCCTACCCACTACGCCAATTCGGTCCATGCCACATGTTTCTGTCTGTTTGGCCATGGACATTTAGCCAGGACATGGAACACCTGTAGGGTGTCAGACGTTGCCACCTTTTGATGAAGTGGCCACCAAGTGGGCACCAGCTACCTCACTCACCAGGCGAAACGCAGAAGTATAGCACCTCCACTTCATGCCTTTGATCCTGACCTTAGCCCATCTCTTTCAGCACTCTGCAAATGATCATGATAGCTCAGCGTCCGGGCGCTCGCCTTTAATTGAATGCCCGGTGCAATCCGGGCACCAATGAAATGGTTAATTTCAACTGCCGAATGATCACGTGCTCAGCGGTGAAGGAAAACATCATGAGGAAACCTGGATATTTTCGAAATAAAAAAATATATATATTTCGAAGATACGTAAGTTCGCCAATCCGCAGTGGGGCCGCGTGGACTTTTGCAACTCCCGTTGGGTTACAGATGGCCTTGTAATTTAAATCCCAATTTCAAAAAAGAAATTTTTAACACGCAATTAAGTCATATGTCACAAAACCTATATATAATATATTTCGAAGATATGTGAAGTCCGCCAATCCTCAGTGGGGTGGCCTGGTGGGCTATGCCTAATAACCACGAAGGGGGCCTTTGCCACGCAATGGGACATCTATAAGCTGCCACTTTATTGAAGTTTTGCACACAAAGTAGTAGCCAAAAAATTGACTTCTGCGTCCGGGGGTCACGGGTTCGATTCCCACACGTGACAACTATTTGTGAGACCCACAGGTAGTTGTTTCGCATCTGTCTCGGTGTTTGTCTATGTGAAATTTATGTTGGTAAAACGTCCTTACGACACAGGATAATGTTATCCTAAAGTGAGGGCAATGTTTAAAAGGAAAAGACAAACGTGTGACGCGCCATTTATGCTGCCACACCGAATAGTACTGACTTGGCCCCTATAACTTTTCAGCAATCACCGCCGCCGGCCGCGGAGGAGGTGAAAGAGGGCCCCAAGCCGGTGAACTACGCCGCCGCAGCCCGCGCCGTCAAGCCGCGCAAGCCGAGCAGCCCTCCCCCCGCCGAGGGGGCATCCCCCGGCGCCCCCAAAGCCGAGCGGGGGAAGCCCCAGCCGCAAGCCGAGAAGAGGGACAAGCCGAAGGTTGACAAACCAGCCGCCGTTCAGAGGAAGAACTCGGCGAAGTAGCCCCGGCCCAACGGTCCGCTCTCGTATCGTTTCAGTGTGTATAGTTACGGATAGCTATGTGATAAGCCAGCCCCGAAGGGAATCCGAAATCGTCGGTGTATAAAAGTAACATGTGAATATTTAAGTTTATAGTGTTAGTTGAATGAGAAAAATGTTATTGTAATTTTAACGGTCATAGTTATATTCTATGCGGAGGGTGGAATGCGGGACGACTTGTGTTATTGTAGATGAATTTCGGCATATGTGAGTTTTTGAAAAGGAAACTTTGGTATGACTGGAGATTTAGTTAAACGACGGTTGATTGGTGATTTTTATTAAAATAAATTTACATATATTATACAGTCGGATAAATTTAACCGCGAAATTGTTCAAAAAGATATACTTTTGTGACAGTTTTTACTGTTACCGTCTACCATTCTACGGGTTTAGTATTTAGCCATTGAGTTAATGTAAAATGACTAACTTGGCAAGAACCTATTGGTACAAAAGTTTAATATATTTTTTTCTAAGCAATAAATGTTCAAACATAAAATTGTTTAGTATTAAATTTAAATAATTAAATAAAGTTCCAATAAACTACTTAAAGGGCAAAGTGTTCAATGGCATTCTTTACCTATATAACTTGCCTCCCTCTAATGATTTATAATCTAATTGTAATCACTAAGTGTATGGGTATGCAAAATTCCATAGTCTCGAGTTTGATGGTACAGACTTGCACACAAGTACCGATTTGCTTATAACACTGCCCTATTTGTCGGTGAAATTGCGTCTCTCTGTCCACACCTTTTCCTTTATATGTGTACGACTTGAAAGGTAGCCCAGTAAGGCCGATGGGTACATTATTGGTTTCTGCGGAGCTGTCTCCACGAGTACTCCGCATCGATTGTCTAGAAATATAAGTCTCTAAATATTTAGGGTTAGCCTAGCCTAGGGCGGGTGGCGTCTCCACGCTAGTGTTTGTTTTTTTTTTTTGTTTGTTGTTTCGATTTTTAATTTTCGACCGCGCAAAATACATTCGCCGTTGTCGGCCTCCGCGGCCGGCAAATCTACCGCTTTGGTAGGATCTGTTGGGTGTTCTTCTTCCTTCCTTTCCGGAGTGAATCAATTCCTTCCCCCTCTAAGACTTAGGTTCAATCCACTTTGCGCTTTAGGGTCGTCGTTTTGGTCTAGTTTAGTTTGATTCGTATGACTTTATCGAGTTAGTTTTAGTGTTAGGCTTTATTCCGGGACGACCCGCAGACCCCATAGTTCCCTTCGGATACGTACGCAAATATTCTCATCTATACGTTCAGATGACGTTTCGTAATCATTGTAATTCATATTATAACTTACTCGCTTTCTCTAATTATTAATGTCCTATCGATATTGAATGATGAAGCAACTCATCACCTCTCATTTTCGTGAAACAATTACGAAAGCATTCGACAGGACGGAGATATACGTCGGTCCCTTTCCAACTGTTTACATCGCGTTTGAGAGTTGATTTTAAGGTGAATCTTGAAGCAACTGCTCTCCTCTTTAACAGGCCAAAGTTTCGTGAAGTATATAAATGAGGAAACAGGCCATAATGGGGAGTTTCACATGGTGTTTGGCCACTCATGTGGTGTTAGTCAGTAGGATCTCCTACCCTAGATATCTTTGCCCTATTGTCCCTTCTCAGTTGTGAATTGCATGAGTTTTCTCATTCGAAATCTTCCAATATCGCTTCTCGTTTTTGATGTCTATGTGGAATATTGAGGGATATATAAATATGTTAAATATAATTGTTTTAAATGTACAAATAACATTATGGTGTAGCGAAAATAGATATTCTTGTACGGGGTAGCTCGCATTGAGGAGTTGTCTTTGGCAACGCAGGTAAAGCCTAGACTTTTGTATGTTTGAATCTTTCTGGCTTGATATAGGTTGATGTATATGTATAGAAGAGGTCTAGATAGTATTAAGGTTCAACATGTTTGCCCCGTTTGTCTGTCTGTGTGTCGTCCCACCTTAGTTAATGTATTCATTGGAAATTTTATAATGATAACATGTAATTTAAATATCGGATATATTGTTTTTTCTTTCTTTCGATTTGTCACAATAGCAAACTGTTTATATAGACAAATTCCCAATATATGTAAAATATTACTGTTGCAGTTGTTTCATTTAAAACCCCTTTTTAATTTTTTCTAGTTCATCATTGTGAGCCATGTTTGAAACTATTAAAAAGCAGGGTTTATGACAATCTTCCGCAGTTAATAAAAAATCTTTAGCAATTTTCTCCTGTATTCCTACCTAAATAAGTACAGTAATACATGTGAATAATGTCGTTAGTGTTTTTATGCCAACCGGGGTCAACCCTCCTTGGCAATAGACACCCAGATCAGTAACAACAAGAAACAATTTTGCCGAGTGGGAATCGAACCTGCAATACTCAGCGCCAAGGCCAATCCAAACCAAGTTTAAAAACTCAATCCGCCAGTCACAGGCAGATTTTTTGAGAAGTGCCCAAATTTACACAGGAGGTTCAGACTCGGTAGTATAATCGTTTACTGAAATAAAAAACAAAGATATTTTTTCCAAGAAAAATGACATTCTATTACCTAAAAAACAGAACGTGTTGACGATGCGGTAGTCATTCATAAATACCTAAATTTTACTGTGCACGAACTTGTGTGCGTGTTAGTTATGAATTATCGCGCGTAAAATGAGTTGCGTATAAATCACGCATTTTTTGAGATAAGTTCAAATGAATGTAATCAATTAATTAAGAGTTGATTTTAAATATTTATCAATTTTTATATAACATTATTTATGTTTAGAATTTAATTAAAAAAACTGATACACTTAGAAAAGCCACCCCGTAGAATCTTACACAAGTTATGGCAGCTGCGTGTATCTTATCATGAATGTCATACTAAGTGATGTTCACGCAGAATCGCCAATCTTCAAAATTGCCTTTACAATTTTGAAGACAGTTTTTTTTTTAATAAACATAATATATTTTTTTTATGCGAAAAGGTGATAACCGCCGCCGACGGACATTTGCGGATGCGCGGCCCTACAACATAAAACAATAGAAATGTCTATCAAATAAAAAATCATATTTTTCTTTAAAATCGTTTTTTTTTCAACTGTGCCGTATTTGTTTCCTTTCCAAGAATATTCTTTTGACATGTTTTCTGTAAAAAAATAATTCGGTAAATATTGCAAAACATTTTTCACAATCCCAAACTAAGCGAAACTTGTACTATGGATACTATGTAATTGATACACATACTTTTCTCATGTAAATAAATACATAAAGTATCAGCCTATACATGTCCCACTGCTGGGCAAAGGCCTGCTCTATACAGAGGGTATCAGGGCATAGTCCACCACGCGGCCCCACTGCGTATTGGCGGACTTCACATATCTTCGAAATATTTTTTTTGTTGTTATTTCGAAAATATTCAGGTTTCCTCACGATGTTTTCCTTAACCGCTGAGCACGTGATAATTCAGCAATTAAAATTGACAATTTCATTGGTGCCGGCACCGGGGATTGAACTCAAGTTGCTCGAGTATATTGAATTAAAGGCGAGCGCCCGGACACAGAGCTATCACGGCTTGTAGATAAATAAATTAAACTAGAAACTATGTTCATCGGACAATGTTTTTCCAGTAGTGGGATCGAATCCACACCCTCCGGCCTAGGAGCAAGGTCCACTGTCCACTACGCCAATCGGGCCGTTTCTCATCTACTAGGTGTCCGGAGAGTCCTTTTATTTCCACGTTACATTGCATAGCAACATATCTATGAATAGAGAATTACACTTAGGATTCATTTATTTTTAGTGTCTCTACACTCAAGATGAATTCTTAAAAAGTGAATTTTCGTAGTTAAAATTTTATGCCCTGTGGGATTCGAACCTGTGTCTTCAAGTTTTGTTCATTTATTTGGGCCAAAGTACCAAACTGGAGGCATAGAAGGGCAGATCTTGGTCTTAGATGTACTGATGCACTAAAATCTTTATTAAATAAAATTCATGTGTCACATTCAGTTTTAGTGATGTTATGAAATTTTATATATGTATTCAGTAGGTAAGTTTGTGAGAATGGGTTTATAACTTATTTTTATTTTTTATATTATTTCTATACCCCTAAGGGGTGAGGGTGATCCACCCCAAACATTTTTTTCTACCCTACAAATAATTTATATGGCAAAACAATGTTTGTCGCAACAATGTCTGTAATTACGTTGCAACTCTATAGAATGCTATCTCTTTCCGTATCACAAATTCCATATCATCTATCAAATTCACTTATGTGATATAATGTACAGCGGAATAATTATTTCTACGCGCAGTATGTACATGCGTTATCTATTATTAAACAATGGATTCACTAATTAGTAATCGATCCCAATGTAAAATTGAGATTGCATCAAACAACAACCTATCACACTTATGGCAGGTTTGATGGAATTTGAACTAGTTTCAACTAGCTATGCCCGCGACTTCGTCCGCGTGGAAATTAAGATGGATAAAATTTCAGAAATAAAAGTACCCTAAATTACTCCTTAGTACATCAACTATCTGCCAGTGAAAATTCCGTGATAATCTGTCCAGACGATTCAGAGATATGGAGCCGGAATAAATAGACAGACAGACAGACAAAAATTGTAACAAATCTGTATAGAGTATAGATGTACACCCTCAATGTTGTAGCTGCTAATCCAAAATAAACAAATTGTACACTGGGCCTGGACTGGAATAAAAACGCTTAACCAAAAAAAAGAAAATCGCAAATTTATTTAAAACATTTGCTATACATACTATTTTATACATATACAAGCCGCTAACTTATATATAATCATTTAATGCACTACTTACATTAGGTAGGAAGACTAAAATAACAAACATTGCAAATATATTAGACCTATGCACTCCATATAGTTATTAACAATATATTTGTATGCTTATATAAATTCATAGTAGGGATGTCGAAAGTAACATCATTTATAAAAATATCAAAGGTCGATATACCTCGGAGAAAATATCGATATATCGGATATAGGTCCTAGAAACACCTTTGTCCAAAAAAAGTATGTCAAGTATTATGTCAAATATTTGATACCTATGGACTGTGTACCAGATTCGAATTTGAAAAATATCATTTTTGATACTACTTTCGATATTAAATATCGATATATCGGATCTAAATATATCGCCAGAAAATATCGATATATTGATATTTTTTCGACATTCCAAATTTATAGAGATAATAATGAGCAATAACATTTCATTCGTAGAACAAAGTTGCCAATTTAAATTGACAATTCAACAAACTACCGTATATGTACACACCAACAAATTGCATCCAAAACTACAATTACATTCAGAATATCCACATAAGTTTTATAAAAGTATCCAGTGTGCGTGCTAAGTATCACCTGGGCGCATCACGTGCCACTACTAAACCGTTGGAGCACACCAACACATCCAATCAATTCCAGCGTCCGGACGATTTCGTATCAAATCATGTGTCAAACTCTTCAGGGTTGAGACTCGAGACTCTTCCAACGGCAAGCGAGTCGTTCAAGACCCATTCATCGAGCACCGTCCCGGGTCACGCCAGGGTGACGCACCACGTCTCCGACGCGTCTACGACCTCCACGGCCTCCATGGCCTCCATGGACTCCACGGCCTCCACGGTCTCCACAGCCTCCGCGGCGTCCACGGCCTCCACGGCGGCCCCCTCCCCCGCGCGCGAGAGCACCCCCGCTAGCCGCGCGTACTTCGCCCTCTGCTCGTCGCTCATCGCGGCCGGGTCGTGGCAGCGCAGGTGGTAGTTGAGGTGGCTGCTCTGCTTGAACCTCTTCTCGCAGATGCCGCACTGGAACGGCGCCACGTTCGTGTGCGTGCGCATGTGCTGCTTCAGGTGCACCGACTGGCTGAAGCTCTTCGCGCACACCACGCAGCGGTACGGCCGCACCTGGCGTGAAAGTATAATCATTGCGGCGGTAGGGCCACGCAACATTGTTGCACGAGTGGACAGTCCGTCCGGGCGAGTACCGCGACCTAACAGGAGACCGTAACATGTAAGTGTCACACTTCTGCGTTTCTTCTGGTGAGCGAGGTAGCCGGTGCCAGCTTTATCTAAAGGTGGCAACGCACCTGCAACGCTAAGGGTGTTGGAAATGTCCATGGGCGGCGTTCCATATATTGGAAATATTGGATAACTAAGTCTTGCACTAAAAAAATACATTAATTGCAATAGATAACTGTTTATTATAACTTTGAAAATGTTTCGAAGACCTGTGTGGTCCGCCAATCGACAGTAGGATCCCGCGGTGGACTGTGCCCCAATACCCTCTGCATGGAGCACGCCATTGGCTGCTAATTTAACTGTGACTTTGTTTATCTAGGGTCAGTTTTTTAAAGGTAAAACTCCGCCGATCCGCAGTGGGACCCGTGGACTATGCCCTGAAACCCTCTGCGAAAATAGAGTCCTTCACTATCGGAGGGCGCGCGGGCGCCAGCACCTTGGTGTGGATGCGCAGGTGCTGCTCCAGGCCGGACTTCTGCGTGAAGCTCTTGGGGCAGACGGGGCAGCCGAAGGGGCGCAGGCCCGAGTGCATCCTGGAGTGCTGCTGCAGCCCCGCCAGCTGCGTGAAGCGCTTGCGGCACTCGCCGCACTCGTACGGCTTCGGCCGCACGTGCGAGCCCGCGTGCGCGCTCAGCTCCTCCGCGCTGCCGAACGCCGCGCCGCACGTCTACGATGTATGTTCGCGATAAACTCCGAAACTTGTGAAACAATTTTTATCAAACTTTGTAAGCATTTGTAATTTGGTCCAACTCGGGAGATAGGGTAGTTTTTATTGCAAATTATTTGTTCATTGGATGACAAAGAGCTATCTGTGAGTCCCATAAGATTCTAACAGATGGCGGTGTCGGCCGGATTGACTAGGTCTCCGATAGATGGCGCTGGGCCAAAAGTAGAAAGCGCTCACGTCGCAGCCGTGGGGCTTGTCGGGGCCGGCGGCGAGCGCGAGCGGCTTCTCGCAGACCTGGCACCTGGGCCCCCTGCGGCGGCGCGTGTGCTCGTCGCGGTAGTGCAGCGAGTACTCGCAGCAGGAGAAGAAGATGCGGTGGCAGGTGCCGTCCGCCACCAGCGCCGACGGCTGCAGGCACTCGAACGGACCGCTAAGAAGCGACACCAATTGTTACTCTCTTACTTCGGATGATAATCTCTTTTATTCATCTTTATACACAGGGTGGCTTTTCTAAAGGTGCCCAAATTCACACAGGACGTTCGGACTCGGTGGTGTAATCGTTTATTGAAATAAAAATAACTTGTTTTTTAAATTGCCATTCCATTCCCCTAAAAAACAGAACTTGTTGACAATGCGGTAGTCATTCATAAATGCGTCGTATACTTTTGAAACGAACTTGTGTGCGTGTTAGTTATGAATGATCGCGCGTAAAATAAATGAGTTCCCCAGAAATCACGCACTTTTTGAGATTAGTTCAAATGAATGTAATCAATTAATTACTTACGAGTGATTATAAAAATTTATAATTTTTTATATAACATTATCTGTCTAGAATTGAATAAAAAAAAATGGATACACTTAGAAAAGCCTACCTGTATATACATATTAGCGAACTCAACAGACGTTATACTGAACATACGTCTTAAATCCGACAACTTATAAATTAAAAAAAAACGAATTGTGAATCTAAACCGAAAAAACGAATCGACCTGAAGACACACACGGAAGAATGATTCTCCCTTATACCTCTTACTCCCCTCATAAGAGACCCCAAAAGTGAATAGGCCATTCTTCAAGTTAGACTTTTTTTTTTAAAACATTGCCCTCACTTTAGGATAACATTATCCTGGACGTTTTACATACATAAATTTCCCGTGGACAAACACCCAGACGCGAAACAACTATCTGTGGGTCGCACAAATAGTTCTCCAGTGTGGGAATCGAACCCACGACCCCGGAGGACCCACGGAGTCACCATATCCAAGAAGAGATAAGAGTGGGAGCGCTCACGTTATCGGCTGCGCCTCCCTCTCTTTCCTGGGCGTGGCCGCTTTCGCCTGCTTCTCCCTCTTGTCTCTATCTCCCCTCTTCTTCTTAGCAGGCTCCGGTCCATCTTCGGACTTGACTATGATGTAGCTCACGTCCTTGGAGGCCAGCCGCATGATGCTGGTCGCCTCCATGCTGGCGATCAGCTCCTTCGTCCTCTGCTCGACCCCCTCCTCCTTTACGTACGTTATGCTCTTCTTTGGCTGCGGTGAGATAAATAGCCATTAAAAGACACATTTTTACATAACATTCCAGTACCAAACTGGGCAACGTTTGTACTATGGGCAATAGTACAAGCATTGCCCAGTGGTATGCAATAGTGGTACGGCAGTAGAGCCACGCAGTAGCCTCGGCTGTTGCACGAATGGGCAGGCTCGTCCGGGTAAGTACCACGACCTCACAGAAGACCAGCGTAAAGTGTAAGTATAATACCTTCGCGTTGTGTCAATTAAATGAGGTAACCGGAGCCCAATTTTCAAAAGGTGAACCGTCTGCTTGCTTGGCAACCTTAGACATAAAAAGAAACACAAAATACATACAGTAGACAGCGGTTAATAAAAGATACTTCCTACTTTGACAAAGTGGCAAACGAGCTGGCGGTTCACCTGATTTTAAGGGATAACCGCCGCCCATGGACATTTGCAGCACCCTTAGGGTCGCAGATGCATTGCCTCCCTTCAATAAAGTTGGCCCCGGCTACATCACTCGCCGGACGAAACGCGCCGGTTTTCTGTGAGGTCGCCATACTTAAACACGGACTTGCCCATTGGAGCACCAACTAACACTGTTGCGTGGCCTTACCACAGTTAAAATAAATCCTCCTACTGCCTTCAATAATTGAATGATTTCATTTTTTCGCCAACTTAAAAAAATTACATCACGAATAACGCACTCACCGGGGTGACGTTAGTCCAGAGCAATGGGTCGCCATTTGCGTAGGCGTCCATGTGCTCCATCCTGGCGTGGTTCCTCAGAGCCACCTCGTTGGCGAAGTTCTTGCAGCATAACTTGCAAGACACCGCTTCCTCGTCTTCTTCCTCGGACAGGGGCTCCCGCTGAAAGTGTTTTTCCAATTCTTTTTATCTCACACTCAGGTAACAGTACTCAATAACTCATGTAGCGTAAAATAAGACTAATACCTGTCCTATTGTATTGTAGTCGAATCGTTTTAAAAAAGAGCAACTGTTGAGTTTCTTGCTGGTTTATTCTCAACAGAAAGTGCTTTCCGAACCGTTGGTAATTACGAACTTATTAATTTTCATTAAAAATTTTACGTTTCATAAGAACGCGTCTACGCGAATAAATATAATTATAAGAATAGAAGAGTCTTATGCTTATCACTTCCTTATAGAATACATCATGAAGTACAGGTATTAATAGGTTTTCTCAAATTAATCATACTCGGTCTATGACACTGGAATCCACAATTCTAAGTCTTCAATAAAGTAATTAAGAAATAAAAATAAAAAATATACCACTTTGCTATTCTTATAAATTTTATCATTCAATATTACTAAATTAAAATTATGTTACAGCTCAAATAAGAAATATTTATTACCTTCACTTTGACTATAGGTACAACGCTGACGGATCTCACGTTATCTGCCATTGTACCTGAAATTATTAATTTAGTACTTCATAGGGCATTATGAAACATGATGTATTGAACTAAATATCAAATATTATTTAGTTGATCTAGAACTATTGCATGATATATCTCTATTTCAACAATTAGTATTAGTAGACACTATTAAAATTCCAAGAAGTCGCTTTAGTCGTAAATATAACAAATTATGAGCCTTAAATAGTATGCTGAGTAGAAATGTAATGGGAAATATTTGATAATAAGAAATCAGAATAGGAAGGAACAAACATATTAGAGGAAAACCTGCAACCTGAAGTTTTAAGCTCCAGTCTCAGATCTGACCCAGGGATTAGAAGGCTACAGCAATAGAAATAAGCTGAGAAATTTGTATATAAGAAATACTTCTCAAATATCATGGTAAAATTAAGTGAGAGAAAATTAAACTTTCTTTTTATAATAAAGATGACCATAATTATTATCATTCACCCATAATATTTTGATTATATTAATCGATTTTTTAAAACCATGAGTTCCGAGACTAGTTGCAAAACAGTGAAATACAAATTATTTTTCAATTTTCAAGGTTGTTTGTTTTGAGCACAATTAAAAGTAACTTGCATAATTATAATTAAGACATTTTTGCTCTTCACTTATTTCTATAAACCAAATCTTACTATTATTATAAAATAGAGGCAATTTTTTTAGGAATAATGGCCAAATTATATTTTTTCTAATAAATATCACTATCTCTATCTCTCTACAATCATAAATTCGAAATTATTATTTTTTACACTAATATTTATTTTATGACTAGGGAACAGACAGATATTTTGGTTTCTACAATTTTCAGCAACTAGCTTTCATTAAAATTTACAAAAAAATAATACCGAATTTTTTTCGATTAGTAAACTGTATCATATTTACTTACATACTTACACAATAAAATTTTCAAATTCATAAAAAAACAGCGGGAACAAACAATGACAAAATAACTTTTTAATCCTCAACTACAATGTCTACAAAACACAGGAAGAGATTCTTGATTTAGACTGACTAGATTTTTTAAAGATACCAAATAATATTTAAACCACTTTTTAAACATAACTATAGCAACTAAAACAATAAGAACTTTAGAATTTTGTAAATACATTCTCACCTTATAAATTAAAACTTATACCGCCAAAGATCCTGAGAATAGAGTGGCGTTTGTTTTTTTTTTTAATTAAAAAGGAAACGAAAAAGAAAAAATTAAAAACTATGGTGTATTCCAAAGTGTCAAAATGACAAGTCACTAATATTTTTAATTAGTTAATAACGTTTAAATGAGAAATTAGCAATTTTACGTTAGATTGGACGAAATATAATGATCTATAAACGAAGAATAGCGACTACAATGCCGCCATTTCGCGATTCACGATTCGCTTCTAGGTAGATCATACAGATGCGCAAAATATTGTCTATGGTCATAAGTAGAGAATGCTGAACGGTTCATTGTGTGAAATTAAAAGAGCAATAATTAATTGATTTAAATTAATACAATAATATGATGATACATTTTATACTGTAATTTTGGTAAAGTTCAATAAAAATTCAGATTACCAATACAATAAATTTATGTTTAAGAAAATAATATTTCAGGACATATTTACATGACGTTATCTAGTACTAGTATCAAATCAAGCAAAACGTGAACAATCATGACAAACATAATTAATGTTGATGATGTAACCAAAACCAGTGGCGGATTTCCAAATTTGCCGCCAATAGGCTGTTCAATTTTGGCCGACCCTATTGGCCTCTGAAATTCGATACCCTAGTTCGCAATCATATTAATTATATTTATTCTGTCAATAATATGGCAACGTTATGATTTATCTCTATCGTCTTCATTATATCAGTTTTTTATCGTTATTATTAAGATTTTGAACTAGTGTAACGTGTGATTTCATCACTTTGTCGAAATTGTTGTTTTTCTAAAGACTAGGCATGTCATATGAACCTTCGAATTGACATTGGATAAATTAGTTTTTGTGGATCCATTATCTTCGACTGTGCATGGCTAGAGGTTGAAATCAGAACACGTTCCTGGTCGTATTATTTGTGATTGCTGTCTGGGAAACTGTGCTGGATTTGTTATCCCTCGTGGTGGATGCTGAAGGCATCGGTGGCTGATAAGCTGGTCTGAGCTGCTGCTCAATTAAATATTGCTTTTTTACCTCAAGTTGGAGGTTTCCTACATACCCCCCAACAGTGTGGCTGTACACACTACACTTGGCCTGACTTTCTCTACTGGTTCTGAGCTCAACGCTGACCTGTGCACACAGGGCAGATGTCTCTGCGGTGACATAGATTTTAAATAACTACCTGATTGGACTTTATTTTTTAAATTGAATTGCATAACTTTCATAATCTTAAATTAATTTAATTATCTAACCTTTTTATGGTCGCACAAAGTAATGTGTAGGTCCTATGTACTCACGACTCCCTGAGATAATTAATTGTGATTATTACAACAGTCTGTTCCTAACAGACAAGGCGCCCAACTTATTATTATTATTATATTACAAAATATATAATAAATCTAATAAATCTTTTATTAAATAATCCCATCATCAACACACTCCCATAAACGTTACATTAAATCTACCATCATTAACTACACCCATTCATAATAAAAACGTTACACTAGAGTTTCACTTTGAAGATTATTTTATTACAACAGCGTCGGCCTGGATATTATTATTATTATTATTATTATTATGTGATAAGAATTATGTATTAAAAGAATTATGTAACATGAAATAATTTTTGTGAAAAGTTGCCAAGCGAGCAGGCGGTTCACCTGATGTTCCATGAATACCGCGGCCCATAGACATCTGCTACACCCCAGGGTTACAGATGCGTTGACAACCTTTTGAATATTGTGGGTTCCGGCTACCTCACACACCAGACGAAACGCGAAAGTATTTATTATACTTCCACTCTACGCCGGTCTTCTGTGAGGTCGTGGTACTTACCCGGACGAGCCTGCCCATTCGTGCAACAGTCACGGCTGCTGCGTGGCCCTAACATAGTTAATAATTATAATAAACTTTGACCGACTCAGTGGTAATATGACACGGTGATGCAGTTGTTCAGCTATTGACATCGGCCCTGGGGGTCGTGGGTTCAATTTCCACACGGGACTAGTATTTGTGTCCCAAAGATAATTGTTTCGGATCTGGGTGAGTTTTCATAAAACGTGTGTATTGAAATATAAAACTCATGTTGGCTTCCCGCCAAAACTAATGTATGCACGTTGATCGTTGACTTAATTAAGTGTTGCCATAATAAGATGGAAATGACTAATATTTTTGTACTGTTTTGTCGATATTGTTGCTCAGTTAAAATATTATTTTAATAGTAACGATGACTACAAAAGCTACAACGATTAAGGAGGCCATCAAAAAATGGGAAGAGAAAAGTGGTCAACACGCAGGAACTGCTACAGAAGTTAGTCTAATTTTTCAGTGGCCCCCAATAGAAAAAATGGATAATTCCCTTTCATGTCTTGCAAATTGCGAGTAAGTGTAAGTTATACTTAAATAATACCTATTCCGTATTTGAATTCATAAATGCATATATATTTAATTTTTAACCTTAAGCCTGCCATTGTGTTTGCTTAAACAGTGCTAAATGTCTACCTCTTAAATTAAAGTACATAGTAAACACACCAATAAACTATATGTCTAGTTGTATTAAGTAGTATTAAGGCATGGTGCAACACGCGACTTCACTGTGGATTGGCAGACTTCAAATTTCGATAAGCTTTTTTGTGTTATTTTGAAAACATACAGGTTTTCTCACGATGTTTTCCCTCATCGTTGAGCATGTGACAAGTCAGTGCGTAAAATTGCTAGTACTTTGTTAATTGCTCGAGAATATTGAATTAAAGGTACTCGGTACTCGGGTACTGAGAAATCACGGCTATCGATGGTATGCAGACGCGCTATTAAATAATAAAAACAACACGTCGTAAGCGTATTGATTTCCTGTTTATACGCGAATATTATACATAGTTAAATGAACTATTTTACTAATTAAAATTTTCAGTTAACCGTAATAAAAACGCGATAAAATGTGTAAAATAGTTTCATTTAACTACGACGTAAGGTATTCAAAAGTAACATCACTAATAGGGATATCGTGTGTGGGCTACATATCGGGGACCTGAGCCCGTGAACGGGCTGTGCCTGGTAATGGTAGAGAGTGAAAGCGGTGTGTATAGCGCTAGGCGCAGTGGTGCAGTGTAGGTGATTGACCGATTCGGGCCTCAGAAGCCACTTTTTGCCGGGACACGTAGTTAAAATGTTTATCGCGCGGTTTAGTAAAAAGTACACTCGAGCAACCCGAGTTTGATTTCCGGTGCCGGCACTAATGAAATAGTTCGTTTTTTAGCACGTGCTCTGCGGTAAAGAAAACATCGTGAGGAAATGTCCATATTTTCAAAATAGTAACAAGAAAAAAAAATCGAAAATATGCGAAGTCTGCCACTCCACAGTGTGACCGCGTGCTGGTCTATGCCCTGATACCCTCAGTAGAGAAGAACAAGAAGGCCTTTGCACAGCAGGCTTAATTATTACCTAAAGAATAGTGACCGACAAATTAAATTCTAGAAATATGGACAAACTAACTACGCCATTGTTTCGTCTACAAAAAGTAAATAAGTCATTCATGGGGCAAAGAGTTCGCATTTATAATAAAATCCCACAGTTGATATTACTACGCCAATGTGTGGAGTAAATATATACCCACGTAGGCTAAAATAAGACTGTACTATTAAATTGTAAACTAATCTTTTTAAAAAAGAGCAACTGTTGAGTTTCTTACCGTTTTTTCTCAACAGAAACTGCTTTCCGAACCGGTGGTAACTCACTTACGAACGTATTAATTTTTATGAAATATTTTGGTGTAAATTTTTTATAATTTTTAAAGAACGCTCAAGCCTCTATGTGAATAATGATATTTTGAATTTGAATTTGAGTGGAACATGTAGATATAGGCTGTTACTTTACTTTGGTGCTTAACATATATACACGTGTTGTTTTTAAAAGAAGGATATGCATATCTATATAGATATATAGAACAATAAGCTCTTTCAAAAGATCCTAGAAAATTTGTTTTGTGCTTAGAAAACTGAACCTAAAAAATTTAATAGACAGTAGTAATTTTAGTACAGATTCTTTAATTATTTAATTATGACATGGTAGGATTGCAGCACATTTTTTGTATTATGAATTTTTTTTGTCAATAGAGATGTACGCCATTGCTCCCAAATAGCCGCTTAGTTTAGCTGTTAAAGCATCTGGTCAGAAGACGCAGATTCAAATCCCGCAGTGCCGAATGCAAAAAAAATTGAAATATATGCAAAAATTTATAATTTGAAGGCTCATCTTGAGTGCAGAGACCAGTACTGAAACTAAAAATTAATACCAAAAATGACAATTGATTTAATTTTGCAGGAAACTAAGTTTATCGACAAACATGATTGAGAAAGTAACGGGTTTGAACAGTTTGAAGAAGCTTCGCATATTATCATTGGGTAGGAACTACATAAAATCTTTTGCTGGAATGGTAAAATACCTTAAGATTTATCATTAATTTTATTCAAGTTCGGATGCTTTATCATAAATATGTAGTCACTAGTAAGTACTAACTGAAGCGAAGAAAGTACGTAAACGACAATGTATTAATATAATAAATTTAGTGAAGATTGATTTCATTGGAAATTGGAAAGTTAATCTTTGTTATTGCAATAGCTATGTTTGCTAACCGCAATTGAAATAAATACGAGTGAAGCTATTTTATGAATTTTGTGCAACAGGAATCGCTTGGTGACACGCTTGAAGAGTTGTGGATATCTTATAATTTAATCGAGAAATTAAAGGGCATTAATGTTTTAAGAAATTTGAAAGTACTTTACATGAGTAATAACTTGGTGAAAGAATGGAGCGAATTCAATAAGCTACAGGTAAAATAATTGCACCTTAATTAATGAAATTTCAATGTTTAAAGTTTTATTTATATTTGGTTATATAAAACTACCTTATTTTACGGACTTTGTCAATACAAAATGTGGTAGGTCCACGCACCAGCTTAGGTTGTTGCATGAATGGGCGGGCTCCTCCGGGTAAGTACCACAACCTCACAGAAGACCGGCGTAAAGTGGAAGTATAACAAATACTTTCGCGTTTCGTCTGGTGAGTGAGGTAGCCGGAGCCCTTCAAAAGGTTGTCAACGCATCTGTAACCCTCGGTGTAGCAGATGTCCATGGGCAACGGTATTCACTTAACATCAGGTGAACCGCCTGCTCGATTTTCAAATATTCACAAAAAAAAAACAAGAATTGCTATTAACCACAAATTTGAATTTAGAATTTAAACATTGTAAGGGCTAAAAATATATCTGTCAAGAGCTACATTTTACTTACAGTTGAAGATGTCCCTTTCAGTTTTTTACAAAACAATCTAGTAATGTTATTTACAAATTAACAAAACAATGAATTAAAATAAAATTATTTATTGGTAAATAAGTTTTAAATTGACTTCATTATCTTACCAACTAAGAAACCCATACTCTTGGCTGAACGATTTTAAAGCTTGTGACAAATAAAGGAATATTAATTATTTAAAAACACATCTTTAGGAGTTACCAAATTTGGACGATTTGCTATTCGTTGGCAACCCTTTGTACGACGCGTGCGAGCTTGACGTTTGGCGCGCGGAAGCGGCGCGGAGGTTGCCACAGCTTAAAAAACTCGATGGTGAGACCGTTCTAAGGGAAGACGACCCACCGTTGACTGTTGCCAATATGCAGGTAAGTATTTCAACCATTTCAAGATTTTTACAAATGTACAGGGATCGTTATTTAATTAATTGAATATTTTGTTATCATATCTTTTGACTAACGAACTAGAGTTCCCCAAAACTGTGTTGAAAATTCGATGAAAAGAAATGTTTAAAATTTGTAGAAAAATTTACGAAGAGTTTTCGCATCTGCAGGAATCGAATCCACGCCTTCCGGATTCTGTGCGCAGACGCTTAAACCATCAAGCTAACCGGCTAATCTCAACGTTTTCTATCTACATTGTTTTTTTTCGCAATTTAAACAATGTTTGGCGCATCTGTTGTTATCTCCATTATAACAATATCAAATACCGTAGATACCGATAATTCCAACTAGAGATGTTGCAAATGCTATTTGAAAGTAAAATGTCTATATTGCTAATCTCTGCACTTATGAAAATTAAAAGTTACAAGTATACAAAAAAGCGCAGCGGAAGAAGTGAAACTTCGAGTGCCACGCATTCACTCTCGCTCTGTCTCTTTCTATTCCCCCTCCCCAGGAGCGTTGTACGTTAAACGATAAATAAATAAATAAACGTTTAACGCAACAGTGCTTTCATGCCCCCTCTATGGTAGCGTTAAACGTTTAACGCAACCTTGGTGGAAGTCGCATTAGAAGTTTCAATTCAATAACTTATAAACTTCAAACACATATTACGAACGTAGTTATTTATGAAGTTAGTTATTAACGTTAACAATAGTAGGAATGCGAGTAGGATTCCAACTACCTAGAGCGATTTTCTAAATGCCCCACCGGGTCCACTAAATATATAATATACATACATAAAATACCCACCCTCTGCGGTCCTAGGGGCCTCACTTTAGTCTCCTTTTGAGACCGACATCCAAAACGGTATGATTACATTGATTTAGAAATTAATTATTTTAACCGGACATATATTCATAACACCACCATAGCCAGAGAAAAGATCATAAAATTAGAAATAAAAAATGATTCTATAGTGTATAGGCAAGGTTTGTTTTACCAATAATTGAGGTATAGACAAAGCCCTACCAAATTAACGTGTAGAATATAAAAGTGAATATACGTTACGAATACTTAAAACAAGTAGTTTTACACAAAAAAATTACTTTTATTGCGGTAAAATAATTTTTATCCTCCCCAATACTTTCCTTCATTTCAGCCCGATGGCGGAGATGCAGTGGAGACTTTAGTCAGTGCGGAAAACAACGACTGAGTGATTTAATACGACATAATAAAATACTTTCAATAAACAGGAACAATTCGCGGACTAAGAAATGAAAAGAAGCACGGAATAATTTCGAAAATTGCGCTTTAACTTATTACTATTAAGGATAACAAAATGGCGGAAAGAAGAAAAAATACAATCCTGCAATAAACATATATTACAAAAGCTTTGAACAACTACCTATATAACGAGCTGTAATATATAGAAGATACTATACCGCGTAATTGCAGTAGGTAAAGCGTCCATCTAATCTATAAATGTCACCCATTAAAATCATCGTGAAAAAGAATGCTTGCTATGGCCAAGAAAGCTTACATATAAAAGTAAAGTAACAGCCTATGTCCCAATGCTGGGCAATGGCCTCCTCTATACAAAAGGTATCAGGGCGTAGTCCACCACGCGGCCCCACTGCGGATTGGCGGACTTCACATATCTTCGAAATATATATTTTTTGTTATTATTTCGAAAATATGCAGGTTTCCTCACGATGTTTTCCTTCACCACGGAGCACATGATAAGTCAACACTTAAAGTTAAAAACTTCCTTGGTGCCAGCACCGGGGATCGAACTTAGGTTGCTCGAGTATATTGAATTAAAGGCGTGCGCCCGGACACTGAGCTATCACGACTCTCTGAGCTATCACGGCTCTCTGAGCTATCACGGCTCTCTGAGCTATCACGGCTCTCTGAGCTATCACGGCTCTCTGAGCTATCACGGCTCTACGGCCTAGAAAGCTTATATAATTATATATAGATGTTATGTTGTGATATAATTATTCAGTTAATTATTAGTGTTATATACACCGTGTCGTTACCACCGCGACAATTAATGAACACGCGTCTAAATTTACTTGCCAATAATCATAAAAGAATATTAACGTTAAGAAAATCCATAATTAAAAAAATATATCTTTCAAATAAACTAATTAAGTAAAAAAAATAACAAAAATTGTAACACCTATAAAACTACAACTGACTAATTCATGCATATAAAGACTTTTCATTCGTTGCCACAGCGTCGCATTAAAAGCATCCCCTTCTAACAGTATGTTTTGTCTCTTTTAAATTCATTCAACACATTCATATGCTTTGTGACTTTACAAATGAACTTTACGTTACAGTTTTATACGCGAGGGTGTTATAAAATTGTTTGTTTTGGAAAATCTAATAACTCGGTAAATATTCATGTTTAAAGTATGTAAATGTTTAATAAATTTTAAAAAGTCATCCTCTATACGTGTGTTCATTTATTGTCGCGATTGTAAAAACGCGCTATTTATTTATATATTTAATGGGCAGAAGACCGGCGTGTAGTGGAAGTGTTTAACTTCTACTTCTCGTCTAGTGAGTTTAATAGCCAGAGTCCACTTTTTTAAAAGGTGGCAATGCATGTGCAACCTCACGGGGCCCACCGGTTCTGCGTCAGATGAAGCTTTAATAGTCTCGGGACTGAAAGCAAAAACATCAGTTAATACAAGATACAAGACCTCACGGGTGTTGCAAATATCAATAGGCGGCGGCTATCACTTAACATCGGATAAACCGCCACACCATTTGCCATCTCACATAAAAAGTAGATACTATAGGAGCATTCGACACACATTTCAAAAATTAATCAAACACGCTCCTTATGTTACCAATATGGCCTTCAAAGCTTGTCGATACGATTCTAAAGGGTATTTGTATATATTATATTTTGTATTTGTATATTGTACTTTGTATAGCTCACGGGTAATAGTGCGAAAAATTCGTATTGTGCATATTGTAATTATATACATTCTTTAAAACAAATTGAAATGAAAAAAAAAAACAAACATTTTTTTTATCACTTTACCGAAGTCTTTGCTAACCTGGCTTTGGTTTTTTGCTATTACTTTTTGTAAGGCGTTCAAGCGTTACAGTTCGATTTTTTAGGGTTCCGTACCCAAAGGGTTAATCGGGACCCTATTACTAAGATTCCGCTGTCGGTCTGTCAGCATTCTGTATCATGAACGGTGATAGTTAGACAGTTGATATTTCCACAGATGATGTATTTCTCTTGCTGCTATAACAACAAATGCTATAAACGGGAAAAAACAATATTTAAGCGGGGCTCCCATACAAAAGACGCTTTTTTGTAGATACATGGTACGGAACCCGTCGTACGCGAGTCCGACTCGCACTTAGCCGGTTTTTAAAACCTTTTTCTCTTGACACTTGTACATAGTGTGAAAATACTATTATTTAGAATTATGAGGAAGAAAATACTACATAAGTAGTACTATAAACTACCTGATACAATCCCAAGACTCATGTTTCTTTTTATATAGGCTTGTTATTTCATGCGAAATAAATAAGTACTAGATGAACTTATCATTTCTATACGAGACCAGGAAAAGACCACAAATTGTGTAATTTGGCTATTCTAGCTATTATTTTCTGTCAAGCGAGGGTTCATTTCACCTGATGTTATTAACCGATCAATGTCCCCGGAAAACTAACATAGATGGATGACGCGTCCACTGCCCAATTCTCATATATTACTTGTTATATACCGTCTTTTGTAAGAATATGATGAATAATTCTAGACGAGAGAAAAATATTATAATTTTATTTACAATCACATATCGTTTATCAGATAGGCTTACAAATATTTATTGTACAAATCTTCACGGAAGGCAAACTTATTCTACACTAAACAATAATGGCTGCTATTGTCTCACTTTAATAGCATATAATATAATTATATTGTTTAAGATGTTATATTTATACAAAAGTTTAATGTTTTAATGTAGTAATAAAAAATTCATCCAATCCATCCTCGTTTCTATAGTTATGAACATAACAAAGCCGTTTCTTTGAATGTTTTTAAACAATTTGTTCTTCATTACCATTTTGGCTATGATTTTAACGACCCAGATCAAATACCTTGATACGGAACAATTATCTGTGGGTCACACAAATACCTGGTCCCGTGTGGGAATCGAACCCACGACCCCCGACGCTGAAGGCAATATTTGGGAACGGCGCCACCGAGTTTTCAAACAATTAGATATCGTGCATAACTTTCGTTTTCTGGACTAAATACAACGGTGTCGAAGCCCATTCTTCAGGGGGAAGGGCCAATAAGTCTAATGCAATCCTTGTAATTAATAATGACATATAAAAAAAAGTTTGGTTGCTATCATCAATCCATCGGTTTTCTTCAGAGAGTATATACAATGAAATCACTTGAATATATCCAGATATAGCTAGGCCATCAAAAATATTTATCACCATAGCCACGAATTTGATTATGTCCAATACAATATGATCCAAAATTGACTTTACTTATTGGTTCCTTTAACCATATACAATGATTAGAATAACATGTTGTATACACACACCACATTGTGAGATTAAAATTGACTCTTAACTTGAATTTACTATAACAAGCATAAGTTAACCCATACAGCCAGCTTTAGTAAGGCTAAATTCAACTGAAGAACACATTTAATGCTTCCAAAGGTTGTCATTGTCTCAGGGTATACTGTCAGCATTAAATTATATACAACATTCAAAACAATGTATCGGTAAGAAAATCAAAATTAACCAGTGACTTTGTGGACATAAATGGAATATGGGACCAGTCAAGTATGATGATCTAACTACTGTACAAAAGACAAGTCTACTAGGCAATTTTATCACTAACAGTCTGTTTATTCAACCTTGACGTTGGCAGAATCATCAAACTATCCTTGAAGGACCAATTATATTAAAAATTTAATTGGATTGGAAATGGAAACAGACTCAAGTTTTTACGTGGTCTGCAACCTTTATGAAACCATTTCTATTCTACCCAGTCATAACAAATACTGTATTTTTCCAAGGATATTAGATCAAATCGAAGCAGTGACTCTTATGTGAATATGCTATGCCATAGTACCAACACGTAGGTACATACGTAGTTACGTTTTGTTGCATGTTATTTTAATTTTATTTTACTGGGATGGCAATCTTTCATGTGTTAATGGGTCAAATCTGCCAATGCCTTTGTGGTTTTTGTATTATTTTGTTGGTGGCTTTTAGTTGATTTTAATGATTCTTATTAAAGATTTGGCAGTAATCAAATTTCAAAACGGCAATAACGAAACGCCATATTGTGAAAAAGTTATAAAGAAAATTGTTCCATTCCAACAGAAAAATCTTTCTGCAAGTGTATTTTAACTACCTATAATATTTGCTGAATTGCTGCATATATATTGATTAGTTGCCTTGCAATTATTTGCATCATAAAAAGTCAACCGACCTCACTACTTAATAGCATATACAAAACACGTTGCCATCTCTTTCGCACCGCAGTCTATCTCAGTCCAGCTTGGGTTAGTGTAAATTTTCTTCATACATGGCATTGCACTGGATTGGATACTTAGTTCTGTCTTTGCACTCGCTGAGCCGACGTCACACAAGCGATAAGTTTTGCGCGGAATATGTCTTGAGCAACATAAATTTAGGAACAAACAAGACCTTCAATGTTAAACTGTAAACAGGGACTTCACTTATGTGAGGCCCCGTCTCTTCACAATTATTTTGTTTCATAAATTCAGTACATTTCCCTAGGTTTTTGTCCCTTCACATATATATTCTCCTGAGGTGTTGTGCGCTCGTTATTGCGTTGCACTGTGGACAGATCTTCTTTGCTTTCAGCGATTGCAGCCAGCATACCTGGAAGTTGGGAGATTTGTGATAGGTTAAGTTACAATAATCTGTAAAAAAAAATGTAAAAGAGATCTACGGCGGTCGTAAGTACAGTTATATAAATTTATTTGTCAAGTGGAGTTTTTTTTTTTACGATCAAAAGACAGTACTTCTCAATTTCACTATGAGGTGCCAGTAGAGTGATTGTGCTAATACTTTATAGATTTTTTTTTACAAATCTTTTATTGAAAAGTTGTCATGAAATTTGAGACAGCTCAAATTTATAGTTTCTATAACTATATCTGTTGATTTACGAATTTTATTATTTGAACATAAATCAATTCCATGTATGCATTTTTAAATAAGGACAAAAATTCGTTTGTTAGGTTAACTTTTTAATCTGACTTAGTCTGATTAAAAAGTTGACCTAACATTAAATTGATTTCATTAACATTTTTTATTAATAACAACAAATTGGAGTGTTTGTCTCCTAGTAAAAATACGTTTTCTCTTTGTTACCTATAAATATATCTATCTGTAACTGTATCACTTATTACCTCACAGTAAACATGCCAGCATTGTATTGAAACTGCGGGCGACGTATACGGGCCCAAACAGATTAGACATTTCGCCTGAAACGGATAAAAAAATTCTGTTTCAAGTCATGTGGTTCTAAGAAACTTCTTCAGAATTTAATTTCGAAAGTTAATTTTACGAGATAAATGAATTGCAAAATAAAAAAAAAACCTTTTATGATGAATTTCCTCTTCACTGCTTACTTTTTCTAATCATTATGGAATAGTATTTTATTAATAAACATATTATGTATCCACTGCAGTGATTTAAGATTGTGCAAAAGCTCTATTACAGTTCTTAATCTAAATTAACAGTGCCGGTGGACGGCTAATTTAACTATATAGCGTATGGGTTCATTTTAAGAAATAGCATCAATCCCATCTTCGTCAACAGAAAATACAATACTTTCGTCAGTCTTCGCAATGCAATGCTATTTCCCCGGTGGGGCTGGCAGGAACCATTCTGCGGTCAAATGTGGCATGGCAGGGCCTCTGTCCGGGTAAGTACTACGACCTCACAGAAGACCGGCGTAAACTAGAAATGTTACACTTCTGCGTTTCGTGTGGTGAGTGAGGTAGCCGAGGCCCACTTCATTAAAAGGTGGTAACACATCTGCAACCGCCAGCTGTTTTGCCACTTTTTCAGATAAAAAAAAAGTTATCGGTTCATAAAACTTCTGCTGATAAACAAATGTGCATGAGCAAGTACCAGAGCCTTACAGATGACTAGCCGGAGAGTGGAAAAATTAAATCCCTGTGTTCTGTTCGGTGTATGAAGTAACCAGGGCCATTTTTATAGGGCGGTACAGATATCCATGGGCTGTTGTTATCATTCAAGTTCAGGTGTCACCCTCTCAATGAAAACACAGCTCTACGACTCTAAGTTAATAACAGTTCCTATAAATACCTCCAAAGCAGAATTCTGTCGGCACTCCAAGTCCCTGATCTTCGCTTTGAGGGCTTGTATCCGTGTCTGCAATTTAAAATATAAAAGTAAAGTTTCAGCCCATACATGTCCCATTGCCGGGCAAAGGCCTGCTCTGTACAAAGGGTATCAGGGCATAGTCCACCACGCGGCCCCACTGCGAATTGGCGGACATCACATATCGTCAAAATATTTTTATTGTTATTATTTCGAAAATATGTAGGTTTCCTTACGATGTTTTCCTTCACCTCTAAGCATGTGATAATTCGGCACTTCATTAGACTTTTGGTGGAGCTTTTGTCCCATTAAAGTGATAAAGGAGTCAGTTTCCCTCAATGATGGTGAAACAAATAGATTTTTCTTGTAACAAACTGCTAATGTTGTAAATTAAAGTGAACCAAAATTGGAAAGGTTTTTAAATATTCGCTAGCAATAACGGATTTCACAAAGGAATAGTCTCCAATATATGTCGACAAGATATTAATACTACTGCCTGATGGAGAACTGCATCCCTCGCAATGCAGATGTGAGTAAAAGCTCACCTCAGCACTCGCCTCCACAAGTCCATTGGGCTTAGGCTGGCATGAATGCAAACCTCCGCTATCCTGGCTTTGATTTAGATTGGCCGGTGCTTCTGTTTCCGCGTCATCGGCAATCGGTTCGTCTGCCTGGAAAACATGTTAGTTACGAATTTAAATCGTATAACACATTTATTGCAATAATTGAACGGTTTTTTTTTTATTTGATGATTATTAAGAAAGACAAGAATAACAAGAAATTGGACATCTTGTTTGTAACAACTTGCGTAGTACGTTTTGCAATGGCGCCTGCTCTTCCCGCCAAAGGTATCTGAATAGAATATCCTAACAACCTAGTAAAAAAACTGATACACTGCAAGTCATCAAATCTAAAGTTCACATATGTATATGCAAGGCTACTGAGAGCTTTCCAATTTATTGACTTTATGAATTATTCATTTGCTATTTATGAGTTAGGTTAGAGGTACTTGAAGTTTTTAGAGTACATCACGAACTATTGTCTGCTAGCTGACCTTACAGTGGTGATATATAAGCCAAAGATGAAGCATGAACTAGTTGAAAAGGTCATATACCTGGTTCCTGTTACATTATTATGGATGCAGTGCAGATAGTGCCTTTATCATACTGGTTACTAAAAGTACAAATGATACGGAACGAAAGAATAAATATTTACATCGGGAGCGATTCTCGATGGCGAGTACTGTGGGGGCCCGTAAAGCTCGGTGTCTTCGTCCCCATCGACGACCTGAAATTTGTGAGAACAAACCACTATAATATCTGTATCAACTAGTCAGAGGTTTTATATATTTATTTTACTTTTCTGTCTCCTTTCTTTTTTTGGTGGGTTTAAATGAATACGCCAGTGAACACTGTTAATTCTAACATTTTATTAAATTGATTATCTGTATAATTTGTTTAAAAAGTTTGGATTAGCTTAATTACCATCATGATCATAATAACAATGTTTATTGTTTTTTATTAAATATGTAATGGCAATCGAGAAGGTAGATAGATCTAAATGGTAGATGGCTACAGTCAACCACTGCATTGCCCATTTCAAGAGTTAGTCCCTGTTCGCTACTAAGGAATATCACGGAAAACTATTCAGAGCATTTCAGAGGTGGCATTCGAAGTAGGTGTGTACTGTGGTAGGGCCATGCAACAGTATTCACTGTTGCACGAATGGCAGGTTGGTCCGGGAAAGTACCAAAACCTCTCAGAAGACCAGTGTACCTCTGCGTTTCGTCTGGTGAGTGAGGTAGCCGGGGCCCACTTGTTTAAAAGGTGACAACACCCATGCAACCGATGCGTGTTGCGAGTGTCTATGGGGCGACGGTTATCGCTCACCATCAGGTGAACCGCCAGCTCGCTTGCCGTCTTACCTTACCTTACCACATAAAAGAAACAAAAAAGAAATAGTGCATAGAGTCCCTCCGCGCGGAAGTAGTGAAAGTTCGAGTGCCACGCATTTACTCTCGCTCTGTCCCTTTCTATTCCTCCTCGCCAGGAGCGTTGAACGTTTACCGCATCAGTGCTTTCGCACCCCGCCATGGTAGAGTTAAATTTTCAACGCAACCTTGTTGGAAGACGCATTAGAAGTAAATAATTAAATATTTTAAGACACATTTTTAGACAACATTTTCTAGTCCCAAACTAAGCAAGAGTTGTATTATGGATACTAGGTATGATAAACATTCTCAAACATAATTTTCATTTCTAAATAAATACATATAATAGATGTATAAACAACCAAACACTATGTTCATTGCACAATATTTTTCCAGTAGTGGGGATCGAACCCACACTCTCTGGCGCAGGAGGCAGGTACACTACCCACTACGACATTCGGGTCATCATGCCGGCCGTCGCCCATGGCCGATTCCGAAGTCGACCGACTCACCAGCGCCTGGTCTATGGACGCCCTGCGCACGCAAGTGGCAACCCTGCCCTCAGCCGCCTGCAGGGCAGCAGCCCTGACCCTCCATTCTCCACACCACTGGTATTCAGCCCCGAAGCCGGCGCCCGACGGCTCGTCATTCTGAAAACACAAGTTGCGAGTTCAGTGAGACGTTTGTGGATTTAAAAAAAATAAAATAAAAGTGCCGACAGAATTATTTTGGTGCGTTAGACAATTTTTAGATAAATAAACAATTATGATTCGAAATTATTTAAATATCTCGTGAATCAATTGTACGTTTACATCTGGTTGTGCTAATATTTTGTCGATTGGACATAGTAAAATCGAATTCTCTATTCAAAAATTCGATTAAGCACGCACTGTAGCTGCGTCTCGTAACGGTGTCGCGAGTCGAGAGATTTCTATCTCCCTTTCCTAAAAAAAAACACTTGCCAAGTGCGAATCGCGCTCACGCATGAAGGATTCCGTACCATCTACAGATTCTGCCAAAAAATCATGTTGCATGGGAGCCCCATTTAAATAATTTTTAATTCTGTTGTTTATTAATTGATGTTTGAGCGGCAACAGAAATACATCTGTGAATTTTAAGTCTAACCATCACGGTTTTTTTTTTTATAGACATGAGATACAGCCTGGTGACAGACAGACGGACGGACGGACGGACGGACGGACGGACGGACGGACGGACGGACAGACAGCAGTCTTAGTAACAGGGCTTTGGATATGGAACCCTAAATAACCTGATCGCGCAAAATAAGACAGAAAAGGCCACCAGTTGTATCCCATGACCCTGGGCTCAACTCTATGGGGCTGCCGCCGGACGGACAGCCAGACACACAGCGGAGTCTTAGTAACAGGGTCCCATTTTACCCTTAAAGTACGCAACCGAAAAAGCGGGTTTAGTCGGGATTTTAGCGGGGTGAGGTTATCGATAGCTTAGCTTAACGGCTGGAGAGTCAACACAACAAGTATACTGACTTCCACATCTATGCTGCCCTCCTCCGAGCTGGTGTCGGGAACGTCCTCGTCCATCTCCGCCCCCGTCCGCTTGAGGCATCTCAGCGCGTGCCTCTGCAGCCTCGAGACTGGCAGGGAGGCGTTGCACACTGGACACTCGCCGGTCTGTGGCGGTGGGGTAAGACGTCTCCTGGCCCGGAGCCGACGCAGACGGTTGGTATGCACGCGCTGAAAAGTCATAATCACACTAGTACATAACCACACATGATATCTTTTTTTATGACACTTGTAAAACATCATCATCATCATCACTTCAGCCTGTTTGTCCACCGCTGAACATAGGCCTCCCCAATCATCAGCCCTGTAGGTATCCCCTGCCTATCGTAAAAGGCGACTAAAAGGGGACAAGGATGGGCAGCAGCACGAAGTGGTCTCGTGCAAGAGGGTGAGGGAATCGGTGAAGGTTTATCCTTCTCCGAGGCGTGCTCAGGCGTAGTACCGAGGGACACTGGTGCGTTCAATGGGAAATCCCGGAGCCCCTCCAAATGTACGGAAGGCGGCCACCGAGGGGGTTTTAGTGGGTAAGAACCCCACATAACCCTATCATGTAAAGTGACAGGGTATCTTTTGAAGATTTCCCGCCCGATACAGAAAAAAGGCCTCCCCATAGACTGCCACAGAGCATGATCCTGAGCCACCTGCATCCATCGACTTCCCGCACATTTGCACCGGGGTCACGCCACTTTTTTTTTTAAGTGATAAGTTGCCAAGCGAGTAGACGGTTCACCTGATGTTAAGTGCGTACCCCCACCCATGGACATCCGACGCCCGAGGGTTCCAGATGCATTGACAACCTTTTGAAAATTAGGCTCAGGCCATCTCACTCACCAGACGAAATGCAAAAGTATTTATCATACTGCCACTTTACGCCGGTCTTCTGTGAGGTTGTGGTACTTACCCGGACGAGCCTGCCCAATCCTGCAACAGCCGCTGCCTGGCCCTACGACTTACTAGTGGACACCGCACGTTGTACATGACATGTTTGCTCAATTACTTTCTTCTGTTTAGACTAGGCCATACCAGTTTATCCTGGAGTGTGCGTATTTATATCAGGTACAACTAGTTTGGTCTAGCCTAAACTAGTCTATTGTATCGGGAGTAGGACAAATTAGTTTGGACTAGCCTAAACTGGTTTATCCTATCGGGCTTGGACCAAACTAGTTTGGACTAGGCTAAACTGGTTCCTCCTATCGTGTATAAGAAGAAATAGTTTAGCCTAGGCATAACTAGTTTATCCTGAAATCGTTTTGGCCAGTAACATATGTAAGTAGAGTGTACTTTATACTTTGTTTATGTATATTACACACTTTCTTCAGTATGCACTTCACTTCTACAAGCATTCTTGATGGTAAATATTCATAAACCTATCCAACAATAATAGTAAATTACTACCATGAGTAACCATCCAATTCCTATTCAGACATTGAAGCCCCAGGCTGGGAGGGGTACATGCTTTCAATTGAATTAGGAACTTTGTCATTAAACAAACTGCCAGTGCTATAAAACTACAGCTACAAAGTATTAAAGTAAATAACATGAAATCTTGTAAAGATACTCTGAAAAAGGTACATGATTATAAGTAAAATTAGAAGTTCTTGCTAGGAAGACAGGTTTCATATCAAGATATATTTGCTCTTAAAACCTTTCAAAGGATTATGTACAGTCATAAACAAATAAAACTATTCCTTGAGAATGGAAATTAATGAGAAATAAATATATATTTTATAAAAGATAGCTTACATACAGTGTTAAAGAATAAGAAATGTAAAAGTTCACAACACTCGGGACATTTCAATATAATTTTATGATAAGGTAAAAGGCAATTGCAAAATGCTGGGCAACAGCTGGACAGTAAAGTTTAAACATTATTTGTCTTAAAAACAATTTCATAAATATTAAAACTCCTTAGACTTAAACTAAGACAACATGATGCTTTGTTTTGTTGCATTATGATCTATTTCTATTCTACATGTATTTTTTAATTGAAGTCTTCTTTTGTTGTGTTTGGGAAAAATTATGAGTGAATTTTTACATTGTGCAACTCCTAAAAGCAATCCCAACAAATAGTGTTACCATGACAACCAATAAGAACTTTTTTACATTTACCTAATTATTTAATTGAACCATTATCTAGTTCATCATATTGGCATACAATTTTTAGTGATAATTCCTTTGTTACTTAAAAGAAGAATAACTTTATAACTTCTGACATGCAAACATTTGTACACACTTTTTTACCGAGACACATTGTCTAGGTAAAAAAGATCTAGATGTTGCAGTCATGCCATAAAATTCTCTCAACTATACCTTATTATGAACTGTTATGAGCACTTCGATACTATTGACATTGAGACTGACCCAGTCACACACATTTAAAATTTTATTCAATGCAAGAATATTGAGAATAAAGTTCTAAACAATAACAATTTAATTTGAGTGTATCTAAATTTAAGTATTTTGACCCACAAATATAATCTAATATGGTTTTTAAAGAAGTAGGTAATAAAAATGGCATTGTATAAATTATTTCTATTATCATCTATGAAGTAAAATTGTGACAAACTTTGAACTAAGATAATACTAATGATAAGTACCAATAGAATGTAAACTTAATGTTGAAATGTCTAAGCATTTGTATAACAGAAATAGTTGAATATGGAACTATAGTGTTTGTCACAATGTTTATACCATATTTAAACAAATAAATAAATAAAAGAAAATATTACAACTTTTAGTATAAGCAACACTTCAATGTTAGTGTAGATTTCATTCAGTTATTTATAATAAAGAGGTCTGATGGCACAATTAGAATAATTTTTATAATGTATTTTTTAACATACATTTTGTGTCATTGTTGGTTTATCCAAAAAAATAAATAAAAAGTAAAGATGTTTCTGCTGTGTAATGAAATGAGATATGAATACATTTCTTCTATCTTGAATGCATTTTGGCTACCAAAATACATTAAGAGTTTTCTAAATGTATGTATGAGTGCCAATAGGCCCAAGTGGGAAAATATATCAAATAAAATTAGCACTGTTAACTAAATTGGTAACAAATATAAACTATACCAACCTGATAGACATCACTCCCTAAGCAACCCGAAACATCAACATCTTGATCATTCTGAGGGTCCACATTCGTGCTGGAACCCGGTAAGACTAGAGTGGAGCTCGAGGAGGGGCTGTTGGAACTTAGCTTCCGCTTAGAACTGCCGCTGGATAATTTTTGCAGCCTCTCGACTTCCAATGCGAGATGCGACTCCAATTCCCCTTGGCGTATAGTACAGCTACACACTGGACAGTTCGCTTGCTCCGACACCTTCTTCCTATTACGAACACTATTCAGAATGATATTCTCATCGTACACACTACAGAAGTTGTTTGGGCCGTTGTTCAGGTTAGAGGATCCTTCCATATTATACATCACAACGGGTAACATCTCACCGTTTTGTAGACACCGTTTCATAAATCTAATAACATCGCGACAATAGCGCGGTAAAAACACACTTTAACTATACATTAACATTAATGGAACTTCGACGTCGCTTAAAGAACTCATCTTGCAGAGATTTTATTCCTTTATTAACGGTAATTGGAATATTATTTGGGAATAAACAATAATAAATAGGACGTTAGTAGTACTTTTTTTTTTCAAATGACAACAACACTTAGCAATTATTGCCACTCCTGAAAATAGTAAAGCTATATTTGAAAATTGTGAGTCAAAAATTCAAAATTGGTTAATCCAATGTATATAATTAATTTTAAATAAATTGTAAATAAAACACTCCGTCTTCATACTCAAGCTTTTGCTTATTTGTTAAATATATTAAAATCATCCATTTTGCCATGGATGCTATTTTCATAAGTCCGCGATACGTATTTTCAAATTATAAATTATATATTTTAAGTCCGCGCTGCGGGATTTCGAACCGGTGCCTTTCTGTATCGTGCCCAGTCGCATACCTACAAAAAATCACAACATAGCTCATATAGCTCGTAGAACCAGTAATCGATATCCATGGGGAAGAAATCCCCATACTGGCCTAGGAAAACTGTACCTGTGTATCTGTTACTGACAAACATAAATAACAGTTCTTATCTAACAGAAAGCGTTCCTTAATGCGCTATCAAAGCTTTTCTCTATTCATGCTAACGACTGTTATCTTACTTAGGAATAGGTAAGAACTGTCACACCTTACTGAACAAAATGTTCAGAAAAGACTGTTCAAAAAATTTTGTCACAGGTCTTGCATTTTATTAAGTTAAGTAAGGGCATCTGAAGTACACACATAAACAACTAACGAAAACAGCTGTTTCAGTATGTAACTATGGTAACAGTTACACAAAAACAAAATGTAACAACAATTCAACATAGTATGAAATAACAGGCTGTTATTTTGTAACATGTTTTTGTCACAGTAACGATTAAGTAATAGGAACAAGCGTAACAGGTATTCGATCGATTCGATATTTAATTAATATCACTCATAAGTTGAGTGATATTAATTTAATTTTCGATAGTGAAAAACGTATCGACATCGATATTATTGAACACCAAATATCTATATTTTATAACTAGCTGTTAACCGTGACTTCGTCCGCGCGGCCAAAAAGAATTAATAACGAAGACATTAATATTTTCGACAATTCACACAATATCTTTATAAATTATAACCTATGTGTTATTCTGATGTGTAAGTTATATTATTGTTTTCATTAAAAACTATTCAGTACTTTTTGCGTTAAAGAGTAACAAACATCCATCCATACATACAAACTTTCGCGTTTATAATGTTAGTAATGATAAGGATATCAAATTATCAATTGACATTTCTAGAGCTTGTGTAATGATATGAACTCATGTTTTATTTAAATACTTTATATGCTAAAACTAATCCGGTAAATAACAGATATCACATTTTTATCAGAATTGATTAAAATACAAAATAAAAGAAAAAAAAAACGTGCGTACAAGTGTACACTTGTACGAAGTTATACTTCTTTAGCGTAAAAAAGAAAAAAAATTTTTTTATCTTCGGTGCCACCAGCACTCTTTGATTGTGAAAGACATTAAATGCAACAGATAACGGTTGGATTAAATAACTATCTTGGAGTTACAGGTAAATGTTAAAAAGTTATAATTGATTGCCACGATAATACCGTAAAGTTGGTCGCTTTGCAACCAACTCCATCATGCCGCTTTTTTGCTATCGGTGTGCGCGCGCATCGTAAAAATTTTACTGTAATAAATTGCTTAGCAAGGTAAGAAACTTCAAAGTAGTTTTCTTTTGAACCGGTTTCATTACAGTCTGACCAATATCTGATAATAGCCTCTCGGACGATGTTAAGTTCCTACGAAATTAGATGCTTATTAGCGATATTTTTAATCATTGGATAAGAATAACTTATAATATGGCTCCACAGTTCCAAAGGATTTTTTTAATGTAATAAGTTAAGCGAGCAGGCGGTTCACCTGATGTTAAGTGAATACCGCCGCCCATGGACATCTGCTACACCCGACGGTTCCAGATGCGTTGAACTTATTTTTAAAATTGGGCCCCGGCTACCTCACCAGACGAAACGCGAAAGCATTATACTTCCACTCCACGCCGGTCTTCTGTGAGGTCGTGGTACTTACCCGAACGAGCCTGCCCATTTGTGCTACAGCTGAGGCTGCTGCGTGGTCCTACCACAGTTAAAGAAATTAAAAATTCTCATTTCAGCCCTCTAAATTACATTTAGAAACGTTTTCAAAAGAAAGTTTTCCTGAACTTTATGTGAATTCAAGTGTGAAATGAAAGTCTAGTCCGCTGCATATAAGTCTTTATTCCTTTTCTTCGCCCTTCTGCCTCCTCGGGTGGGGCAGCTTGAGGTGTACGGAGCGGATGTGCACCTTCAGCGAGTTGGACTGGCTGAAGCACTTGGAGCATTGCGCGCAGGAGTACGGCCTGGCGCCCGAGTGGACCTGCGACGGGAATCAACTTTATATGGCGGATCGCACTGAAACTATAAATTATGAGAAAGATGTTACTCACTGTACAGATAATTTAATAATTTTTAATTGACGACCTGAATGGCAGTGTACCTGCCACTGTGTACCTGTGGGTAGTGTACCTGCCTTCTGCGCCAAAGGCTGTGTGTTCGATTCCCACTACTGGAAAAATAATGTGTGTTGAGCATAGTGTTTTTCTATCATGAGTTATCTAATTGTATTTGTACTTTGTTGTAAATAAAGAACCGTTAACCTAGGTGCATCGAATTTTACTGCGAGACAGTCCCTTACACAAGAATTAGTAGCTGAAAGGTATTATTTAGATAGAGCAATTCATGTATTAACTCACACCGTGTAGTCACTCGCTTAGTATTATTTTTCCACAACGTAGTATTTAATTACGACACTTTAAACTTGAGTTGCTAGCTTGACTGTTTGCCACGGTTAACATCCAGTTTTACGTATTTTAACTTTGCCGCTCGATTTGGCAAACGAGGTGGACTCGGACGGAACGGAAGGGAGACGGCACGCCCACCCGGTAGTGCCTGTTGAGGGCGGGCTTCTGGGCGAAGCGCTTGTGGCAGGCGTGGCACGCGTACGGCCGCTCGCCCGAGTGGGTGCGCGCGTGCACGCGCAGCAGCCCGCGCTCGGCGAACCGCTTGTGGCAGGCGTTGCACGCGAACGGCCGCTCGCCCGTGTGCCGCCGCTGGTGGTAGCGCAGCGCCGCCGCCGACTGCAACGTCATACGAGGGATGGCGGCGTATAGGGTGTAGTAAAACTGATGTATGGGGGGTGTAACAGACTGTTCGTGTGGCAAATACGTAGCGCAGCGCCGCCGCCGACTGCAACGACATGCAAAGCGAGCGTGGCAGGCTATTATAGTGTGTAGTAAAACTGATTTATGGGGTGTAACAAACTGTTCGTGTTGCGTGGCAAACTATTATCATCATCATTTCACCCTGCTTTAGCTCGATGCAGAACACCTGCCTCCCCCACATACTGCCACCAAGTACGATCCCGAGCCACCCGCATCCATCGACTTCCCGCACATTTGCACAGGTTGTCATTCCACCTAGTGGGTGGAATGACACTTACACAGAGTGTGAAAAACTGTTCGTGTGGCCAATCTATTGTAACAAACTAATCGTGTGCCCAATGTATAGGGTGTAACAAACCATCCGTGTGACCAATGTATAGGTTATTGCAAACTATTCGTGTGGCCAATCTATAGAGGGTAACAAATTATTAGTGTGGCCAATGTAAAGGATGTTACAAACTATTTGTGTGACCAATGTATAGGGTGTTATAAACTATTCGTGTGACCAATGTATAGGGTATTATAAACTATTCGTGTGGCCAATATATAGGTGGTAACAAACAATTTGTGTGACCAATCTTTTTTTTTTTATGTGAAAAGTTCCCAAGCGAGCAGACGGAAATTGCGCTAAATAGTTAAATCTACGGGTTGTAACAAACTATTCGTGCGGCCAGTATCGTTGATGGGGACTTGTGTAACGTATGCGGCAACCCACCGTGCACTTCTTTCCACACAGCTCGCATACCACGTTCCTGTCGTACTTCAGGCCGAGGTGGACTCTCTTCACGTGCGCCTGCAGGCGGGAGCGGGTCACGAACTGGCCGTCGCACTGCGGATATGATATATTTACGCTAAGCATCGTTTATTATGCGAAAATTCATAATATTAATTAATATTTCGGACACATTTTTTTTTTTACACAACATTCTCTAGTCCCAAACTAAGCAACGCTTGTACTATGGGTACTAGAAAACTGATAAACATACTTAAACATACTTTTCTTTCTTGTTTTTGTAAATAAATACATATTATACATATATAAACACCCGGACACTGGAAAAACACCATGTTCATCACACAATATTTTTCCAGTAGTGGGGATCGAACCCACACCCTCTGGCGCAGGAGGCTCACTACTCCCCACGCTAATTGGGTCAATAATCCATTAGCTTACTGTATTTAAAGTTTTGCACTTTGAATATTGAGCTAATGAATTAGATTTGTTCCATTGCTTGTTGAATGAGTTCACATTGGCTGCGTTCCATGTTCTCAGTGTTTAGTTTTAGTTATATGTTATCTTAAACTGTATTCGAACTTCACTAGCGCATTAGGTATCCTGGTATATATAGGCCTGTAATGATAATTGTAAGTTGATGTATAAAATAAAAAATTATGTAAAACCCATTTGTAGTCTTTGTATCTATTTAATAGAAATAATACATTGACTCATGTACACCAGTAAAGGGCGTAGCGACAGTCTGCCATAGGGATGGGCAAGTGCAAAAATATATCGATACTTATAATTTATCTGTGGTAGGGCTCCGCAAATGTTCACTGTTGCACGAATGGGCAGGCTCGTCCGGGTGAGTACCACGACCTCACAGAAGACAGGCGTAAAGTAGAAGTGTTACACTTCTGCTTTTCGTCTGGTGAGTGAGGTAGCCGGGGCCCACTTTATTTAAAGGTGGCAACGCTTCTGCAACCCTACCGGTGTTGCAAATGTCCACGGGCGGCGGTTATCACTTAACATCAGGTGAACCGCCAGCTCGTTTGCCACTTTGTCACATAAAAAAATGTACACAGAGAATTATGACAGAAATGTAATTACATGAAAGGATTTGTGCAAAAGTGTTGCTTATTCGAGAAACGGCACAGCAGCGTGGGCGTGGGGAAAAATCCGTCCCCCCCTTGTCTGGCATACCACAGATGGCCTCGTACGGCCGTGGGCGTGGGATCAGCTAGGTGTGGGCACGGCAGCGCGGGCGTGGGCAGCGCGCCTCCCCCACCCCATGTCTGGCATACTGCAGATTCCGCGACCTGTGTGCGCTGCGGCCGTGGGCGTGGGCCGTTCGGCTACCTGCGGGCACGGCAGCGTGGGCGTGGGCGTGGGCGCGTCCTGGGCGCCGGGCGGCGGCCGCAGCTCGCGCAGGTGGGCGCGCAAGTGGGCGGCCCGGCTCAGCGCGGTCACTTGCTCGCCGCAGATCGTGCACTCCGAGCTGGAACGACGGACGCAGGGAAAGTTCATATGTAATGGTCGCAAAGCGTATGAATGGCTTGAATGAATTTAAAAGAGACAAAACGTACTGTTAGAAGGAGAGGCTTGTAATACGACGCTGTGGCGCGAGTTGTATAGGATGTTACAAGTTTTATTTCTTTTTTATTTAATTAGTTTCTTTGAAAAACATTTTTTTTTTAGTTATGAACGTTTTATGTTTTTTTATGATTGTTTGCAAGTCGCGTTAGATGTGTGTTCATTTATTGTCGCGGTTGTAACGACACGCTGTATACCCGGACAAAATGATTACTGACATTATACCAAGGACAGCAGGGTTTCAGAGGAATTTTTACTGGATGGGCAAAACAGTTTACAATAAATTGCTTCACTTAACAAAAAGCCAGCCATATCATACTTTTAAGGATTTTATGAACTACAAAGAGTGTTAATCAGGATCATTATTGACAATGATATACTTATTTTGACAGTTATATATTATCACTTTGATATCAGCTGTCTGTGACTGATAATATTTGCAAGCTATTTGTAATAGCAGAACTTGGTGTTCAAAAAGTATAAAATGCTATGTTAACGTCATCTTGTTAAATATCCAGTTTAATGGCAAGTAAAATTTATTATTATTATCATCATCATCATTTCAGCCTGTACGCGTCCACTGCTGAACATAGGCCTCCTCTAGGGATTTCCACTTTGATCGGTTTGAAGCGGCCTGCATCCAGCGAGGTCCCGCGACTTTGGACAATTTTACGACTTTATTATTATGTAAAATCAAAAATATCGATTATCGATACGTAAAACCAAACATATCGATATCTCGAAATGTGGCACCAAAAATATCGATATCCCCAGGCGGCCACCTGCTCTCGTTCCTGGAGGTGTGCTTGAAGGAGGTGAGCTGGTGCCTCTTCCACGCGTCGCGGCTCAGGAACTGGACGTTGCACTCGGCGCAGAATGACTCGGACGCCTCATCTGCCGGGATATCGATGTCCTGTAAGAGCGAAGTCATTGATTCAACTGCGGCGGGGCCACGAATCCGGCACAGAGCCCGTGGGTGTCATATGTTTAATACTTCACATCCGTCCGTCCTTTCATCCATCCGTCCATCCTTCCTCCGTCCGTCCGTCCGTCCTTCCATCCATCCCGTCCTTCCGTCCGTCCGTCGGACAGCGAAGTCTTAGTAACAGGGTCCCGTTTGACACTTTATGTACGGAAGTTTAAAAACTAACTCTTTAACTAACTGTAGTAGGGTTATGCAACGGTTCGCTGTTGCACGAATGGGCAGGTCCGTCCGGGGAAGTACCGCGACCTCACAGAAGACCGGCGTGAAGTGGAAGTGTTACACTTCTGCGTTTCGTCTGGTGAGTGAGGTGGCCGGGGCCCACTTTATTACAAGGTGGCAACGCGTTTGCAACCCTACGGGTGTTGCAAATGTCCGTGGGCGGCGGTTATCACTTAACATCAGGTGAACCGCCAGCTCGCTTGCGGCGGGCGAGAATCGAACCCGCGCTCCGCAATGCTTTACAGACTGCATCATGTATGTATGTACGTATGTATATGACTAGCAGAGTCGCTGGGGTATGTTTGTACGTATGTATACAGGGTGATTTTATAGTCGACGGACATATTAACAAAGCATATGCAGAATTTGATTCGAAATCTGAATCTGGTAAGTACTTGTGTCCTCATTTTTTTTTAAAGATTATTTTTAATTTCTTCAAATATTAAAGACACCTTAAGAAATTCCCGCCTTACCGTCTCAATACAATAACCCATTCACGAGCACTAAACTTTTCGCTGAACGCATTATTACTAAACCGCTTATCAATAGGGTGACCGCTCTTAACAGGATAAACAAACACACAATGTTAAAATTGATATTTCTCTGGTTATTTCAAAATAAAATATTAATATTTTTTTTAATTGTGCAATGCTCAATTAACATTACGTCAGAGTGTGTGCTTCGTCTAAAAAATCACCCTGTACGTGTACTTCTCTTTAAGCAACTTTCCGGTTGGCTAGTAGAAAATGCGTTATGGCATCAAGCCGCCGTTAGCACCAGCTGGTAGAACAGGCGTACCGGCTTCCGGTGCGCCTTGCTGCGGTGCATGAGCAGCCCGTGGCGGCCGACGAAGCTCTCCCCGCAGCGGGCGCAGGGCTGCTCCGAGTGGTGCTTCCGCAGGTGGGTCAGGTACGAGGTCGGCTTCCTGCGCGGGGGGGCACCAGGTTTTATTTTTAATTGAAAAGTAGGTTCGATATCGATCGGTTAACCGCCTCCCTTCAGAGTAGTAGACGAGATCTGGTTGACATTGACTATTTAAAAAAAATCAAAGTTATATTTTCGCAAGGTCAAAGTCAGAATTTCTTTATTCAGACTATCCTATTGAACGTCAAAAAACTGCTGCCGTTTTATAAAACTAGAGCTGTCCGACAAATAACCGGCAAGACACTCTGCCATCTTGTAAATCGTCTGCAATTATATAAATATACAAATTAACTAAGTATAAAATCAGCACCAGCCCCCTGACTTGCAAGTGCGGAGCAAGAGTCATTTCCACACACGGTTAGTACTATTTCGGGTCACCTGAAAGTAACAGGCGGGTCACCTGATGTGATTACCTCTACCCATGGACATAACCCATGGGGTTGACAACCACTATAATGACGAGGTTAACTCCACCCAGCAGACGGTAGACAAAAGTATTGTAGGTACTTCCCCAGATGGTGGCGGGAGGAAATGCGTGATGCTCTCCTCTTCATATCGATACTCACTGGAACTTCTGACCGCATATCTGACAGGGATACGTGTGCCCGTTGTGCCACTTCTCGTGGTCCTTCGCCTGATGTCTGAAAGGTTTCATGTATGAATAGAGACATAGAATGCCAAACAGGCTCTCAAAATTAAAATTTCTAGAAAAAATTGCGAAAAGTTTCTCGCCGCTGTGGGAATCGAACCCACATCTTCGGGATTCGCGCCCTGACGCTTTAGCCACTAAGCCGAACGGCTGATTGCCAGATCGACGAAAATCTTAACGTCTTTCATCTACAGGTTCTCAAAAGTCCAATTAACTTATTCACCGTATGTTAAAAAAAAAACTACCACCGGTTCACTAAACCAAAAAAGTAGGGGTCAGGGCGGAGAGAGATAGAGAGAGAAGGAAGGGAGTTTCTATCTCTCTCTGTCACAGAAGGGGGAGTGATGGAGATAGAGAGGGAGAGGGAGCGAGAAAGAAGGGTGTCTCTTGCTCTATCAATCACAGAGAGGCGGAGGGATGTAGTGAGAGAGAAAAAGAGAGAGAGGGGGGAGGGGGAGAGAGAGGAGTGCGGAGCGCCCACCTGGTGTGCGCCCTGTGCGGGCACCGCGCGCACGCGAACCTGCGCGCGTGCGCAGACGCCTCGTGCGCTCTCAGCTGGCGCGCGCTGGAGTAGCGCAGCGCGCAAATAGCGCACTCGTGCGCACCGCTCGCCTGTCGGGGGGAGGAGCGAGATTTTTAATAATGACAATAATGTCTTTTGTATTATTCATTTTGTGGGTTCTGTACCCAAAGGTTGAACCGGGACCCTATTACTAAGACTACACCTGACTATCTAATGACCTGTGATAGTTAGACAGGTGAAATTTTCACAGATGTAGCATTTCTGTCAGCGCATGTATGTAAGAGGCGACACACCCTTTTTTTTTTTTGATTTTTTTCCTTTTTTTTTTGTGCTGTGAGACCTTGCTTTTTGCCAAATGCCGTGATTCTAGGTTGTTAGGCGGTTATACCTAAAATTAGTTAAATTTGTTGTTGTATTGTACGATTTAATAAAAACAAATAATTTATTTCAGTATAATTAAAGTATTACTGAAAAAATTTCAGTAAAGTCAAATATATCAAGTATATCAACTTTGACTATAATATCATTTGTTTATAAATAGAAACTATAATATGAAGTGAATTTCATTTAATTAATTGACGACCCGTGGCACAGTCGCCAAGGTATCGGCTTTGGCGTCGGGGGTCGTGGGTTCGATTCGGTTCAAAATAGACTTGTTTCTATCAAGTCTTCCGACCTGATCATGCTTCGCCATGTGGTTCCTGAAGGCCTGCGGATGAACGAAGCCCTTGTAGCACTTGTCACACTTGTACGGAGAGTTGATGTAGTTCTCCGAGCTGGCCCTCTCGAGGAGTTCGCGTTTCTGTTCCTCGGGAGTCAGCTCGATCTCCTCGGCGTCCACCACCAGATCTGCAATTGGCAACGTGACAGTTCAACATGGAATAATGGACCTCTATTCACTGCGACACAACCCTTAATAGAGACTCGCTTATGTTTCAATATACTTGTTAGCCTTTATATATATAAAAATTTCATGTCACGTTGTTTGTTCGCGATGAACTCCTAAACTACAGAACCGATTTTAATCAAATTTTGCTCACTGTGTGCAGTTTGATCCAACTTGAGATATAGGATAGTTTAAATCTCAATTTATAGTAGCATTATTTTACAAATTGGCAAATTATTTGTTTATTAGATGACAAAGAGTTATAGTTAACTGTGAGTTCCAAAAGATTTTATAAATGCTACCAGTCTCTGTGGCATTCGTGCAGACCTAATTGGTCGATAGGGGTCATATCAACAGCCCTGCAGTCCCAGGCTCATAGAATAGGGCTAAGGTATCCCCTGCCTGTCGTAACCGGCCAGCTCGTTTGCTACTGATTCACATAAAAAAATAGGAGCTCACTTCTAGTAAGAACCCCACACAACCCTGTCATGTAATCAAACGGTATTAAGAATTAAGGTTCTCACCACTCTCGGCTTTATTCTTCCGCCGTTTCCTTTCTACGGGTGTCGGCTCAAATGTAAAAGTTTTTTTAGAGCCGATAGCGATCAGCGGGAGGTCGTCTTCTGAGTCGGTGTGTCCTTGAACCCCGTCCGTTGCGAAGTCTTCGGCATCATCGGCAAACACTGCAACAAGTTTTATATCATCATCATTTAGGCCTGAATCCACTGCAGAACATAGAGTGGTCCACTGCAGATTGCCACGAAGCGCGGTCCTGACCCACCTGCATACATCGACTTCCCGCACACTTGCACAGGTAGTCCCTCCATCTAGTGGCTGGTCGTCCAACATAGCGATGGCCAGTATGAGGCTAAGTTTTATATATTTATTACTATTTACACAACCAATCGCTTACTCATCTACAATGGGAATTGCTATTTTTCTCCTTTTTTTATATTTTTAAAAACTACTGTTTATTTTTTTAAATTTTAAAGTTTTTTATAGTGCTAATCTCACTGCAACCATCACAATGGTTGACAGTCCACCATTGTGTGTAACTTTCTGCCATGCACAACCAAGTTATGCAATCAGTTATCGCCAGAGGTATTTCTGGACCGATACGACTTAGGGACCTGCAAGAAGAGAGCCTATTCCTTGGTGAACACTTCCCACCAGGTGACCCATTATGGTGTTTGTTTTATCATACCACCACCCATGGACACAATATCAAATTAGTCACAAATTGATTTGCACCTTTGAAGTAGGAATGGGCTATAATTATTGTAGGTCCCTAAGTCTTAATGTACTTTATACTTGCATTTACATTACCTATTGGATCATGTCCATATTCTTCTGTCTCCTTCTCTTCCTTATATGATTCCAGCCTATCAATCTTAGTTTCCAAAGTGGCCTCTTCGCAAACGACTGATTCCAGCTGGACATGGTTAGTTGGTGTGACCTGCAGACTGTTTCTGGCATACTTCTCTATCTCAGCGCTGGATGTAGCCAGCTTGAGGGCAAGAAGATCAGAATATGAAAAATCGTTAAAATAAAAGTGCAGTGGCTTTTGGTGTTGAACATGAAAGGCACTTGAGACAGAAAGTATAACAGATTTACAATGACTTAAGTACAGGTGTAACAGATATCCATAAGCAATGACTATCAGAAGGGTGATTGCTTATAAATGTAACCGAGAAGAGTACAGAAAGCCTCAGTTTGCATTTCAAACTTTTTTTTAACCAACTTCAAAAAAGAAGGAGGTTTCTCAATATGGCCGTATCATCATCATCATCATATCAGCCGTAGGACGTCCACTGCTGAACATAGGCCTCCCCAATTGACTTCCACTTCAACCGGTTGTTAGCAGCCTGCATCTAACGCATCCCTGCGATCTTGGCTTGGTCGTCCGTCCACCTTGTGGGAGGCCTTCCTACGATGCGCTTGTCGTCATGTACGACCGTATATATAAATAGTTTTTTATGAGCATTCGCAGATAACTTCGTCATCTATGAACCAAAAGGAGATATCCCAAGGGTGGTACCATAATAAGGAAACCCAGATCTGATGATGGAATCCCAGATATATCTAGGACAATGCTCAAATGTTATAGGTATTAACTATGTTTTTTTTAGAAACTAAAAAAACGTTTTAAAGTCAATATCTTTTGTTAAAGATTATATTAACTAATGCAATGTGAATGAACAATACCGAAAGGCCGCCTCTGAATAGCTGCTCCAGGACTTCGTTGGACTTGATAGCCTGTTGCCGTAGCCCACTGCAGCGTTTGAGTCTTGCACAGCAAAGAAAACAAATGGTTGTAGGCTTGTCATTGTCCACATTTAGCTGTAAGTTGCATAAAAAGGTAAAATATAAAAAATAGGAAATAAAAAACATAAAAAATAGCAAAACAATCATAAAATAAATGACAGACTTATATGACAGACATTTCTTATTTTTTATAACCACCCAGAAATAGGAGCAGAATTAACATGTTGTCAACAAGACGAAATAATAACAAATATAAAAAGACCCATTTTTAGAAATGGTGAAAATAATTAAATACATATTTAATTACTACAAATAATTAAATACCTATTTAAATTAAAATAAAAAAAATTATAAGTAATACTGCTGTGAAATTCTTAAAATGCAATTCCCATGAAATTCTTCTTAGATTATTATCAATTATTTAAATAGAATTAAAAATTGTATAATTAACCATGAATCACCATATTCATGTAGTAGTAGGAAATATAATTAATTGTAATTTATTAATGCAACCACATATCAGGTCACCTTGCTGATCTACATAATACTTGCGTAATGTTGCTTTTACACTGTATTGTATTAAAAGTTATGTTATTATTCCATACTTACGTGAACCTGCGTCAATAACTCGTACAAGTTTTCTAAAATTGTATTTTTGATCGTAAGCATACGGACGTTTGTACTTAAACAAATTCTACAAACTTGAAGGGTGTTGGCCATTTTTATCGTTACTTTATTTCTGTTATAAAATTATCATTTTAATGACGATTTCGGAAGAAACATTAACATTTAGTAAGACATACATTCAAATTATTTATTGACAATTAACGTCTACCGAACTGAAACTGAATCAGTACTGAGTACTGACAGTTCGTCATTATAATTCGCATCAATATCACAGATTAAGCATAAATCATAGATAGCAATAGTACATATACCTATCATATTATACTAGCCGTATCTGGCCTGACATTAGCGATGGTAGTTGAATCACCGAATTAAATAGATCAATGGCGAACTCTTGTCAACGTATTAACTTAACCATATATGAAATCAACTAGTTGAATTCGACTACGTACACAATTTGTAAACATTTTGTAAATTTATTAATTTGTAATTGTATAAAGTGTATCATACGATTTTGCCTCATTAAATCAAGACTTTTTCTAATGATAATTTAAAATACATTGCTAATGAAATTCATTGTTATTATTATGGTATTATTGAAAAAAGCACAACTCTATGGAGAGGCTCAAGTTCTTATAGTAGAAAATAATAATCATAAAAAGCGTCTTTGCATTGAATTATTCGCGAACTGTCAACAAATAAGATGCTAAGTGAGATGTAGGTAATGGGGATCGCTTACGCAAGAATTGATTTGAAACAAAATCAATTAATGAACTACTGTGGATTTCGGATATAATGACGTTGGACGGACTACTTTAATGTCTTCGTTATATCCGGAAGTTTCTAAATCCAAAATAGAAAGTCAAGTACATATATTTATATTAATTTATTTACCAAAGTATGTATCATATACGGGTGTTGTTGACAAATTCAGTTATAGTGCATTAAGTTTAAGTTTTTGTAAATGCTTTAAGATGTGTTCCATTTTCATAATTTTTTCAATATTCAAATGATTGTTGCATTTTCCTAGCGCATAATACGTCTTTGGTTGTTTCTTGTGTTTGTGTTGTCTTCACTCGTTTTTTCTTGTGTTTTATGCACAGACTTTTGGGAGCCGGCAGGAGGGAATAATTAAGATGCAGTACAAAGAACAAGCCGTGTTGAGAAAAACATAATCTTTTATTGTCACTCGTTGCTATAGAAATTTGTCAATAATAGGGTAATGCTAGACCGATGAGAGTAAGGGTGTAAAAGATAAGAGCGGTGCTACACAGTAGCAAATGAGTCGCCACATCCTCAATAATCTCAATTACATCTCAATCTCAATTATCAGAATAAACACCATTAGTGAGGGGCAATATTCACATAAGCTTCTCAATCCATCACTGTCGTTTCCGCTGGTAACACGAAAGTAACACATTTGAAGCTGCCCACTAAACCGCTTATTATAGATGCCAGCATATTCTCAATCACATTTGCCCGTTACAATTCTCAATAAAGAACGTAGACAGCGCTTTCATAATTTTATTATTTATATCCTTTTCTAGTCTTTTTATTATTTTATATGCCATCGTTAAAAACTATTTTTAACGATGGCAAAGAGTTATTACTTCTCACGCGCGTATACAGCGTGTCTTTACCACCGCGGCAATAAATGAACACATGTCTAACGCTACTTGCCAATAATCATAAAAAATATTAACGTTAAAAAAATCCCTAATTAAAAAAAATATTTCTTAAACAAACTAATTAAGTAAAAAAGAAACAAAATTTGTAACACCTATACAACTACATCCGACTGATTTCAGAGACTTTTTCATTCGTTGCCATAGCTCCACATTACTGAAACGGTGTTCTAAAACTGTTAGTTTTGGAAAATTTAATAACTCGGTAAATATTGATGTTTAAAGAATGTAAATCATTAATACAATTTTGAAAAGTTATTCTCTATATGTGTGTTCATTTATTGTCGCGATGTAAAGACATGCTGTATACACGTATACACGTACACGCACTCATTTTCTTTTTTATTAAATTCATACAAATAAAGCCGAGACTGACAGTGTGAATAAATGTGATTTTCAAAATATATGTCGTATTTTTATTTCCTGCAAAAGCATTGTATTTAAATTAATGATTAAATGTATTTTTGTGCCAAAGTACTGTAATTTTTTCATAATATTGTATTATTTTTTTTTTATTCTTAATGATGATAAAGGACCCCACGCTTTAACTTTCATCCCTTGGGAGAGAGGCAAAGCCCTTGTTTGGGACGCCAATTTTTATAGACACTTTGACTGCCTCTCATCTAAAGGGTACTTCGGTCAGGGTCGTGGTGGCAACGGAGGCAGCTTAAGTAAGTAAATGGCGCAAATATGAGTCTTAATGTTTAGATTATGTATTTGTGCCATTTGCTATTGAAACTTTTGGTCCGTGGGGTCACCGCACATCAAATATTTTTAAAAGTTTATGTCCTAGCTTAGCACCGCGGCTGGTACAAGAGAGCTGGTTCGTTTCTCTCTCAAACTATTCAGCGAGGAAATACAGCTAGCGTTCTTGGCACCATGCCGCGTGGATAAACCTATTCTTAGATAGTATGTAATTTTAGATAGATTTAATCTTATAAATATTAGATCAATAAACTGTATGATATTTTCAGAACACTGCACTTACAAATCTGACCTAGCAACAATGCCTAACTGACACACAATTTGTCAGTGTGTGACAGCTAGGTAGATGTACCTGCTTCAGTAATGAATGTATTTGTTTTTTTTTTAAATAAATTAGGAAATGCACAATCGTTACTGAAAATATATGGAATGTACACTTGATACACAGTAGCAATGCTAGGGCGGTGTAGTTTTACGTTTACTACATGTTAATTCACACTTTAATACGTATAGTAACAAAATAAGAGTAAAAATACAGTAAGTATCTATGCAAATAAGAATGCTTACTAAATGCAATCGTTATCGATATAATTTCAAGGAATTGAAATGTCATACGTGTTGACCGAAATTAAAGAATAATTTATGACGCTAAAGCGAATAAATATAAATTAAATTAAGCATGATACGAGAATGTTTCGGGAAATTTTCCTGTATGTGTATTCGGTTTATGTCCTCATTTATTTGTGCTGCTACTACTGATCCTGAATTGTTTTTAAATCAAATGTGTGACGAAAACAATTACATTTGAATCAATGAATCAATGAATTATTCAATGAAACATATACATAGTGAAAAAACCAATATTTAATAATTATTAAAGCAATATTTATGTAGACCTTAATAAACTAGTCTAAGGGTAATAAGCAAAGCACCTTATCATTCTAGCGAAGTAAGAGTAGTGAAGTTTTTTTTGTTATGTGAGAAAGTGGCAAACGTGCTGGCGGTTCACCTGATGTTAAGTGATAACCGCCGTCCATGGACATTTACAACACCCATTGTAGATGTGTTGCCACCTTTTAATGATGTGTGGGAAGTTGAAAAGAAATATGCCATGCTACACCATTATTACATGAATTTTGCCTATAGCACATTTTGATACACATTGTCATTTGCAACACCCATAGGGCTGCCACCTTTTTATAAGTGAGCCCCAGCTACCCCACCAACCAGCTGAAACACAGAAGTATAACACTTGCAACTTCACGCTGGTCTCTGTATTCTGTGAAGTTGTGGTACTTACCCGGACGGACCTACATTTTAAGTGTTATTAGAGCCATTCCACTTTTCAGATTTCCAAGAAAATGTTGCCCAGTCAAGTTGACTTTGTGTGCGACTACTGCAGTCGCTCATTCACGCGTAAATACAATCTGCAGTCGCACATCGAGAACTACCACATGAACTTGTCGTGTTACTGCGATATATGCGACCAGAGATTTGGTTCCCCGGCCGGCCTGCAGCTACATCTCTCGAGGGGCCACAACAGACACGGGCAGCCGTTCCCCGAATGCGACCTCTGCGGACGGGTGTTCACCAGGAAACAGAACATAATGTCGCACATGATCACCGTCCACCTCCAGGGCAGCCGGCCCGCGATTCGCTGCCAGATGTGCGACAAGACATTCACCACGGAGAGGAACCTGAAGCGGCACAGGAACCAGCTGCACAACCCCCACATGAAGTACCCCACCTGTGACGACTGCAACAAGGTATTTAAAGGGAAACACTCGCTGATAGCCCACATAAGTTCTACCCACACGGCGACCGAAAGGGACTCTATCAAATGCAACCTATGCGACAAGGTGTACACGAACAATCGCAACCTGAAGCGGCACGTGGAAATGTTCCACGGGGAGCGCGGCGAGTACAAGTGCGCGATTTGCCCGAAGGTGTACACCTCCAATCAGAGCCTGCGCCGCCACACCCGTACTAGGCACAACCCGGAGAAGACTGCCCAGTTCAAATGCAAGCACTGCCTCAGGGTTATATACGGGCGGGACAACTTCGAGGGTCATGTCGAGCAGCACAGACAGGACGGGTGTGCGAGTGACTACGAAGTGTTCAACGACGACTTGAAACTTAAGGAGTACTCCTGCGACAACTGTGGTATGACCTTCGAGGAGGAGCCCCTGTTGCGGCACCATATAAAGACCGAGCACTCCTTCGGGGAGTTTTACAGCTACTGCAAGCGCTCCCTTCTCAAACTCATGAAGGGAACACCGAGGAGTCGGCACCGCTTCTACAACTGCGAATTCTGCAGCAACGCCTTCGCCAGCGTCTACGAGTTGAAGGACCACATGCGAGTGAGCCACGACAAGGAGTACTCCCTGTCCACCTGCAACGTGTGCTTCAACAAGTTCTACAGTAGAGAAACTGTGCATGAGCACAGGAAAATATGCCACCCGCCGGCGGACGTGAACGCGTGCTGTCACTGCGACAAACTCTTCACTGACATCACCAGCCTAGAGTTCCACACGAGGATCTTCCACCCGCAAGCGCAGGTCGACTCGACAATCTCGTCCAGCTGCTTGGACGACACCTCGATGGACTTGGGATGTTACAAGTGCTCCCATTGCGACCGCGTCTACTACAGCGATAGGTCACTGAAGCACCACGTCAAACTCAAGCATACGACCGACGAGCCCGTAGAGTGCGAGCTGTGCGGGAAAATGTGCAGCAACAAGTACTACCTCGCGTCGCACATAAAAATAGTCCACAGCACCGACAACTGGTCGAAGTGCGACTATTGCGAGAAGAAGTTCAAATCGAAGAGGAACATACGACGGCACATCGAGTACACACACCTGGGCATGCAGAGGTACAAGTGCATCGAGTGCGAGACCTTGTTTAAAGAGAAGAGGAGCCTCAGGAAGCACGTAAGGGTGAAACACCCAGATTCCACTTGCTTCCCGCAGTGCCACATTTGCCATAAGCGCTTCGAGTCCGCCAAGTCGTGCAAAATCCACCTGAAACTCCTCCACTCTTTCAACATGAATACGCACCCGTGTGATCTTTGCTCCGTCTCTTTCGGCACCATTGAGGCGCTGAACATACACCTGCAGACAAAGCACCTCGCCGAGGACATGATATACAAATGCGAGCCATGCAACCTACTCTTCAATGGGCACGAGAAGTTCGAGCAGCACAACGAGACATCCCATGCCACCTTGCTTCCTTATATCGAACGCAGGGCGCAGCCCCGTTGCGCAATTTGCACGAAAGATTTCAGCTCAAGCAAAACTTTGAAACGGCACATAAAGAAGTTCCACGAGGAGTTCGACGCGGACGAGCTGGCGAGGTACGGATGGCGGCTGCGTAGCACCAACGTGGATTGCGAGGACTGTGTGAAGCATCTAACTGACGATTCCCACTTGAATCTGTACCAGCAACTGAGGAACCTTCGCAACTCCACCATATTCGAGTGCAAGAGTTGCTTCACCTCGTATAACGCTTTAGAATACTCGATTTTCCGGTACAAGCTGGTCAATGTGGAAGCGAACAAGAGCAAAATGATCCTAAGCGAGCTCTGCACAGCGGAAATGAGTGACGGGGAATCCCCGATGGAGCCGGAAAGCACCACGTCGGACGTCAAATCCGAACCAATCGATATCACATATGAGGTAAAGGCTGAACCAGTCTCCCCATGAGACAAGAAGTGATAAAGTTGGCACATAAACAAGTATGGAGTTATGATGCGTGTATTTATTTTAGAGTAAACAGTCAGTTGCATAAATAAACTTTAAGGATGGTAAACTTATTATAACTTCACTTGGACGGAACAACAAAATGTAAATAAATTTTGTTGAAGTATATACTTCAGATCACTCTTCTGTGACCTCATGGTAGCCAGCCATTTTGGAGAGCAAGCAAAAACTTCTGCATGCTTATACCACAGCGGTAGCTTAAGACAAGACTGGTGAACCCATCATTCAAGTGGCATTAGTATTATGAATTATTCTCATTGTCTGCAGAAGTTGTTGGGTACAGTGACAGGGTAACACACAACAGTCAGTGTTATTAACTGTTCAAAGTAAATACTTCTAAAGCAATTCAAGAACCCACTAAAACTCACTAAATTCAAACCAAATCTTCCTAAATGGAAGGAAATTTCAGAAGCTTTTCTTTGCATTTACCTCCTAAAAATTTCCATTGTAAACTTTTTCTTCCCAATTTTAGGAACTGAATTCTTAAGTTATTGCATCCATATAACAGTACTCATTATAAATAATTTCAAATGTTTTCTTATCGGGTAATTGAATGTGTAGGTAATTGAAGTATTTAACCCACATCACAGATTCAAGAAATTCCACATTGTTAAGATTATGATTGATGCAAATTGAAAATACGTATTTGAATCTTCAAGCCGTGATAGCTCTGTGTCCGAGGGCTTACCTTTAAATCAATATACTCGAGCAACCTGAGTTCAGCCTTTGCCCTGCAGAGGGACATGTATAGGCTGGTACTTTACTCTATTTGAATCATGCTCTTGTCAATTATTTTAGTAAGAAAAAATTCATGTAGTTTTTGTTTCCATCCACTGCCATGTATGAATCTCAGTTGCATATGGGTTGTCTTTTATTAATATAAATAAAATGGTTACAATATAATAAACCTAAACTATAGAATTTTATGTATATCATAGGCAAGGCAACCATAAAAATAATTTAGTTTCTTATTAGTTGCTGTAATAACAGTTATAATATAATATTAAAATTATATAATTCAAACAAAAAAAGTTTTGATTGGCTGCGTATTCTAAATTCAAATTAATTTTGTTTTAAAAACATTTTATAAACTTTTTTTAAAGTCAATCTTTTGTGTATTGATTAGCCTTGTATTTTCATTACATTTGAACATTTTTTGCCATAATGGATACTTTTTATAATTCATGGAATTATGGAATATTATGTAATTAAAAAAAATATCATGTTTATATTTTTTTTAATTAGCTTTTTCTACACTTCCAAGTATTGGCTCAATCTATATATATCAGTCTATCAAATATAATGTAAGAAAATTAAGAGAAATAAAGACATGAACAATATTTGTATATAGATTTTTTATTGTTATTTATTTAAAACTTTGCAATCTTTTTTCGAAAACCTATCCTTGATCTAAGTATCCAATGAACTAATTTCTTACGGCCAATTGTAAAAACAGATGCACCAGTGACTCTTAGTTTATTGATTGCTGTGAGGTGTCAATTTGATACCTTGACAGGGTATGAAATAATTAAAAATCAAGAATTTTTTGTCACCCTAAAACTTAATTTAATAAAATTATTTGTCTTGTAAGACTATATAAATGCATTTATTTTGTTCCTTGGTAATGTAAGAATATGGAAATGAGAATATTTTAAATTTGTATTTAGTCTTATAACATTTTTTTTACACTTAACTTTCCAAGCACTGGCTCAATCTATATAATATAATTATGTAACAGTCTATAGAATTTAAAAATATAATGTAATAAAATTAAGGGAAATAAAGAAATGAACATAATTTGTATAAACATTATTTATTTTATTTATTTAAAACTTTGCACTCTTTCTTCGAAAAGCTATCCTTGATCTAAGTGGCAATTTTAATTGAACTACTTTCTTATTACCAACCGTAACAACAGATGCACCAGTGACTCTTAGTTTATTAATTGCTGTGTGAGGTGTCAATTTGATACCCTGACAGAGTGCATCAAAGTTTAGGGAAAAGTTGTTTATGAGTAATAGAAACACTATTGCATGGCATAATGCTTTATCCTTATAGGGTGTTGGTCTACTGCGTTTTTTATTTAAAAATAAAGTGAAATTTGTTAATACTATATCATTGAGGGTGGGGGAGAACTCACATACTGTGTAAGTCTTCTTCGTTATTTCCTTCATCATTGTGAAGTAAATTTTTAACAATGCACCAGCATACACCCCTAGCACTATGTGCTTGGTATCAGTTTTTGATGTCACCATATCCTTAATCCACACTGGTAAGTCGGATAAGTAATCTTTGCCTTCCAATTCTGAATAAATCTTTTCATACTCTTCTTCCTTCAAAATTTTATCTAGAGTATAGATAAACTCAGGCTTTTCAGCATCTCGGTTGATTGGTGGTATATAAAAATCATCTGAATCGCTTTTGTTGTAAGAAGAAAGGTCTAACGTATCTTCAGTTACTTCTTGTGTAACCTCCTGCATTTGTTCGTTTACTATACTAATATTAACTTTTAACTTCTCCCGCTGCTCTACTCGTTGTTTTTGTTTTTTCGACCCGAACTTCCTGCTGAGCTCTAAATTGCTTGTTTCTAACAAATGGGTGGCGTTGAGATCAACTTTTAGCACTGGTTTTAACTCTGCCGTGGCAACTTCAATCAGCCTTACTTTTCCGGTGGTTTTATTTCGGATTAGTAACATGCTCTTGCCTAAATCTTCATTCTCCTCTTCGCCAACGTAAATCAAATCGTCAACCTCGGTAGCAACTGTTGTCCGTCCGCTTTTTTCGTTTCGCAAAAGCAGACATTCGGCGGGACGAAAATTATTAGTTGTGTATCCATTTTGAAAGTTAATAATCATCGGATGTATGTTATCTTTTGTATATACCTCGTCGATATGTAATTTAGGCATTGTTTCATTCACTATTTTTTATTCACATAAACGCCATAAAGATTTGTTTTTAGGTTAAAACGTTAGTAATAAATTAATATTGAATATTGTTGTCATTTGTCAATGTCAATTGCTTTTTTTTTATGGCCCGGTGTTGTCCCGTGGGTGGAAACTTCATACAAAGGCTGCGTACTTATTATAAAGAATTTTTACTGTATTTTCAGGTGGTATCAGGTACTGTACCTATTTTCTCTTTTTAGATACCAGGACTTAGACTATTATTTTGCTTAACTTTAGGCTTTTACAACTGTAACCCACTTATTACATTAGTATCTCATGGCATAAAGGAAAGGTAAACAAATGAAATTTTCATATGGCAATGTTATGAATGTCAAATGTCACCTGTTAAGTCAAAGTAGGGATGAGACATTTTTAAAAACTATCGATAATTATCGAGTGAAAAATATTGATATATTTTTTAAGGTTTTTTTTTATTATTTATAGTTCCAAACCATTCAAAATTCGTAGAAAGCAATGGACATGAAGAAGAAAGTAATTTATGAGGAAAAAATTATTAAAAATTTAAAAAGAAAAAGTAATTTGTAAGAAATTTATTCGAACAAATAATCATCTAATATGGTCATTAGGAGCACTCTCTGTTGAATGTGCTCCCCTGTCAAACGGCTTCTATTGTTGGGTACTTTCAGATCCCTTTTCAGATGTTTATTGAATTTCACTTCTTTTTAAGGTGTTTAATAGGGTTATTGTATAAAATTGTAAAATATTAATCAGTCAGACTATTTGGACTCATTGAACGTCGCAGCGTTGAATAAAATCATGCACACTGACATACGTATCACGTATTCAATTGTTGAAGTTGAAGAATTTTACTAGTTGATCAACTTCTTATGATACTGAAGTAAGCCGACGTCTAATAATATTTTAATCTTTTTCCAGCGATAAATTATAAAAAAAAATATATTAAAAATTGTACTTAGTTTTTAAATATCTGCAATTTTTTTTCTTTTTTGTTAGTAACTTTTTTAATTTGGTGAAAAAAATTATTCGAAAATTGTTAATTGTTTGTTAACTTCAGGATCATATACGTCTCACACTGATGGTTTAATAGTATTAGTAATTAGTATTTTCATGGTATTGGCTTAAAGATCTTGTTACCAGGCTATAATTAAAAAATATTTATTAAAACAAGTGTTATCGTGCACGCATTTAGTAACATTATACACCAAACCAGTGTTGCGTAAAATACCCGGACGAGCCTGCCCATTCGTGCAACAGCGAAGATTGCTGCGTGGCTCTACCACCGTTAAATTTTGTACCACCGTTGTTGCACATACGTAGCATTAATAAAAAAGTTTATATAATTGTGACTTCCTTGATGACTAAATATCCTTGTTTATTGTATTTATGCTTAACATTTCTTGTATGCTGTGAAGTTTCCTAATAAAGTAAATAAATAAATAAAACTATAACAAAATCGAGTCGTTCCGGATACACCGGAGTCCATCGTAGAACCAGGTTAACCGACATAGCTCAGAAGATTAGCAAGCCGAAGTGGCGATGGGCCGGCCATATAGCTCGTAGAACCGATAACCGTTGGGGAAGAAAGGTTCTCGAGTGGCAGCCTTGTACTCCATCGCCGTTTAGGACGACCCCCCACTAGATGGAGTGACGACCTGTGCAAATGTGCGGGAAGTCGATGGATGCAGGTGGCTCAGGATCGTACTTCGTGGCAGTCTATGGGGGAGGCCTATGTTCATCAGTGGACTTAAACAGGCATGTTAAGTTAAAACCGCCGCCCATGGACATTTGCAACATCCGTAGGGTAGCAGATGCGTTGCCACCTTTTAATAAAATGGGCAAAAGCTGCCTCACTCACCAGACGAACCACAATAATTGAAGAACTTACATAAAAACATGCATACAGTCAAATATATAATCTCCTTTTAGAAGTCATTTTAAAAGCTTGGTACTAGGTGCGCGCTTACGTTGGTTCGACAAGACTTGAAGATATTTCAAAAAACCGCCCAAGTGCGCTCATCAAGTCCCTCAAAGTCGCACTCAAGCACTAAGGGATCCGTACCATTATTTATAAAAACGGTAAACAAAATCGTGTCAGTTGTATGGGAGCCCCAATTAATTCTATTTTCTAGTATTTGTTGTTATAGCGGCAACAGGAATACAACATCGGTGAAAATTTCCACTTTCTAACTATCACGGTTCATGAGATACAGCCTGGTGACAGACGGACAGATAGACCGACAGACAGACAGACACGGAGTCTTAGTAATAGGGTCTTGTTTTACCCTTTGGGTACGGAAACCTAAACACATTGCTTCGTATTTTGAGCACAATGATATTAATGCCATATTAAGTGTATATAATTACAAGGCATAATTATAAAGGTGTCATAACAAAAAAAATGATAAGCAACTGAAGAGTAAATAGAAAGCAATTTAATGTGAAATGGATTGAAATAAATTTAACGACGCCATTAACAAAAATAATGCAAGATGCAATAAAGCAAGCATTATAAAGGAACAAGAGTTTGAACATGTTAACAAGATATTTTTTTTAAATAGCAAATAGTAACAAAATCAAATACCACCATTTGAGATAAACTGAACATATAAAAACAAAACTCCAAACATAACATTGTAAAAGAATCGAACGCACATTGAAATATAACTATAAATAATCTCGAAATATCTATTGTACAACAATATGTCAAAAATTCAAAATAAAACTAACAATAGCATTAAGGTCTGTTTCCCATTGCGTTCTGGGTTTTTTTATGTGAGAAAGTGGCAAACGATCTGGCGGTTCTTGGCCTTTAGATAAAGTGGGCCCCGGCTACCTCACTCACCAGACGAAACGCGAAAGTATTTGTCATACTTCCACTATACGCTGGTCTTCGTCTTACCCGGACGGACCTGCCCATTCGTGCAACAGTTAAGACTATTGCGTGGCCCTACCACAGTACCACAGTGGGTTCGGCAAACCCACCTACTGAAAAGAGACAGGTGTTGACCGCACGGTACTTTTGTCTCTTTCGAGAGTGTGGTCATTTTTGTATGCGTATATAATTAATAAGCGTATATAATATTGATACAGTAAATATTGTTGAGTTACCTCGCGACGTTGTCATAGGAATTTTTTAACCAAATTCACTTACAATAGTTAATATTCTAATGCATAAAATTTAAGTCCTGTCTGAAATACATTTTTGAATTTTCTTTTATTTCACAAGTACAACAGCATAGGTTCGTAAACAGAATGCTATCTCATATTCTAAAAATTCAAATGTCACAAGAATAGGGTTTTTCATTTGTGAGTTCTAATGTGCCTTTTTAAATTACTTTTGTCTATACATTTGTAGCCGCAAATGTTACATGTGTAAGGTTTTTCACCTGTGTGAGTTCTTATGTGAATTTTTAAACTACCTTTCTGTGTACATTTGTAGTCGCAAATGTTACATGTGTAAGGTTTTTCACCTGTGTGAGTTCTTATGTGACTTTTTAAATGACCTTTCTGTGTACATTTGTAGTCACAAATGTTACATGTGTAAGGTTTTTCACCTGTGTGAGTTCTTATGTGAATTTTTAAACTACCTTTCTGTGTACATTTGTAGTCGCAAATGTTACATGTGTAAGGTTTTTCACCTGTGTGAGTTCTTATGTGACTTTTTAAATGACCTTTCTGTGTACATTTGTAGTCACAAATGTTACATGTGTAAGGTTTTTCACCTGTGTGAGTTCTTATGTGAATTTTTAAACTACCTTTCTCTGTACATTTGTAGTCGCAAATGTTACATGTGTAAGGTTTTTCACCTGTGTGAGTTCTTATGTGAATTTTTAAACTACCTTTCTGTGTACATTTGTAGTCGCAAATGTTACATGTGTAAGGTTTTTCACCCGTGTGTGTTCTTATGTGCCTTTTTAAATTACTTTTGTCTATACATTTGTAGCCGCAAATGTTACATGTGTAAGGTTTTTCACCTGTGTGAGTTCTTATGTGACTTTTTAAATGACCTTTCTGTGTACATTTGTAATCGCAAATGTTACATGCAAATACTTTGTTTGTGCTGTGAATTTTCAAGTGCGATACAATGTAACGTTTCTGTTTCGTATTGAAGGGGCAAATATCGCAGTTGTATACTTCTTCCAGTAATGGCATTGGTATAACGGCTTTTGTAAACGAGTTATCGATTTCCGATTTTTTATTTGAATTCGTCTCTAAACATTTGATGATATGTTTGGTTATGGCGAGTTTTGTGGAGAAAATCCTACCGCATCCATGGCATTCAAATTTTCGAGTTACTGTCTTGGTTCTTGATGATCCGATTTTGTTTTTATTGTCTTTTTTCATATCTTTGACTTTTATTATTTTTTTACACTCGGTTTTATTTTTTTTTACACTTGTTTTTTTCTTCAATTCGCATTTCGATATCTTGTCACGTCCGTCTAAATGTATATTGTTTTCGAGAGCCCCATCTTGTTTCGCTAATCCATTCATCGGCGTTTTCAAGTTACCAACTTTTCCTGATGATATTTTGCATTGATTTTCTGAAATGCATAACAAAAGTTTGTTACTACGTTTTGTGAATTTGTTTTATTAATGCTTTTAAAGTATGTTTCTATTGACTCAATTTCTCTGCATATAATATTCATAATACGGGATAAAAAGTTGCACGAGTCTTAAGGAAGCGTTTAAGCCATTCATTTTTTTTATTTGTGTGGTAGGACTACATACCAGCCTCTGCAACAGGTGCTCGAACAGGTAGGCTTGTCCATGGAAATAAAATAGCCCTACAGACTACCGGCGTGAAGTGATATACGTTTCGACCGGTAAGTGAGGTACCAGAAGCCCACTGTTGTCAGTTATACAACACATCTGCAACCCTTCAGGTGTTATCCATTGTTAGCGGTAATCACTTAACATTACGTGAACCGCTAGCTCGCTTGCTAACCTTTTCCGGCTTCAATGCATATAAAGGAGTTCATTAACCATCAAGATAATTTTAAATTATTTGATACATATAGCCGTGATAGCTCAGTGTCCGGGCGCTCGCCTTTGATTCAATATACTGGAGCAACCTGAGTTCGACCCAATGAAATTGTTAATTTTAAGTGCTGAATTATCACGTGCTTAGCGGTGAAGGAAAACATCGTGAGGAAACCTGCATATTTTCGAAATAATAATAAAAAAAAATATTTCAAAGATATGTCAAGTCCGCCAATCAGCAGTGGGGCCGCGTGGTGGACTATGCCCTGATACTCTCTTTACAGAGGAGGCCTTTGCTCAGCAGTGTGCCATGTATAGGCTTTTACTTCAGGTACTAATAAAAAGTTATAAAATATACACATTGGTGAATTAAAATGTAATTTAGGTAAACATTACCATAATATATTTGCAGAGGCGTGTTATAAAATCTCAAGTCGACATTTAGGTAGCTTGCGAATTCGCAACCGTAGAAAACTAACAGTTCGGAGAACTGTGGTATTATTTTGATTGTTCTGAAATAAAGTTTAAATAATAAACTCTATGTTATTGTACCAGTTTTCCACATGTTATAAACATTTTCAAAGCTGGTAATGTATTATGAATATTGGGACGTTCCACCTAAAGCATTCAGGTAAAATAAAACCAGCCAAGTGCGAGTCGGACTCGCGCACGAATGGTTCCGTACCATTAGCCATAAAAACGGCATGAAAATCATGTCTCTTATATGGGAGCCCCACTTACATATTTTTATTGTGTTTTTTAGTATTTTTTGTTATAGCGGCATCAGAAATAAGAAATATATTTTTTGTGCCTGCCCATTCGTGCAACAGCCGAGGCTGCTGCGTGGCCCTGCCACCTCTCATGTACCGTGAAACTATCACGGTACATGAGATACAGCCTGGTGACAGGCAGACGGACGGATGAACCGACGAAGAGACACAATTCATTAATTTAAACTTGAATTTCAGAAAGATGGAACGTTTCACTTTTCACCTGTCCGCGTCACGTAGAATTATTATTATAATTATAATTAATATAAACTATCCCGTTTGTATAGAATACCTAAAATAGCTAACTGAGGCAAAGCCTGACGTTGTTCGATGACGACGGAAGATGGAGGTGTAAACAATATCTGTGCATAAAAGTGTTCGGGGTCAAAAAGTAAGGACGTAACAAATAATTATTACGCACGTAATTAATAGGCCGTAGTGGAGAATAGTTATCAAGGTTAGTAATTAGTAAAATTCAAAACAACAAGATAAATACTCTCTTCTTACTCTAGCGCCATTCTGAAGGGATTTGGAACTGTTATTTGCTGCTTAAAGCTGAACACTTTGTAGGGATGTCGAAAGTGAAGAAATAAAAATATCAATATCGGCCTCGATATATCGAAGAGAAAATATCGATATACCGTTAAATCGTATAAAGATCCTAGAAATCCCGTTGCCAAAAAAAAGGTATGTCAAATATTAAATATTTAACACCTACGGCCTACGGGACTCTGTGCCGGATTCTAATTTGATAAAATATTGTTATTGATACGATTTTCGATATTGCACCGAAATATCGATATCTATATTGTGATAAGCGACAAGATTTAGCGGCTGAAAATAACGATATTACAAACAAAAATATCAATATATTCTCGGCATCCCTAACACTTTGTGGCAGTCGTCCGAAATGAGACAGTGCTCCTTACCTCCACCCTACATTAGGTAAAGTCATAAATTTTACTATCATCCGACCTGTAGTACAGCTGCCCTTTGTACTGGTACGCGAGTAGGTTTTGCTCGCTCCAGTGCCTTGAGCAATTTACGTATCGCATCCAGTTCGAACGGCCATCGTCTGCCGCATCCACCACGTGCGCAGGTTTGTTGTTTTTATCGTAAATCTACACGCAATTCGAAAATCGAGAGGTTTAGCTAATCGAGAGGTTGGCAGCACTAAAAGAAATCATTCCTTGAGGTTGTTGGCAACATTAAAAGAACTGTCATTCTATGGGGTATAAATGAAACTGCACGAAGCATTTCATGGTCTTCTCCTTTGGCTGTCATCAAGAAGTATACACGACAGTGCTGCTCAATCGGTATCCCAAATTAAATCGTTAGAGTGGTGTTTCAATTATGATATAAAAGTGATAAAATAAGTAATTATACCAGAGTTATTGTTGAGCAAAGTAAACAACGGTGATTTGGTAAAAGTATTTATATTTCTACCTTCTTAGCTCGATAAAACAAAATATAGCTAAGACGATTGTATCTTTCTACTGTTGTTGAATATCTAATGAGATATCCAATAATGATTATCCGAATTGATTTCTAATAATGCCTAGAGAAGCTCCGTGGCGCAGTCGCCACACGGGACAACTATTTGTGTGAACCACAGATAGTTGTTTCGCACCTGGGTGTTCGTCCTTCCAACACAGGATTATGTTATCCTAAAGTAAAGACATGGTTGAACAAAAATAAGCGAAGCCAAGGTTTCTGTTAAGGGCTAACCGTCTTAAAGCTCGCACCGTGAGAAGAACAGGGAGCCGGTTTTATTAGATCTATTATTGTAGCTAGGTTTGTTTGAACATTTATAATTCTCTTTTCTCACTACCAAGGTTTTTTTTTTATGTGAAAAAGTGGCAAATGAACTTCCAGTTCACCTGATGTGTTAAGTGATAACCGCCGCCCATGGAATTTGCAACACCCGTAGGGTTGCAGAAGCGTTTCTATTTAAATAAAGTGGGCCCCGGCTGCCTCACTCACCAGACGAAACGCGGAAGTGTAACACTTCTACTTCACGCCGGTCTTCTGTGAGGTCGCGGTACTTCCCCGGACGGACCTGCCCATTCGTGCAACAGTGAACAGCATTCTGCTCGGGCCGGCTATTTAGCTCGTAGAATCGATACCCGATAGGGAAGATAGGTTCTCGAGTGGCAGTCTCGTACTGGTAGGCAGTGCAGGACGACTCCCCACTAGATGGAGTGACGAATTTTTTTTTATCGCTATAGAAGTATAGAATTACAGATATTAAGTATGTCATACGTGCGTGCATAAGTACATTTTTTTTCTTTTAATCCAGGGTTTTTCCTTGCCTTTACTATGGTACTGTTACGTTGTGTTGTTAGTACAAACTATATTTTCAGATAATATACAATCAATCAATCTGACGTTCAGTAATTTTGAAAAGGTATCCGTAAATATTTTCATCTGGGCATCATTAAATTTGAAATAGTGTTATGTTTTCCCTGTCTCACCTGCCAACAATACACCGAGTCGATGTCTTTGGTAATTTTTCCGCGGTAAGGCCCAAAACGGACGCCGGCGGGGAGCGTCAGGGACGAAAACACTCCTATGCCGGCACCTGTGTTTGTGGTCCCAGAATAGGATTTTGAATTTATGGGTAAAGGTTGACTAGTACATAAGCTGACGGCTTTAAGCCCGTCTCTGTACATATTGCAAAGCGAGTCGGTTGCAACTTCATGATATTACGATGGTAACCAATAACAACTTTTTGAGATTTGCCTATAATTTCACGTTATTTAATTTAACCGTTTAATTAAACTGCATTTAATGTATTTTTCACTGACAAAGGGACATAAAATTTTAGTTAGTTTTCTTTTTTTACGTTAAAGAAGTATAACTTCTAACGAGCATACATAAGTACAAACACTTTTATTTCAATAAAAAAAAACATACTTGTCACTGATCTCTTAAAACAATTGGTCTTTTGTAAAAAAAATTACATTGTTGATATATAAACACCCAGACACTAGAAAAACACTATGTTCAACACAAATTATTTTTCGAGTAGTGGGGATCGAACCCTCCGGTGGAAGAGAAAGGCTCACTATCCACTATCCCGATTGGTGTGATGTAATGTATTCAGTCGGAAGCGGGTCGTGATCTTTGACAGAAAAACTATTTTGTTAAGATCTACTGGGGCCGTCCATTAATAACGTGAGGCTCGAACGGGGGGAGGGAGTTTGACAAAAATCACGAAATATCACAAGGGGGGGTAGTAAGATATCACGTGTGTTTATTTTTTCGTCAAGCGAGCGACCTCTAAACTGAAAAGTGGCGTAACGTTGACATGCCGTTACATTTTTCCTGTTTTTAAAGATTATGAGATATTTAAGAGATTCTTTGTAGGTACTACAAAATACACGTGATTTTGTGTGGGGGTGGGAGGGTAGTCTAAAACCTTAAGGGGGAGGAGGCTTAAAAATGCTAAAAAAAAACATCACGTGATTAATGTACGCCCCACTGAAGGTTGCCGCGGCCAGACCTGGTATGCTAAAAGCGTGTTATGTTTAACACCGTTTAATATACCAGGTTCGATCGGGCAAGCGAAGCATTCTTTGGCCAAACCTGGTATGCTCGAAGGGGCGATGTGCAGGAACACGCTGGGTACGGTTAGGGCGGCGCGGGGTACGTGAGCGGGGAGCGGAGATTTCAAAGGGGCCTACGATTGTTCTTAGTAAAATAAAGTAACAGCCTACACATATCTCTAACTTATATCGTAATAAAAATAAATAAAACCGTTTAAAAACTTTTAAGTTAAACGGTTTTATTTTCTGTTCTTTTTTTTGTGCACTGAAAACTACAATATTGTATTGTTATCTAAATTAAATGTGTGTACCAAATTTCAGATCAATCTGACAACGGGAAGGTGCTTAAATTTCATTTTCTAATTTTGACCCAAATAAAAAATAAATTCCGTACGTGTCGAGCTAAATAAAACCGTTTAATAATGTTAACTGTATATTAACAAAAACCGGCCAAGTGCGAGTCGAACTCGGCATTCGACTATGAAAACGGCAAAAATACCATTACACCGTACCATTATTTGTCGTACTTAAATATTTGTTTATTATGTTTTTTAGTATTTGTTGCTATAGCAGCAATAGAAGTACACGAAATGTGTGAAAATGTCAACTGTTTAACTATCACAGTTCTTGAGATACAGAACGGACAGAGAGACAGACAGACAGACAAACAGCGTAGTCTTAGTAATAGCGTTCCGTTTTACCCTTTGGGAACGGAACCTTAAAAACTATGGGAACATGGTTAGTCTTCTATTTTGGAACCGTTTCCCACATGACTCCATTTTATCAATAATTAGGCTTCTTTAACTAAAGTATGCCAGTTTGCCCCACTATGTTCTTATATGCAGTGCTTCGAATATGATGATACAAATTCCGGCGCCGCCGTCACAATTTTATTTTTGCATTTTTTACATAGCAATTTTAGGTGCTGACTTTTCTGAGAGACTCGGCAAGTCGAGAACATCGTGAGGAACCATAAAATAAATATATTATTATAATATTAAATGCGTGAATCAAAAACCTTGTAACCCTTTTTACGAAAATTGCGCTGATGGCATGGGGGCATGAAATTTCCACACTTAGTTTATATAGAGGAGTGCAGAATGCTTATATTTTTTTTATTATGCATAAAAAATAGATTAAATCAATAAAAGAAATTACACACACTACCATGTGTAATTAATTGTTGTCGAATTTCGACCATAGGGTACCACCAGTGTACGTAAAAATAAAACCTTACCTTGGCGTCCGGAACCACCAGCAGAGGTCCGTGTATGGAACAATATTCGTAGACATAGTCGCGGCATTCGTGACAAACTGTTACATACAAAATGGACCCCGATTTTTTTTTACATTTTTTTATTTTAAAAACATTGACCTTACGTTAGGATAACATTATCCTGTGTTCTAAGGACGTTTTACAAACATAAATTTCACGCGGACATACACCCAAATGCGAAACAATTATCTGTGGGTCACACAAATAGTTGTCCCGTGTGGGAATCGAACCCGACGCCGAAGCCAATACCTTGACAAATGCGCCACGGAGACCTCGAACCCCGATAGAGAGTATAAGCGATGTGAGTTTATACAAATGCCAACAAAAGAATAAAAACACCGAATATTTTTGTATGACGCAGGTGCGAATACCGCAGTGCCGAAAGATTTTGTTCACTTATCAACAATAATTTACAATTTAAAACTCCTTGTTCCCAAATATAATCACCGTCACCAGAAGGTTTTTTCTTTTTTTTTTATGTCAAAAATTTTTATGCTGGCGAATAAACGCAAAAAGGAGATGGCGGTTCACCTGATGTAAAGTGATAACCGCCGCCCATGGACATTTGCAACACCTTTAGGGTTGCAAATGTGCTGCCACCGTTAAATAAAGTGGGCCCCGGCTAACCCATTCACCAGACGAAACGCATAAGTGTAACACTTCTACTTTACGCCGGTCTTTTGTGAGGTCGTGGTTACCCGGATGGATGGACCTACCCATTCGTGCAACAGGTAGAACAGAAGTCTGCTGCATAGCCCCATAGTATATACACAGTTTACACACTTATATAAATATTACTTTTAATTAATCTAAGGTCAAAATGTCAACTCACATAAATATTCGTCGAAGCTAGGTTCTTCCGGCTCGTAGTAGCTTATCCGAGGTAACTTCCGTAGGTTCAATCGACTCATTTTGCCTAAAATTACGTGTTACGTGTACGCCGAATGAGGATTAAAACAATACATTTTATGTCATAGGCAATCCAAATTACAAGGTAAAAAACAAAGTAATTATATCTACATAAAACAATCACGATTGGTATAATAATAATGTCAATATTTTCAAGAAAAAAATTATAAAATTGTAATTCTATTAATCTATTAATCGCATTTCGTTCTGTAAATTGTAATTTTACTTTAAGGTCAATGAAATCTCCGAAACCTAATAATTTATTATCTCTGAATTCTTTTTCCAATCAAAATGTAGTTATATTTTTACAAGTATCAGTAGCTTAATATAATAAATATTTAGTATAAGTATATAGTATAATAAATACTTGGCTTTATTATTCTTACAACTAGTTAAATTTATTTTCCCTTAAGCAGACTCCCAAAGTAACTTTCGTTTGCTCCAAATCAAAAATTCCAAAACAAAAATTGCTTACCTTAAATTATTATTAAACATAAAAAATTTAAATAAAATTCGAATCAAATGCGACGAAAATGTGTAAAGTGATTGCCAAAGAGATAATATTTTGTAAAACTGCACATTGATTTTTAATTTCCCGCTTAAAATATTTTTTTTCTATGGATATATTCTTTTAAAATAAATATTTTATGGCCTGGTAACAAGCCCTTTAAGCCAGACTTTTATAAGGATAAATCGGAAGCACACGTTGTAAAACAAACAATTCAAGAGATTATTTTTAATCTTTTTATTATTATTATATAACAAGTACAGTGAATAGAACACCTATTTAATACGTATTCTCTGTGAAATGTATTACTTTTCATTAATATTTTTAGTTGTGTCAATCTGTAAACCTTGGAGTAAAATAAATATACATATAAAAAGGGATTTAATTTTTCATGAAAATAATTTTTAGGGTTCCGTACACAAAGTTAAACGACTTATTTTTAATTCCCTTTGATCGCGCGAGTGAAACGCGGGTAACCCTAGCTAGTTATGTATACTTACCAGAATGTGAAGTGTTGGAACAGATTGACAACAATACTTGTATATTAATGATTTTATTTAATTTTCTATCCCTTTCTTAATTCTTCCCCGCCACGACTTTATCCAACTCGATTTCATGAACTCGTGCGAATCTATCTATACATATAACAAAAATTTAACTAATCGTTGTCTGTTACATGGAAGATATTTGAGCAAAACTATTATTGGGGGTTTTTGTCAATGCTGTAAAACCCAATACAATGATTGTTAAATTTTTTGTTTGTGCGTTTGTTGTGCGCCCTAATCTCAGAAACGGTTTAACCGATTTGGGTGCAACTCTTACAAATGCATTGTAGTAAGCTTCACTTTAGTCTTATTTAAATCGGTTCATAAATAAAAGTTCTGTCTATAGCCGTATCTGGAGCCATCTCTAGCCATCACCGAGCAAAACCCGGCAGACCGAGTTGGGTACTCGGGTAATCGGTAGAGGCTGTTCTCTCATAGGATGAAATGCAGTGGCCGAAAGGGCAACCCTGAAAGCTCCCGATCCTCCGGGGTTACATGTTTCAATTATTGTACATATTTAATCTAATTAACAATTCATGTCGGTAACTCTAGTTCTTCTACGGATACAGGCTGCTCGAAGTGGAAGTCAATGGGGGAGGCCTATGTTCAGCAGTGGACGTCCTATGGCTGATATGATGATGAATAATTTATCAATAATTCATTAGTACAATTTATTGTGATTTATTTAAAAGTTGTTGGTTTGACACCTATTGGGTGGTGATATTTCCTACTCTCTAGAGTGGGGGTTGGTATTTGTTTTTGAGAGATATAAATTCAACCCTTACAACGTAATTGGTTCCTTTTTGGTAATTGGAAGTTAAGGCTGTTGCTCTGCTGGAAAAGCTAAGTATTATTGTTATGTAATTATTGAGTTATAGTTGTATAAATTGATAAAAGTGGGTAAATGATAATTAAAATAGGTAATTACCGCTTAGTTAGAATGTACCACACACTTTGTATAAATTCTTATGTATTTGTTTTGTAAGTACCTTATATTTCATCACTTTTTTTTATAATTAGTCCACTAGCTTCGCCAGTTCGGAATTTTTTTGTTGTACATAATATAGCATTTGTATTTTTTCTGTAAGTGACTTGGTGTAAATCTTTTGAGAAACTAAATGTCTTGAACCTTAAAAGCTATGTTTTATTTCTAACATACAAGATGCAGAGGCCGCGGTGAATCCCCCGGCTCCTGTAGATTCATGCGATGATGGAATAATCCCCCAAGAAATAGAGCACATGAGAAGCATATTGGAGGAGGCAATTCTGGAGGTACGCGAATTACCAACAGTAAAAAAGAAGCAACTGATCACTTAATATATTATGTATTTCTAATTCTATGTTACAAAATCTCAATTAGGACATTCAATAAATAAATTAAAACTAACCGGAGACTCGTGTAAAATGCTTATTTATATACAGACGCAGACAAAAACTAACACACAAACACCTATCCGAAGAAAATAAAGGTGAGTGCAATTGATATATCAAGAATCGTACATTACAAGAAAAATGCAGTGGATTTGGTAGTCAAGTATCCTCATGGCTTCAGGTTCGAATCTCGGAATCGTGTAAAGAAATTTTTCACAGTTCACATGTACCAATATTTGGAGAAAAGTATAAATAAAAAAAACACCTTCTGGTTCTATTTTGTTTGTAATAATAAACAATCTATACGACACACAATTTTTAAATGATAATTTTTTGCAGAACTTTTGGCGTTACGGGATTCGAACCACCGTCTTACAATTTCGCGCCCAGACACTTTAAAAATTAAGCTATGCGACCGATGACGTTCTTTCAATTGAATTTATAGTAATGCAACAATTCTTGGGCAATTCTTTCACTGTACAAACTGCGCTGCATTGGAACTTTTTGCCTTGATTACGTATGTTACGTAGAAACCTAAGAGGACATCATTTAAACGCTTGGTCCGTGATATATACCTCAATGACCCACTAGACAGACACGAATCTAGAATTTTGTTATTGTTTTGCCATTATCGTGATGATTATAATATTTATTTATACATATATGTCTGTATATTTTCGTCTATTATATTTTATGTGTGTATACATTGTACAGTAGGGATGTCGAAAAAATATCGATATATTGATATTTTTAGTCGATATATTTTGATTCGATATAAAATATTCAATATCGAAATCGTATCAAAACGATATTTTTTTCAAATTAAAATCCGGGACAGTCCGTACAACAAGTATAATTTTTAACAAAAAAAAAAAACCGACTTCAATCAGAAAATTAAAAACGTTGTAAATAAATATAACATTCAATGTTGTACAGAGAAATCTCTGAGATGCAATCGTCAGATCCGGGTTTCCTTACCATGGTACCAACCATGAGATATCACCTTTCCGACAAAAAAAGAATCTTCAAAATCGGCTCATAAACGACGAAGTTATCCACGAACACACATAAAAAAATATATATACGGTCGAATTGAGAAACCTCCTTTTTTGAAGTCGGTTAAAAATTAAAAAATTTAAATATTTAATAATTGGCATACGTTTTTTTTGGACAACAGGGCCTATGTATATCGATATATTTCATCACCTTCGGCATCCCTAATTGGCAATAAATAATTTAATGTAATAATTGCAACTATCACGAATTCTCACCACGCTTTGGGTTGACTGGGAGAAAATTAAAAAAAGGCCTTCGCCCTTTGTAATCCATTTTTATAGGTAATTGCGTTAAAGAATAAATAAATAAAATAAACAATTTGTAATATCTTTTCGAATATACAAAAACACGAACACACATATTGTTTTCTTGATTTCACGCGAATATTATACATATTAAATGAAACTACTTTACGGATATTATCGCGTTTTTTCGGACAGTCTGTCCCGTGACCATGAACGCTGGAAAGGGTTCGAAACGTCGGGAGTTCAAATCAAAATAAAAAACGCGATAAAATCCTTAAAGCAGTTTCATTTAATACGAATACACATATTTCGTTCACACACAAACACAAAACCGCGAACAGTCGTACGAGTGACACTTGTATAGATTTGCTATCATAAATTTAACAGAGTATTGTTGGAGATCTATAGGAAGAAGTCGATTTCGGCAGCGTAGTTGCGTGACCTGTTGACAAAAAAGGAAGCAATTTATTAAAATTTGCAGAAAAAGTACGAAAAGATTGTCGCCGCTGTGGGAATCGAACCCACGTTTTCGGCGCTCGCGCCCTGACGCTCTAGCCACTGAGCTAAACGGCTGATTGCCTTTTATCTACATTATTTTTATCATTTGAAACAATGCTTCGCGCATCTATTGTTATATCCTTTCTAGCATACAAATAATTTCGAATATCGTTTTACAACGATAATTCGAACGAGAGATGTCGCCATTGCTTTTTTAGAAATTTTAATTTTATTGTGCTAATCTCTGCACTAAAGATTAAACATTAAAATTTGTAGAAAAAATACGAAAAGATTTAGAACAATTGAGTCTTCGGTCTGTTATCAACAAACATTGCGTTCTCATATCAGCCACAGAGTCATCAAACATTACATCTGCTTACTATATCTGCACCTTCTACTACCCTCGCTTACTATATCTGCACCTCCTATTACCCCTGCTTACTATATCTGCACCTCCTACTACCCTCAGCTTACTATATCTGCACCTCTTACTTCATCTGCTTACTATATCTGCACCTCCTACTACCCCCGCTTACTATATCTGCACCTCTCACTACCTCTGCGTGCTACATCTGCGCCCCCCACCACATCTACCTCTGCGTGCTACATCTGCGCTCCCACCACATCTACCTCTGCGTGCTACATCTGCGCCCCCTACCACATCTACCTGCGTGCTACATCTGCGCCCCCCACCACATCTACCTGCGCGCTACATCTGCGCCTTGTGCCACTCGCGCCTCGCCCGCGCCCTCTTCGGCCAGGGCTTCTTGAGGTGCACGTGCTGCACGTGGGCGCGCTGCTCGCCCGCCGTGGTGAAGCACTTGTCGCACGTGTCGCAGCGGAACGGCTTCAGCCCCGTGTGGATCTGCGGGCAGGCGGCGAATGGAAGTATGGAGCGGGTCGGCGGACGGTAGACGCCCGTCACAAATATCGCCGACAGGTTAACTGCCAGATCGCTTGCTGCGTTTTCATATAAAAAATTGAGCCGTTGCTAAATGAAATAAAGAGTTTAATTTGATTTAGCAATGAATTATCCTTGTATGTAATGTAATGCTGTAAATAATATAAGTATAACAATGGATGCATCAAGCATTGCTTAAAATGCTAAAAAAAACAATGATTTAAAAAAAAACATTGCCCTTACTTTAGGATAGCATTATCCTGTGCTGTAAGGACGTTTTACAAACGTAAATTTAATAGAGGACAAACATCCAGCATGCGAAACACCCATCCGTGGGTCATATAAACAGTCCCGTGTGGGAATCGAACCCACGACCCCGACGTCGAAGCCAACAACTTGGCAACTGCGCCACGGAGTCATCAAAAAGTAGACTTAAGACGTTGAGATTTTCGCGGACGCGGCGATTATCCGTATAGCTCAGCGGTTGGCGTCCGGGCGCGGATCGGAGAGACACAAAAAAAAAGTGCCGCTGAGTTTCTTACGCCGGTTCTGCTCAGGTCGGCGGCTTTATAAGCAAGTGCAATGCTTCTACATTGAACAAAGATATTTGGCTCTGACTTTGAGACGGGTTCGATTCCCGCGTGTTCCACTCACGAACATGTGCCGGCGGCGGTTGTTGAAGAAGGCGAACTGCTTCCCGCAGAGGGGACACTCGTAGGTGGGCCGCTGCGCGCTGTGCACCCTCAGGTGGAACACCAGGTTGCTCTTCTGCGTGAAGCTCTTGTCGCAGCTGGAGCACTTGAAGCGCTTCTCGCCCGTGTGCACCCACATGTGGTCCTTCAGCAGCGCCATGCTCTGCGGATTCGAGGAAACTTTACATCCAAGGGGACTCTCCAACTCGAAACCTTGTGGGACTTTACGTGACTAACAAAACTTTCAAAATCTCTTTAACATTTATGGCGACGCGTCGACTTGGAACCGGGTGGGACTTTACCTGACTAACAAAGTCAAAACCTCTTTAACATTTATGGGGACGCTCCAACTTGGAACCGGGAGGGACTTTACCTGACGAACAAAAGTCAAAACTTCTTTATTCAATATAGGCTTAACTTAATCTTGACTGGGTTATTCTGACGTATAAGTTGTATTTTTGTAAACTTTCATTAAAATATATTCGATAGTTTTCGCGTGAAAGAGTAACGCGTAAGAGATTTAAGATGGAAAAGACGATGGTGCAACATCGTCAACTAGCCCGTTCCACACATAATCCATACTAATATTATAAATGTGAAAGTAACTCTGTCTGTCTGTCTGTCTCGCTTTCACTCTAAAACTATAGAACCGATTTAAATGAATTTGGTACACAGATAGTCTAGAGTCTGAGAAAGGACATAGGCTATTTTTTAATTGTAAAAAAGTGTTGTAAAGAGTTGAATGATATTTATTTAAGGGCTTCAACGCGAGCGAAGCCGCATGCGAAAAGCTTGTGGAGGTTTAAGTCAGTATATTTGCCCCCCACCTGGAATATGCGGCCGCACTGCTCGCACATGCAGGGCGTCTTCATCGCGGGGTACTTGGTTCGATTCTTGTCCGGGTGGGCGCGCCTGAAGTGCTGCGCGTAAAGGCGAAGGTCGCGCAGCTGGAGGCCGCACTGTGAAAGGAAACGTCTATTTGTTTGCAAGGTCGTCTTGACTTTTTTTACGTCATTTCGACTGAGCGGAGGCTACATGCTGTGGCATGCATTCATATTCCGTAGGGAAAACAGCGTATGTCTAATAAGACACAGTGAAGAATTTTGCTCAGTATTACCTTTTATAAGTTTTTAAGTTAATACTGGCTTAACTTTTATACGTTATTATGACTAAGAAGAGGCTACATGCACTGGCATGCATGCATGTTCCAAAGGGCAAAATAGTGTATATGTAATTTGATTTAATGAAGAATTATGCTCACTCAGTATTACGGCCAACTTAACTCAATTTGACTTCAAGTCACCTTAGATTTAATTCTCTCTTCGTCGAAATGACGCACGTCATCTACTACCTTACCAGGAGGACATGAGGAATAAATAATTTCAATCAGGACCTTACGCGATGTGTATAAAAATATACAATAAAATACCAGATAAAATTAAGGCAATAAAAATTACAATCAGTTTAAAAATGAAATGAAAATACTCTTATTAGATAAGAGTTATTATAGCATACACGAATATTTAAGCGACTAACAAACACTACAATACTTTAATATTCTATCTAAAATCTATATAATATATCTACTAATAATCTATATAAAATTTTATGATTATGAAATTATGTTACATTAATTTATTATATATTGTTAAAGTTATGTTTATAAATGTAATTAAATTAATATTAAGTTTTATGGACAATGCACGCTTAATTGTAAAAAAAATATGTATATTACCTTTTTAATTTTATATTATATACCTTGTATTTTAATTTTAATTAATTTAATTCTAATTGTATTTAAGTCTTAACAATTTTTACTATTGCTATTGCAGGGTCCATGATGATTCTTAATTTTAAGTTTTTACCACCTAAGCTACAGTGTGGAATGCAAATAAAGAATAAAAGAATAGACGTCCGATATGAGGCCGGTATAAATTTCGTCTAGTGCGTGTGTAGTGGTAGACATAGTCAACAACGCAGCGGATCATGAGAAATCACTGAACATCAGGAAAATCGTCTCACTTTAAAAATGACGTTAGCTTTGTTAGCGCTGAAGAAGCTTAATTGTTATTCATTTACTTTGGGATATTTTGTCACGTTCGTACTGCCAATGTACCACAATAGGGTTATACTTGAGTAAATTACAGGCACAGTTATATGGGTACGATGGGGTGATAGTGACGTGTTATGATTGAAAAAGGGGGCAGAGTAAGACGTGTATGATAGGGTCATAGTGTCGTGTTTTGATCGGAAAGGGGGCACAGTAGTACACGTGTATGATAGGGTCATAGTGTCGTGTTTTGATCGGAAAGGGGGCACAGTAGTACACGTGTATGATAGGGTCATAGTGTCGTGTTTTGATCGGAAAGGGGGGCACAGTAGTACACGTGTATGATAGGGTCATAGTGTCGTGTTTTGATCGGAAAGGGGGCACAGTAGTACACGTGTATGATAGGGTCATAGTAGTGTCGTGTTTTGATCGGAAAGGGGGCACAGTAGTACACGTGTATGATAGGGTCATAGTGTCGTGTTTTTGATCGGAAAGGGGGCACAGTAGTACACGTGTATGATAGGGTCATAGTGTCGTGTTTTGATCGGAAAGGGGGCACAGTAGTACACGTGTATGATAGGGTCATAGGGTCGTGTTTTGATTGGAAAGGGGGCACAGTAGTACACGTGTATGATAGGGTCATAGGGTCGTGTTTTGATTGGAAAGGGGGCACAGTAGCACAGTGGCGGAAGGGTCCCAGTCACCTGTTCGCAGGCGACGGGCCCCGTCTCGGCGCGCTCGCGGTCGCAGAGGGCGCGCGGGTGCACGGTGGGCCGCCTCTCGATGCGGCGCACCGTCCGCCCCCCGCGCTCCGAGTTCATGCTCTGCGAGTCGTTGCGGATTCGGTTCCTGCGCGCGATGGGGAGTTTCACATCTTATTTGCACTTGTGAAGTTCACAAATTCTTTTGTTGCTGTTCTGCAAAGGTGAGGAGGCGAGGGGGGAGGGGAGGGGCATTCCATAAAAATTTGCTTTAGTAATACTTGAAGGTCCACTTGTCCAGTTGACAAATTATACAAAGTTGTTTGTTTCATAATGATTCTAATTTCGAAAATTTGAACGTATTCCGATTCAGCTTTGACGGGATGAATACGTTATGATCACAAAGTGGCTTACAAATATTATTTAATATAAGAAAACATAAGAAAACTTTGATCGTGCAAACGCCGTTTCAAGAGATTAGCAATTAAGTAGTCGCACTGGCTCTTCTGGCTCCCATGGCCGCTGCAGCGGACTCTTAGGAGTCCTTGTATCCGAGGCAGCAACCCTAACGCGTTTCCACCATTTAATAAATTTTATGACCCTACGGGTGTGGCAAATGTCCATGTCCGGCGGTCATCACTTAACATCAGATGAACCGTTAGCTCGCTAGCCATTTCCACATAAAACATATATATTAAAATTAGGGGGGGTTCTGGAAGATTACCTTGAAGATCAAGGCACCACCCTTGAGGTATACTCACGGATCACTCTCGCTGCTGTGCCTCGACGATAGTTTCAAGTGGCGTGCGTGGGCCTCCTCCGAGATGAAGCGGACCTCGCATACGTCACAGAAAGGACCCTCCAGGGTTACCTGCAAAGGGTCCTAGTGACAGACAAATGTCCTAAACGAGGGTCGAGTATAAATGTGTTGTGGAAAACTGGTCGAAATCTTTCGCCACTGCGGGTATTTGAACTTTTTTTTCTGTGTAAAAAAATAATTTATGGATCCCCCGCCCTTACTGTAGGATAACATTATCGAGTGTTGTAAGGACGTTTTACATAGATTAATTTCACGAGGACAAACTATCTGTGGTCACACAAATATTAGTCCCGTGTAAACCGTCCTCACTACACAGGATAATGTTATCCTAAAGGGCAATGTTTTTTTTTTTTTAAATGAAGATCACAAAAGCCATTGATGGCTCCGTGGCGCAGTTGCCAAGGTATTGGCTTCTGCGTCAGGGGTCGTGGGTTCGATTCCCACACGGGACAACTATTTATGTGACCCACAGATAATGGTTTCGCATCTGGGTATTTGTCCTTGTGAAATTTATGTTTGTAAAACGTCCTTACAACACAGGATAATGTTATCCTAAAGTAAGGGCAATGTTTTTTTTTTTTTTTAAGTGAAGATCACAAAAGCCATTGGACGGAGTTGGCTCACGTTTTTGTCGTGCAGCCGGTGCTTCTTCTTCTTGTGGACCTCGATCCCCTTCTTGCTGACGAACGTGTAGCCGCAGAGCTCGCAGACGAAGTCCGACGCGTGCTTTATCCTTATGTGGCCCATGTACGTGGTGAGCTTGCTGCGGGGAGCGATTGTCGCGTTGAGATCTCGTCAAAATGAACGGGATGTCGCGGAAGTTACACAAATGCGACATGATCGCGACATGATGGTCATTTCATGACATGTCATAACATGTCTTATCTAGAGAGTATTGAGACTTATTCTAGTTTTAATTTTTTATTCTAGTGCGGAGAGGGGATGTCGCGTTGAACTCTCGTTGTCGCGACGTCGTGAAAATGAACGGGATGTATGTGAAATGAGGTGAAAATGACGCAGAAGTTACACATGCGACATGATGGTCATGATTACCCGAATGATGTCTTGATTTTCAAAGTCTTATCAAGACAGTCTTTTTATTTATTTTATTTTATTAAGGCATACAAACAAATGTACAAAAATTTATATAAACATTAACATATTACACATACAAACAGATAAGTATATGTACATTCGACACCGTATACCCAAAGTATTTTTTTTAAAATAACAAGTCGTAGTAGCAAAAATATCCATACTTGTGAAGTTGTCGTTGTATGATTGCACTATGCGTTGCATCGGCGAGCGTAAACCGGCGTTAGTTCGACATTTATTTACATTGAATAATTTATGAGAGTATTTTAGACGAATGCGCTGAGAACAACTAGGGATGCGATAAAACAAGTTATTATTAAGACGGATGCAATCTATAAGGTTATGACAGATTTTGTATAAGTATAACGCATCACTTAAAATTCTTCTTTCGTTCAAAGGCAGAAGTGAAAACCTATCTAAAGCTTGGGAGTAGGAAAAAAGAGAGTTGCGGTAGCATCTGTAGTAAACCGTTTTTAAGAATTTTCGTTGAATACGTTCAATCTGATTACTATACCTTTCATAAAATGGGTTCCAAACTATTGAGGCATACTCTAGGATTGGTCTAATCAAGGAGTTGAATAAATAAATATATGATAATGGTCGCCTAAAAACGTTTGTTTGTCTTATTACAAAACCGAGCGCGCGAAATGCTTTGTCGGTGATATGATCCACGTGATAACCTAAGTGAAGTTTCGAGTCTAATATAACACCTAAATCCTTGATCGATTCAATGCTTTTCAAGTCAATATTATTTATGTTGTAATGAAAATTAACTACATTACGTTTTTTTGTAAATGTTATGCTATTACATTTGTTAATACTCAAATGAAGTTTATTTTTGACACAGTAGGCAGATAAGCGGTTAAGATCATTTTGTAACTTTTGACAGTCATCTACGCTGAGTATAGGTAAGTAAACTTTTAGGTCGTCTGCTTATAGGAGAAAGTTGCTGTGATGAAAACAAGTGTTGATATCATTAATGTATAGAATAAACAGAAAGGGACCAAGGATTGAGCCCTGAGGTACTCCAGACGTAACGGTAGTAAGGTGTGACATATAGCCATTTACTACTATTTTTTGCGTTCGGTTAGATACGTATGAATGAAACCACCTAAGTAAATCACCTCGAATTCCATTGTATGCAAGTTTCTGAAGTAGTATGCAATGGTCTATTTTATCGAAGGCTTTTTTGAAATCAGTGTAAACAGAATCCACTTGGATACCTTTATCCATATGTTCAAAGAGAAAAGTTGTGTAAACTAAAAGATTGCTGACGGTAGAGCGTTTTTGAACAAAGCCATGCTGCTGTGGTATAATAACATTACGAAGGGCTGAGTATACATAGTTGTGTACTAGTTTCTCAAAAACCTTCGACAAGGTTAATAATAATGAAATTGGGCGATAGTTTTCTACTTCGTGTCTTGAGCCGCTCTTGTGTATATGTATAAAATTGGCGATTTTCCAGGCAGCAGGAAAGGTACCTTCACGAATGAATTTATTGTACAAGATAGTTAAAGGGATGCTGATTGTGTTCGCTGTATGTTTAAGAAAAATAGGTGGTACTCCATCGGGTCCAGTTCCCTAAGAGACGTCTGATGATTTTAATACTGTGCGCACCGTGTCATCCTTAAAATCAATTGAAGATATAATTATATCAGAATAAATTTCACAATCCGGGCGGGTTATGTTATGTGTGTTAAAATCTGAACGTATGAAAAAAATGGTTCAAACACTGATTGAAAAAATTTAGAAAAGAGATTGCAAGCGGTTTCGGGTTGCTTAGTTATTTCTTTTCCGTAACTGATAGTTTCAGGTATACCATTTAAATCTTTACGGCTGTTAACGTACTGTCAAAATTTCTTTACATCTTTGCGTAAGCCCTCTTCGATTGCGTTTATATATCTGCGGAAGCAGATTTTGCTTTCAGCTTTAAATCGGGCGCGATATAATGAAAAATCTTCATAGTCGGAAGGACACTTATATTTTTTCCACCTGATCCATGCCTTATTTTTATTTTTGAAAATATGAATTAATGGACGCGAAAACCATAGAGGAAAGCACGATGGTTTAGTTAGCCGGAGTGGTACGCGGTGTTTTATAATAAAATAAATAGCTTCGTAAAATGTACAGACTGCTGACTCGGATGATAAATGAGAAAGTTTTGAAGTCCAATCAATTTTACAAATGTCGTTATTGTAAAATTGGTCTTTGGACTCATTCTAGTTTTAATATGTTATTCAAGAAAATAAAGTCCCCGCAGAAAGGGCAGGAATTGCGTTGAAATCTCGTTATCGCGACGTCGTGTAAATGAACGACATGTAGGGAGACGCGGTAGTGACACAAATACGACATGATCGTGACATGATGGTCATTTCATGACATGTCATAACATGATGTCTTATCTAGACAGTATTGAGACTTATTCTAGTTTTAATTTTTTATTCTATTGCGGAGAGGGGATGTCGCGTTGAAATCTCGACGTTGTCAAAATGAAGGACATGTAGGGAGACGTGCAAGTGACACAAATACGACATGATCTGCACACAGTTGTTAGGATTAATCGATCGATGTCTTGATTGTCAACGTCTTGTTCTAGTTTTATTATTCTAGAAAAAAAATGTCCTCGATCCGATAGATTAGACATAAAAAGACGATGGTAATTTTAAATGTTGTTTTCTTAAATTTTTTTTAATAAATTTAATAACCCTTTAAATTTTTTAAATAAATAAGAACCGACTTCAAAAAACTATTAGCAATAAAAATTTTTAAACTACTAAATTTGATATGATGAAATCTTGAAAATAAGAACCTAACCTACCTCAAACAGAAAAATTTAACAATTTTTGGATGACCGAGAGCTTCATATCCGTAGAAATCTATCAAGATTTTAGGGATGTAGAGCTTTCCAAAATTAGATATACATACATACGCTCGAAGAACATTACCGTCCTTCGTTAGTCGGGTAGAAAGAGAGTACTCACTCGAATTCGGAGGCGCAGTGCGGACACTGGTACTTGGTGCCCGCGTGCCACCTCTCGTGTTCCCGCGCCACTCCCCTGAGGAAGGGGTCACGGGTTTTTATGCCAGATGGCAAGTGATCACCTTCGACCATAGACATTCGCAACACCCGCAGACATATGATAAAACCGTTTAAAAACTTTTAAGTTAAACGGATTTATTTTTTTTTTTTTTTTTTTTTTGTTTAATTTTTTTTTGTTAATATTGTATTGTCATCTAAACTAAATGTGTATACCAAATTTCAGATCAATCTGACAACGGCAAGGTGCTTAAATTTCAATTTCTAATTTTGACCCAAACAAACAAGTTCCGTACGGGTCGAGCTAAATAAAACCGTTTAAAAATGGGGTGCTGTGGGCTTCTGCGTGGCAGGTCTGCGTTCGATTCCTAGACGGGCCAAGCGTTTGTGTGACCCACAGATCTGTTTCGGATCACAACGTTTCGTCCGCATGAAATAAAAGGGCAATATAAAAAAAATAAAAATCGTTATTAACCATTAACGAGTTAAAGCGATATAGGTAATGTCCAACAATAAATTCGGTTCAGATCCAAACTAACGCCAATTGTGTCCAAACTTGCGTTCCTCTCTACCAATTTCCCTTGAACTTTATAATTCGTTGAAAAATGTAATACTACTTAAATATGAAATCAAAAACTTAATCTACCATAACATCTATTCCTTCATCTACCACCACACTTGTTCCTTCATCTACCACCGCACCTGTTCCTCCATCTATCACCGCACCAGTTCCTCCATCTATCAATAAACCTGTTCCTTCATGTACCACCACACCTGTTCCTCCATCTATCACAGCACCTGTTCCTTCATCTATCAATACACCTATTCCTTCATCTAACAATAAATCTGTACTTTCCTCTACCACCGCACCTGTTCCTCCACCTACCACCGCACCTTTTCCTTCATCTACCAAAAAATCTGTTCTTTCCTCTACCACCGCACCTGTTCCTCCATCTATCACCGCACCTCTTTCTCTATCTACCACCGCACCTGTACCTTCATCTATCAATACACCTGTTCCTTCATCTACCAATACACCTGTTCCTCCATCTACCACCGCACCTGTTCCTTCATCTACAACCGCGCCTGTTCCGTCATCTACCACCACACCTGTTCCTCGTGACGAAGGGGCACCCCTTGCAGCTGAACTTCTCCGTGTGCTGGGCGGTGAGGTGCTTCCTCAGAGCGCGCGCCGTCTTCAGCCTGGTCTTGCATATGAAGCACTCGTACGCGCCGCTTTGCTATACGGCGCGGAGGGTACGCGTTTTGTTGATAATGTTACACAGGCAGGAACGTACAGGCAAGATTTTTTTATGCGAGAATGTGGCAAGCGAGCTGACGTTTAACCTGATGGTAAATGACAGTCGCCGCCTGTGGATACACGCAACACTCGGTTGCAGATGCGTTGCCACCTTATTAAAATGGGCCTCGGCTACCTCATTCACAAGACGAAGCGCAGAAGTGTAACACTTCCACTTCACGCCGGTCTTCTGTGAGGTCGCGGTACTTACCCGGACGGACCTGCCCATTCGTGCAACAGCGAAGGCTGTTGCGTGGCCCTACCGCCGTTAAATACCACGGTATCGAAGTTATGCTTTCGCGATTCGCCTAGTAAGCGAGACCACCGGGGCTCATTTAATGGGGTATTTAATGGGTAACCGGGGTTTTTAATGGTTGGCAAAACATCTACAGTCCGTCGGGTTCTGTAGATCTCCGCCTGCTCATAAAACGGAGTGGAAAGTTGCACTTAGCTGTTGTTGCTAGTCCACTATGAAGTACGGTGACGTTTAAGCGAAGAGTTTCGTGTACGGCCAGTGGAATCTCTCGTTCTATCGAAATTAAATTCTCATCCTTGTATGCAAGAACAGAAAAGTTGTTTGCCCTTTTCTCCATATAAAAAAGTTGGTTCATAAACGGGTTCAAAATGCTTGCGCCCTTTTTTGTTGTAATATACCGCCTGCTCGCAAGTCAAGTTTTCACATAAAAAACAGAAGTTTTTTTTACTGTCTTGACGAAAAGAGAGAGAACTACTTCTGTGTCTAAGTGATCTTATGTGAGGCCTTGGTCCTCCAGACGAGCCTGCCCATCCGTGCAACTGCAAACTTGCTGTGTGGCTACACAGATAAATGACGATTCCAATATACAAATCTATATTTACAACATATTAAAATCGATGTGGAATCATATTATAAAGATATATTTATAATATTATATGTTATAAAGATTTAAGAAGCGAGAAGAGTTGGATGCGTGCAATAAGAGGTTGAGCGCGTGCCAAGAGATAGGAGTGGTTTAGTGTATGCTGTAAGAGTTGGAGTGTCTTATGAGGCGAGATAAATTGAGTGCACGTCTTAAGAGGCGGGAGAGGTTGGGCGCGTGCAAGAGGCAGGCCGGGCGGGTACCTCGCTGTGGCGCACCACGTGCGCCTCGTGCCGCTCCCGTATCTGGAAGCCGCGGTAGCAGACCGTGCACTTGTACGGCGCGTTCCGGTACGCGGCCGTCTCCTGCCTCTTGGCTATCTCCTCGATCTGCTCGTCGTACGTGAGGCTGCTGATGGTGAACAGCGTCTCGTCGAGGCCGTCGCTGGTCTTGCGCCGCTTCACGTCCGACACCTTGTACCTTTTCGGGGCGAGAGCTCTTGGGCGGCGGTTCGACATTGCACGAGTGTTGAGAGTAAATAGGGACATTTCGATGCACGAGAGAGAAGTAAGCTCGGTCTCTGTCGCTCACACAAAATATTTTTTTCTTAATTTGTTAGAAGTTCACGCGCAATTGTGTTTTTTTTTTCTTTGTGTGATAAAACTTGTCAATAGGTTATAAGCCACTTATGGGCATCTACGACGCCTGAGTCCTCAGGTAAGTTGCCAGCCACTGATACTACCAGTTACCGCACTCACCGAACGAGACGCTATAAATACTTTCGCATTTTACTGGTCATCTGTAAGGTTGTGGCGCTTACCCAGTCGAGCTGGCTCCTTTATGCAGAAATAATCAGCAGTGTTGTGTAAGCTTTTGTCGCTGCATTACAGTGACATTGACCTCACGTAGAACTGGAAGAATTTTATTTTATATGAGATGACAAGCAAACTAGTGGGCCATCAGACGTTAATTGATACACCGCCGCCCACAGAACACAACTTAAAAAACAAATTTCTCTAGCAACATCACCGACGAACCTGCTATGGAGATAGTTGAGAAAACCAACACGTACTTGTCCATGGTAGTTGAAGGGTTGTCTTCGCCGTTATTCCGCTTCGCCGCCTTCGAATTCTTCTCAATCTTCTCCGTCTCCTCCGTCTCCTCCGTCTTCTCCGTTTTCTCCGTCTTCTCCGTTTTCTCCGTCTTCTCCGTTTTCTCTGTCTTCTCCACCTTTGCCGTCCTCTCGGTCCGCTCCGACTTCGGCCTCTTCCGCTTCGGCTTGCCCTTTGGCCTCGCGAACACCTCGCTGAGCTTCCTGTTGTCGTCGCTGTCGTAATTGTTGAACTCGCTGAGGAAGATCGCGTTCGAGCCCCCCTTCACCTCCATCTCGATGACGTGGCGGGCCACCTCGTGCTCCAGCTTGATGAAACCGCCCGGGCCGCCGAGCGTGGCGTCTGACATGTTGTCGTCTGTCATGTCAGTCGTGATGTCCTCGTCTGCGTAGTCGGTGACGTCATCGCCCGAGTCGTGCTCCGTCTTGAAGGTCAGCTCGCTTTCCCTTATCGACAGGTCGCAGTCGTCGGCGTCGAATATCTTCTGAACGAGCGCGCTGTGGAGCCCGTTCTTCGCTCGGTTTATTGACCTCACGTCGCGCACTGTGATCTGGGATGGGATGCCGTTTCTTGTACATGGATTTCACACAGCGGATTTATGGACTTAACTCAAAATTTCATATACTGAATATAGCTTGTTAGAATCTCTTATTGCTCCTCTAGGAACCACCATCGGTTCACTAAATTAGACCTGTCCAGAGAAAAACCGGCCGGAAACTGCGTTCTTATCTTTTTGGATAAATTCTTTTCATGTCGTACCCTGTGAGGGTCAAAGCTCTAATGCCGGTGCCAGTGCAAATGGGGCTGTTTATTTTTTTTAATCAAGGCTCTTACTGTAAAATAACATTATCCTGTGTTGTATCCTTACATACATCAATTTCACGTGGACAAACACCCAGATCTGAAACCATTATTTGTAGGTCACACCAATAGTTGTGAATAGACGGGAATCGAACCCACGACTGCAACACGCAGTCATCATGATCTTTTATGCGCTCGGCGGTAAAAGAAAGCATGTTAGGAAGCCTGGATAACTACGATGTTATCTTAGGTGGTAAACATACTAGCTCAGTGAAAGACACATTACTGAAATAATAACACGATTTTCATTGTAACTCAGCATAGGAAGAGACTGCAATAGAACTCACAAATTTCTTCAATTTCAGGGTAGCCACCATCAGTTGCTGGCTGAGGAGAGCCCGGCTCCTAAAACGGTGGCTTGAGGACAATCGGTGCGCGCACTCCCAGCACACCTTCTGCGGCAGTTTGTCCTTTTCGTTGACCTGAAGTCCAGGATTCAACTTTGCTTATGTACACCTACGTATCCAGTGCTAAGACCTAAGCCTTCGATAAGCTATCTTCATCCTTGCCCTTATCCCACCTAGGTGGGGTTGGCACTACATGTGTACCATGAAGTTATGCGGTTTTGACTAGTTTTTTGCGATGGATTTGGATTTACGGGATAGATGGATGACCTATTCGTCTACTACAGATGACCCGTTAAGGATGGCACCACGACGTGGTCTCGTGTCGTTAGCAAGCGGCTCCTGATGTTAATCGACCACCGCTCATGAACATTTGCAACAGTCAACACCCGTAGGGTTGCAGACATGGGCACCCACCAGGACCCATAAGACAAACGAAGAGCTTAACGCGTGTGTGTAATTAACGTTTTTCAAAACCTAAATATGTATACAACGTGTCGTTATCATGGCGACAATAAATGAACACACATGTAGGGGATAACTTTTTAAAGTTGTATTAAACATTTAAATTCTTTAAACATCAATATTTACAGAGTTATTAAATTTTCCAAAACAAAGAATTTTAGAACACCCTTACCCATAAAAGCGTAACGTAAAGTTCATTTGTAAAGGTCACAAAGCATATGAATGGGTTGTAAAAAAGGTCACAAAGGAGAGGCTTGTAATAAATTTGTATAAGTTACAAATTTTGTTTCTTTTTTACTTAATTAGAAAAATATTTTTTTTAAATTATGGATTTTGTTTAACGTTATTATTTTTTTAAGATTATTGGCAAGTAGCATTATTTGTGTGTTCATTTATTGTCGCGATGGTAACGACACGCTGTATATGTATGTGTATGGAATTATGCGTGCGTTTTTATGTGTGTGCATGTTAAAAAAATATGAGATGGCCGCTAAGATGCTCACCGTCAGTCCTGTTAGCTTTTTGTATAGGAAGTCCAGTTTGTGGTCTGCAATGTTGTACAGCTTGGTGTCCATCACCAGGCATATCCTGCAAACCTGGTGGGGGAGTTATCATCGCGGCATACAAAATCAAATTGATACTTCAGACCACTTTCCAAGTAAAACTTCATCGAGAAATACTTGCATAGATTAATTTTTAACACGTTACTTTCTTCATTAAAGTTGTATTACCTTTAAAACAGCTGGCGCGTCGAGGTCTTCATTTGTGTTCTGGAAGTGGAGAAAGCGTAAGATTTTTTTGTACACCAGATTGAAAATACTGGAAGAATGTGCCTATTAACAATAATAATCACTTAATATTTGTTTGTGAAAAAGCGTGGAGATTTTCAGATTATTATCCACTGGATCAAGTAGTTCTCAACTAGGTTCCGGAAAATATAAATTTAATGTGGGTAGCTCCAATGCACATTATACAGAGGCCTTTTAACAATGTTAGTTTACATGTCATCATCATTGATGATGACGTGTAAACTAACACTCCCCCACAAACTACAACATACAGGGTTTTGCCATAGTCTCACATAACTCGGGCAAAAAACACATTTTAATAACTTATATAAAATAGTATTACACTCAATTACCTGCACAATAAAAGGCACCGCGCCACTCTTGACCTTTCTCAATCCGCACTTGGTCTCATAGAAATCTTCGTTGCGGAAGTGCTCGGAACAGATGCTGCTGCGTTCACCTGGCTCCCAGTCTGTTATTCCGAGGGCTTCCACCCAAGCAGTGCGCAGATGCGCCTCTTTTGGGAACCTGGAAGAAGTACATGATAGGCATAACAGTCAGAGAAAAGCTCAAAATGGAGTTTGATAAAAACGCCTGTCAGAAAAACACACAAGTATTTGACAGTCGAGTTTTTTAAAGTTATTGAACATATTGTTATTCTTATTTTAAAAATTGCTAACAGGTTAAAAACTGCTAAATCAAATCTGTACCTCAGAGGCATACAATAGCAACTCCACATTTATCAAAATTATTTTTCTTACACCATTAAAATCTCAACAACAATTTTTATATAACAGTATAAAGCATATAGTCCTATGACGCCTAATTAAAAAAATATCCAATCCAATGATTCACTCTATGCATTTTTGCCTCTCTTGTAAAATTTTGTTGCATAATGCTGTTTATCTCTGAGGTATAGAAATGTTATTTAAAAGAAATTAAAGTATTTCCTAATCATCAAATCATTGTACAAGCCTACTTCCAATCATTAATGATGATTCATCATTAATGATTGGAAGTAGCCATATTTAAGCCTATAATTTTAACTTTGTTTTTAAATTTTAGTTCACTAATGTTGTAAGGCGACGCAGCAGCTGTGGCTATTACATAATAAGAAGGGTTTCTCTAGGGAAGTACCATGGCCACAAAGAAGACTGGCATAAAGTTCAAGTATGTATTATACTTTAGGGTTCCGTCCCACGAGTGAGGTAAACGGGGCTCACTTTTTAAATGATGTCAATGCATTTGTAACCTGTCAGGTAGATGTTAATGGGGGCAGTTGCAGATTGTTCATTTGTGCAAATTAATGTATAGAAGAGTACTTTGCATTAGGTGAACTACTTACTCATTTGCCAACTTATCACATGCAAATGTCTATGGTTAAAATAGAATATAATTTTATAATTTAATATTAATGACGATCTACTGTATTTAGAACCAGCAATAGACAATATAATGTAAATAAGAAGTACAATATAATGTAAATAACTAATAAAAAAATTATTGTATGTATAATAATAACTTGCAATGTTATAGTAGTTATTTTTAAAATTTTTGGTATTTAATTTAATTTATATGAATAGAACCACCTTTGATGAAAACCTAGTATTAAATTCACTTAGTAATCAGACAACCAATGTTACGTAAAATAAAACATAATTTAAATCAATATTCAAATTTATGAATGGACCTACTATCATTTAAAGTTTAAAAGTCCGTAATTTTTTTAGACTTATATTTAACGTTATACATAAATGCAAAACAAACCATGCATACATAAACAAAGTTAAAATGAGTGTAACTTACAAATGGAAAGTTATTCCTTGGCTTTTAGGTGTTCGCTTAGAGTCGCTGATACAATTTTGAACGCTGCACCTCATTTTTCCACTAAGTTTAATTCATAATTTTTAAAAATTTCATTAAAAACTACTGTGTTTGGTTTTAAACTTTAACCAAAGATAAATCACATTATATGCAGCAGTTATTTTTGTTTTCTTTTTCGTGTTACTTAAATATAAGATGGTTGGAAATTACGGCATGGTAAGAGTATTATAATTTACCAAATACGAAAACTACGTAATTTATTTGCTTTCGAATATTTAGAACTCTTTTAAAAACTTGACAAGTGAGCACAACTGAGCATTGGTTTTGTGACCTCTGCTAGATACGCCATTCTGAATTATCTTTACACTAAAGATTAAGTCACTTCCACAGCTCGAACCATTATGTTATACTTATAACTTGGCTATTACTCTGTTGCTATAATATTTTAGATGTAAAATAAATTAAGTTGTAAAAGCAAACTAGTTTTCCGAGTGTATCATTATATTTATTGTACTTTTATATAAATCTTTTAATTAAAATATCATAGAGAATTGGAATATCGTTATATTAAAAATCGATATTTTCTACTAAACAAAATTATCGATATAATTTGTCATTAATATTTTTAATCGCAATAAATCGATACTAAATATTTATTTTTTATTAGACTATCAAATTCGTAACTCAACTCAACCAGTCAGTTAACAGCTAGAGCTACCGATCGAGCCGAGGTCCGGCCCTCTCGGGCACCCTCGAATCGGAATGCTAAACGCGTGCTGAGTGACAGCCCAAGCCGAGGTCCCCTCTCGGGGACCCTTGAGCCTGATCACTCCATGGAGCGTCCGCCAAAGCGCCCTAAGAGCTTGGCGGCCTCGCAAACCGGTGAAACTAATAGCGTGACGGCCCGAGCCGAGATTCCTTCGGGAGCCCTCGAGCTTAGTCACCATAACGCGTAATAATAAATACGCGAGGTTCAGGCTAGGCGCCTCGAGCGCCTGGCCCCCTCAAGTCCGTCGGATCTGTAAAGGCCCCTAAGGCTATCAGTGGCTCATCCAGCCAAAAAAAAAATCGTATCTCATATTCATTTCCATATACTGTTAACTCATCTCTGGTATAGTATTTAATGTTAAGTACAAGATACTTTTAGATAGATTTGGAAATGAGGAGATCCTTAGAGAAACTATAGAGTTACCGACATATTAGAGCCAGTCAGTAGGCTGAAGCGGCAGTGGGTAGGGCACATAGTTCGGAGAACCGATGGCCGTTGGGGCAGAAAGATGGAAGAGGCACGTGATCGCAGGCGCAGCGTAGGAAGGCCTCCCATAAGGTGCATCGACGATCTGGTAAAGATCACAGGGACTCATTGGATGCAGGCCGCTACCGACCGGTCAAAGTGGAAGTCAATGGGAGAGGCCTTCATTCAGCAGTGGACGTCTTGATGATTCCTCACGGCCGATTTCGGCCACGGCGACTGCATTCATATCCGATTTTGCCTTTGGTGTGCTCGCGTGTGGCTTATGTAGCCAATTTTTTGCATAAAAATCCTCGCTCACTACGGGCACGTTAGCACACCGTTTACATAATTATAACTAATGGCCGCTGGTGGTCGAGCCTTTAGTTCATCTCGCTTGGCGTCTAGCTCACAGAGTCGCCTGTCCTCAAAGTTTTGGACGCTCGTTTTAACTAGCTCCCTCCAATCAGTCCTTCCGGCTACCTGCTGCTCCCATAGCAGCGGGTCGATGCTGCACCTCTTCATGTGCCGCTTAAGCACATCTTTGTACCTGAGGAGTAGGCCTCCAAGCTTACGCTTGCCTTCCTCCAGTTCCGAGTAAAAGATGCGCTTAGCAACTCTTTGCGCCGCCATACGCGACACGTGTCCGCACCACTGTAGCTGAGGCCGCATAAGGTAAGCCTCAATGCCACCTACATTGGTTCTTCGGTATTCCGTATACGGTTAGACCATCGAATGTTAAGTATTTTACGCAGACATTTGAGGTGAAATCGGTCGAGCGTATGGATGTGATGCCGGTACACGGTCCATGTTTCAGCAGAATAAAGTAAATTGGAAAGCACAACAGCCATGTAGACGGAGATCTTATTCGCCAGCTTTAGGTCATAGGGAGCTGAAGACCTTCGTATCCAACTTGCCGAACGATGCAGCAGCAGCGCCGATCCTGCTGTTGATTTTCGAGTCTAGATCACATTTCGAAAATATTGTGCTCCCCAGATAACGGATCTTGTCGACCTGATTCAGCTTGTCCCTACTGAGTTTTATTGCCAGTGCCTCGTGACCTTGTATGTTTAAAGACATCATTTTTAACCCAAATTTTTGGCACGACTCGTTAAAATCGGACATTAGCTGCTGCAGGCCGTCTGGGGATTCTGTAACAAAGCATAGGTCGTCGGCGTACATTATTTCGGTGATCATAGCATGCGAAACTTTGGTGCGAGCCTTCAGTCTTGCCAGATTAAATAAACCGCCGTCCGTATGGAAACGGATGCGGATGCCTTCAGAGGTTAATTGCAAAACTTCTTGAACAACAACTGCAAAGTTCAACGCGAATAGTGTGGGTGCCAGGACACATCCCTGTTTTACCTCACAGGTAACGGGGAAAACTCAGACTGTTCATCGCTGACTGTGACACAGCACTCCATGTCGTCATGCAGGAGTCTTAGAAGCCTTACAAACTTCTCTGTACACCCAATCTTGGAAAGTACTATCCAGAGGGCTTCTCGAGGCACACTGTCAATGGCCTTCTCAAGGTAAACGAAGCAGAGATATAAATGACAATCTTGCTCTCTCCATTTCTCCTGCAGTTGACGTACAGAGAAAATGGCCTCACACGTTCCTCGTTCAGGTCGGAAGCCAAACTGGGTCTCGGGCAAAAGCTGTTCTGAAAGTTTCATGAGGCAGTTAAGTAGTACACGGGCAAAAAAGTGACTGATACGAGTGAAATACCGCGGTATGAATTGCAATCGGATCGGTCACCTTTGTTCTCATATAGTGCCCTCATGCGTGATACTTTAAAAGTAGATGGGACTTGTTCTTTCCACATACGATCAAAGTGTTCCCAAATAGCCAATTGCAATTTATCACCACTGTATTTAAGCAGTTTCCCTGGTATAGAGTCGATGCCCACCGCAAGCTTATTTTGCTGTTGATTGATGGCGAGAGCAATCTCCTCACATGATAGTGACTCATCCTTAGTAGAAAACCGGCCAAACCAATACTTAGAAAGTATTGCTTCAGCCGTAAATCACGACGATAGAGTCCTTCACCGGCAAGTAGATTCATTCATTAACTTTGTATATTTGAGTAGATTAAACAGAGGGCTCATAATAACCGGCATAAAAAGAAAGAAGAAGAAGACGGCTCCTAATGTTATTATCGCATAAATATTCATTATCATTATTTCAGCCTTTTTGAAGCCTTTGCTGAAATCCCCTGTCCTCCCCCATAGACTGCCATGAAGCACAATTCTGAGTCACCTGCATCCATCGACTTCCGCACACTTCTACAATTCTAATACATCTAGTTGGGGTTGTCCCACACTGCGATGGCCAGTTCGAGGCTGCCACTCGAGAACCTTTATTCCCCAGCGGATATCGGTTCTACGAACTATATTTAGTAATAATGCAGTATCATGTCGTCCGCGTAGCTTATGTTATTGAAACATACTCCATCTATGTGACACCCGACATGCCGCTCACTAAGCGCCTCGATCAGACTATATGGCCGGCCCAGCGCCACTTCAGCTTATTAACCTTCTGAGCTATGTCGGTTACCTTTATTCTACTGAGGATGTCTTTGTTGCGACCTCTATCACGCACAAATATTGGTTTGATTAAATTGATGCTTAGCTAAAATCGTTCATTGAAGAGTGAAATATTGATATAATGATTGACCTAATAATTTAATTTTGTATTTGGTAGTGTACCCTTCAGTATTTCTTTAAATTATTTTTTATTAATGGTAACACAGTTGATAGCTTGGGTATATTTTGTTTCATTTCTTCAAATTACATATTGAGTTAGGATGACTGAAACAAAAAATGTTTATACTTATGTTTACACATACGTCGCCGCATTAACCGGCTAAATTTAAATAGTCGTTATTTCAATTTTGATATATACAAATGTAACTGTTATAGACTGCGATTCTTTGGTTAGATCAATACGTTTGCTTTGAATGCATACCTAAATTGTTTTACATCGTAAATATAGAGTATGATCAACCACATAGATCCAAAACTGTCAATCATAGATAAGACATATATACTGAAATAGATGAGACACTCGACAAAACAACTATTACTGTTTACCCGCCCTGTCCGCTAGATGGTGCCAGCGCCTTTGTGAGCTACCTACCTATACATATAGCTATAAATTATATACTAGATGGATTGTTTCAAAGGGATAATGTCTAAAACACCACAATCTGAAGTTAAAAAACTTTATTACATAACTAGCGACCCATACAAACACGAACATAATTTTAAATTACATTAATTACAGTATTCAAGTATTATAGGTACATTATTTTGATCAAACAAAACAGCTGTTTATTTATTGATAATGTTACAATTTTCAGAGATGTTTACATCGTAAATCAATCATAGAATTGGCCACATTATGATGTACCCGACCATTTTATAATAAAGTGACAAAAATATACGCAAAAACAAAGTAGTTTAAAAAACCTGAGGCCTTCAAAAATCAACAACGATTAACATGCAAAAACAAAGTATTATTTCACTGCCCTCATAATAAAGATTAATCGTGATTTTAATGAATTTTTAATTTTATCGAAAATGACATCAGAATAAGAAAGAAACTTCGTTATACTTAGATAAAATAATTAAAAAGAACAGAAAAGTTTCGAATTCAAAGAATGTTTCTCAAAAGAAAAAGATTACAAAAGATAACATTTTTCATTTAAATGATCTAGAGAATTTAAAAATGAAACTTAATCGCCTTATTCTCCAAACCGCATATTTGCAAGTACAGCATTTATATAACGACAACAGTACAGAAACCCCTAGGCCTTGTAAAAGCA